AACAGGCTGGGCTCCAGTCGTGTGAGAAATGCGTGGGATAATTTGTGGCTTTGTATGAGATTGCGGAACGTTGTCAGGCTTGGCGGAGAAAGCCACCTACGTTGCGATCAGCGATTTCCGCTAGATCTTTGACCTTGTGCCTCACAAAGCCCTGTTGATGAAAGCCATGGCCACATTGTAGATTATGTGGAGTCCCGTAGTGTATTGGTTAGAGCGCTTGCCTCACCAGCGAGAGGACTCGTGTTTGATTCCCAGGTCAGGCACAACCTTAGACCAGTTTGCTCCACACCCTTCTGTTGACCCATTAGCAAAAAGGGGAAATCCGGTTATTAGTCGATTGGCGGATCAATTTACAGGGGTTATAATCCCTCAAGAAAAATATGATCCATCAATCCACGACTGTTTGTAGAACACTGCGGTGCTCAATCGGCTGTCGCATTTCGCCCACAAAATACACAGTCACTTCACTTTACAATATATTCTGTGAAGCGCTTTGAGACGTCTCAGTGAACGGATAAGGCGCTATATCAAACTCAAGGATCATTATTATTATTATTTTATCCGAAATGTGTATTCCAGCTCCAAGATCCCTGTAAAGGTAGACTCACGAAATCCAATCCCTCTTGAAAGGAGGGTAAGACAAGGCTGTCATTGTCACTGCTCCTATTCAAACTATTTATCGATGATGCATTGAGGTGGATGGACTGGATGTACCTGTTCCAGACCTCTCTGACAGGATTGAGGCGCATCTGTTTGCGGATTATATAGTGCTGCTGGTGATTTCATGCTGAGCTGTGTTGCTCACCAGGGAGCTCGCAGGGAGCTCCTGGTACCCTACCTAGTGAGCCTGCACTTGTCGGAGGTCAAATGACCAGCTAGTGACTATTCTCCTGGGGGGTGGGGGTAATGGAGGTAAGCGGGGTCTTCTTGGAGCTGAACCGGCTCCAAGGTGACGTGCCTGGCAACAGAATATTGGAATCGAGCCAGTCCTCTGCGGCGGTCTCTAGTCCGATTCCTGAGCCAGGCGGGTCCGCAAGTATTGGATGGCATTGAGGTGGATGGACTGGGTGTACCTGTTCCAAGCCTCTCTGACGGGATTGAGGTCTCTCGTCCAGCCTGGCTCATTGGCAGGATTGAAAGGGCAGGACATTCACTGGGGGCAGGGAATCATCACACTCAGTTCCTGTTAACCATGCAAGCCAAAGCCCTAACGCAGAGGGTGGTCCTAGCAGGACAAGCAGCTGGAAGCCTGCCGGCCAATACTTTCAATGTCAAGCTATGTGGTTTTAGCTGGTTAGCTTCCAGCAGTTACCCCGGCCACACTCTGGGGTCCCCAAGCCTGGGCTGTGTACTGGGATGGTGTGTTGACCTGACCTCACTCTGTGAGGATAGACAGGTTTTATTATTACTTTAGGATGCACTGATTGTGGCGAGCTCATGATAATTAACTCCAAGACAATTTATTTGTAAAATGGGCAGAAAAACTGGCTTGTGCACTCAAAGATCAGAGACATACAAATTGTTTAGTTCCGTCTTGATGTTGAACTCAGTTTGGTATTTTGTAAGGAGCTGCCTGCCCGAGGAAATGTGTGTGTGTGTGTGTGTGTGTGTGTAGGAGTTTGATAAACTCTGTTGCTAGAGATAGAGAAAGGTGTTTTATAATAATAATAATCCTTGCATTTGATGCAGCACCGTATCACGTGTTTGAGATGTCTCAAAGCGCTTCACAGAATATACTGTAAAGTGAATTGACTGTACATTTTGTGGGCGAAACGCGGCAGCCAATTGCACACAGCAGGTCCCACAAACGGTGGTGGATTGAGTGACCACACATTTTTTTAAGGGATTATTACCCCGGAAAAGCGATCCGCCAATCGACTAACAACCGGGTTCCTACTTACTGCTCGGTAAACTGAGGCGCGTGGAGTAAGGAAACTTGCCCTGCCCGGGGATCAAACCCAGGTCTTCTCGCTTGCAAGGCGAGTGCTCTAACCACTGAACTGCAGGACTTCACCCTCTGTATCCACTGTTATGATACAGATGGGAATTTGTTCCAAGATCCAGGCTCACAATCTCCAGATGATTAACGCTTCACGCTTGTGCGCTTGTGGGACATTCATGTGCACAAATTGGTTGTTTACCGACAAACATACGATCACAGAAGCGTATTGAGACAACCTCTCCAGGTGATAAGACCCTGTATCAAATGTCAGGACTATTATTATGTTCATGAAGACAGCAAGATATAGAGAAAGACAGAGAGACGCAGAGATCGAGACACAGAGAGACATTTGGAGACAGACAGAGAGCAATGTGGAGCCATAGAGAGAGAGAGAGACACGTGGAGACATAATAATAATAATAATAATCCTTGCATTTGATATAGCACTTTTCACGTCGGGAGGACGTCCCAAAGCGCTTCACAGAACACACTGTAAAGTGAATTGACTGTATATTTGTGGGCAAACGCGGCAGCCAATTGCGCACAGCAATGACCCACAAACAGTCGTAGAATGAAAATGACCAATTTGTTATTGTTTTTGGTTTTGGAGGGATTATTATTAGGCTCTGTGTGGAGTAAGGAAACTTGCCCAAGGTTTCGCCCTCTGCCGGGAATTGAACTCAGGTCTCTCGCTTGCAAAGCAAATGATCTAACCACTGAGCTACAGGACTCCACAGGACATAGAGAGAGACACGGAGAGACAGACGGAGACACACACACAGAGACATAGGGAGGCACAGAGACATGTGGAGACATGGAGATAGACAGAGACATGTTACATTGGAGAAGAGGAGGTTGCGAAGAAGCTGTTGCTGAGGTGTGAACCATGTTCATTGATGGTGTCGGTCCGCACATCTGCTCGGGAAGACATTTCAGTGGGTGGCTGTGGGTGACTGGTGTCCGCTTACAGATTATTTATGTTTCCATCAACGTGGAGATGTTCCAGATTGCGCTAGCAGGTTCCATCTACACGTGCATCTCTCCCTCACTTACTCTCTCTATCTCTTTGGTCGTTTAATAATCATAATAATCCTTGCTGCTAAGGCATCTCAAAGCCCTTCACAGAATATACTGTGCTGTAAAGTGAATTGATTGTGTATTTTGTAGGTGAAACGCACAACAGTGTCCCACAAACAGAAATTGGCTAACATCTTGGTTCCTTCTTATTGCTAAGTAAATAGAGGCGAGTGGAGTAAGGAGACTTGCCTAAGGTTTTTTCCCTGGTCGGGAATTGAACCCGGGCCACAGTGAGGAGGGTGGGGTGGTGTGTATGTAGCAGCGGGGGGTGGGTGTGGAGTACAGCGCAGAGGGTGGTGTGTACAAAGTAGGACAGGTTTGCTCAGTTCAAGTGATTACAGAGAAGGTCACACCCCTGATTGTCAAATAAGCAGGTCTTTATGGAAATACAGCAAAGCTCCACATTAACTCCACCGCCTACACCCTATATTCTCTTTGACCGTGCCTTCAGCTCCCCTCTCGACTCTCTTCCCCCTCCTCGCTCCCTCCCTTCCCTCCCCTCACCCTGACCATTTCCCCCCTGCTCGGGTCCTGACCCAACTGTGCAGCGCCTTGGGACGTCCTCCCGACGTGAAAGGCGCTTTATAAATGGAATCTTGTTGTACACCCACGCTCACCCCATTGACCTGGTGATTACCTGGGGCCTTACCGTCTCGGACATCACCATCACTGATAAAGCCGCCTTGGACCACTCCCTTAACTCCTCCATCATATTCACTGCCGCCCAACCCACTTCCACCTCCTTCCACCCCAGAAACAAACCTCCCCACTCCCTCTTTTGAACCCCTGCACCTCTGGGCTTCTTCCTACAACGACCTTAACTCCTCAGTCACTCTCCTTCGCAACTCACTGTCTAATATCCTCGACACCCTTGCCCGTATCGCCTCCTGCATTGTCTCTTACTCCCGCAAATGCCCTGGTACTCCCCTCAGGCCGTCAGGACCCTTATCTACGCTTTCATCATGTGCCGGATGGACTATGCCAACTCTCTGCCCGCCCAACTCTTCCCTCCACAAATGGCAGACCATCAACAACCGTACAGCTTATGTCCTCTCCTGCACCAGGCTCCGTTAGCCTATCACCCCCCATCCTCGCCTGGCTCCACTGGCCCTCCATCCCCCTTGGCCTCTACCCCCTCCCGAATCCAAACCCCTGCTTTATTTGCAACTTATAACTTGTATAACTTATAACTTATAACTCGTCCCTACCCAATGCGAAAGGCGTTTACATAAATGCCATTTACTGTTATTCTTGATGTGTAAATACAGTATTGGGCACTGTCGAGCTGTAAATACAAGCACTTTGATGTGCAAATACACTCAAACAAATACACTAAAGATCCGTGTTGCTATCAGGGTTGGGGCGGGGGAGGGAGTGGTGTGGTGTTGGGGTGGGGTGGCTTCTCCCGACAATTTCCCCCGGATAAAGTTAGTCATTCGCTGCATGACTGTGTGTGGAATATTGCTGTGAGTGAGTGCAAATTGTCTGCCGCGTTTCCGACAATGGAAAGTTCTTTTTCTCCCCCTATTTTGACGGGGAGGCTTAAGACGGCTGCTGAAAGGGGACCGGAATCTGGTTGGAAACATGCTGTTGCCCTTTTTATTTGTCGGTTCCAGCCCAGTTCTAGTTGCCGCTGCTGCTGATGGGGGGGCCCCGCCGGGGTACATTTTCCTGGCAGACCTCGAGGAGCTGCGGTTTTTATTGATGTACATTAGGTTTTATTTATGAGCAGAGGGAGTGGTTTGTGAACTTGGCTCTGGCTGTGTGCCGTGGTAGCAGTGTCTGATATAGAAATGATGGCTTGTAACACGAGACGCTCTGAGACTGCGGGGCGGAGAGTCCAAAGACTAGCCAGGAGAACACCCCATGAGGCAGAGGGAGAGAGGGAGAGAGCAGGAACACGGAAGCTGGGATCAATCAGTTGCTCCCAGCCTGGCCGTGGACACTACTCTCATCTCAGGAGCGAGGAAGCCAGTACCCAGGGAATCTGGTCACAATGTGGCAACACCTTTACACAGAGCAGCACGTCAGTACCTCAGCCTGGCTCACCTACAGCCGAGAAGAAGAGGTCAACGCTTACCTCCAGGGGCAGATGTGCTGTGTGGGTGGGTATAGAAAGGGTACAGAGCTGGCAACATGTGGATCTCTCTCACACATTTGCCACAGTCGACCATGCCGTTCTCCTTCACCGCCTCTCCTCCTTCATCCACCTTAGTGGCACTCGCACGGTTCGAGTCCTATTTAACCAACCGCCTCCATTTCATCTCAGCAAATGATTTCTCCTCCCACCCCCCCCGCCCGGTCACCTGCAGGGTACCCCAGGGCTCCTTCCTTGGCCCTCTTCTTTTCCTTATCTGTATGCTCCCACGAGGTGATGTCATCCGCAGATACGGGGTAAACCTCCACATGTATGTGGATGACACACAAACCTACTTTCCCTCCTCCAGTACCAACTCCAGGTCCACCGATGTTCTATCAGATTGTCTGGCAGACATCAGGGCCTGGATGATTGCAAACTTCCTGCAGCTGAATGAGGACAAGATGGAAGCCATACTCCTTGGCTCCCATCAATGTCTTCACTCCTGTGGATCTAAACTCCTCAACCTCCCTGAGCTCTCCCTCAGACTCACCGAACCAGTGCACAACCTAGGCATCTGGTTCGACCCCCAACTGTCCTTCCTCCCCCACATCTGGTCCCTGACCAGGAACATCTTCTTCCACCTCCGACCGTACCTTCTCCCAAAAGCAGCCGAAAACCTTGTGCATGTGTTTGTCGCTTGGATTACTCCAATGCACTCAAGTCCTGCCTGAAGGCCACCTCCCCCCCCCCCCAGCTCGGAGTCAGGTGGCGCCACTGTTACGCGCTCTGAGACACTACCCTGTGTGGAGGGCACTATATAACTGCAAGCTGTTGTTGTTGTTGCGTGTAGAGATGGCACCAAGCTGGCACTGTATGGGTCCGTATCTCTAGGGAGCCTGTTCCATAGATATCTATGGAACACGCTCCCTAGAGAGATGGTGGAAGCAGAAAGTGTAAATTCTTTCAAATGTGTGTCAGCCTCTCGCTTCAGAGTCAGAAGGTTGTGGGTTCAAGCCCCAGGTCGGGACTTGAACTCACATGGTCTAAGCTGACACTCCAGTGCCTTGCGAGTATGCTCTGCGTTGTCGGAGGTGCCGTCCTTCGGATAAGACGTAAAAAACCCAGTCCCGTCTGGCTGTTCAGGTGGACGTTAAAGATCCCATGGCACTACTCGAAAAGAGAAGGGAATTTCTCTCTCCCGTGTCCTGGCCAACAATCCCCCAAATAAAATTGGTCACTCGCTCCACGGCTGTTCGTGGGCCGTCTCGGTGCGCAGTGAGCTGCTGCGTTTTGTCCACAAAGTACACAGTCAATCGAATTTACAGTGTGTCCCGTGAAGTGCTTTGAGATGTCTCAATGACGTGATAAGGCGCTGTATCAAATGCAAGGATAATGAAATGCAAATTTGACCGGTTTCTTTTAGGAAATAATATTTGGGGACACAGTATGTGAGCGAGTGGTTCAGGACATGACACCCGCATGCGATTGCCAGGATGGATGGTGGAAAGCCAACTGGATGGACCTTGGTCTTTTTTCGTCTTAACATTTCCTAAGTACCTGTAAAGATGCTGGCACAGAGTGGAGGGTGTGTGTGGATACAGAGAGGGCACAGTGCGTGGGTATAGAGAGGGCACAGTGTGTGGGTACAGAGAGGGCCCAGTGTGTGGGTACAGAGAGGGCCCAGTGTGTGGGTACAGAGAGGGCCCAGTGTGTGGGTACAGAGAGGGCCCAGTGTGTGGGTACAGAGAGGGCCCAGTGTGTGGGTACAGAGAGGGCCCAGTGTGTGGGTACAGAGAGGGCCCAGTGTGTGGGTACAGAGAGGGCCCAGTGTGTGGGTACCGAGAGGGCCCAGTGTGTGGGTACCGAGAGGGCCCAGTGTGTGGGTACAGAGAGGGCCCAGTGTGTGGGTACAGAGAGGGCCCAGTGTGTGGGTAAAGAGAGGGCCCAGTGTGTGGGTACAGAGAGGGCCCAGTGTGTGGGTACAGAGAGGGCCCAGTGTGTGGGTACAGAGAGGGCCCAGTGTGTGGGTACAGAGAGGGCCCAGTGTGTGGGTACAGAGAGGGCCCAGTGTGTGGGTACAGAGAGGGCCCAGTGTGTGGGTACAGAGAGGGCCCAGTGTGTGGGTACAGAGAGGGCCCAGTGTGTGGGTACAGAGAGGGCCCAGTGTGTGGGTACAGAGAGGGCCCAGTGTGTGGGTACAGAGAGGGCCCAGTGTGTGGGTACAGAGAGGGCCCAGTGTGTGGGTGAGGGAGACGGTGGAAGCAGAAAGTGCTGATTCTTTCAAAAGCAGATTACATAGATTTGTGTTAACATTATCCCGGGATACAGTCTACAGTTTGGGAGGTGACATGTGCTGTCAGGATAACCGAAAGCGAACTGGATGGACCTTGGTCTTTTTTTGTCCAGGGGACAGAGCTGATGTGTATGTTGGTGCATGTTCTGTTGTATGTGTTGGTGTGTGTGCATTGGTGTGCGCGTTGGCGTTGGTGTGTGTGCTGGTGTGTGTGTTGTGTGTATTGGTGCATGTACTGTTGCATGTGTTGGTGTGTGTGTTGGTGTGTGTATTGGTGCCTGTACTGTTGCATGTGTCGGTATGTGTGTTGGTATGTGTGCTGGTGTGTATGTTGGCACGTGTGTTGGTACGTGTGTTGGTGTGTGTGCTGGTGCACGTACTGTTGCATGTGTGTGCTGGTGTGTGTGCTGGTGTGTGTGCTGGTGTGTGTGTCGGCAGGTGCGTTGGCGTGTGTGCTGGTGCACGTACTGTTGCATGTTTTGGTGTGTGTGTTGGTGTGTATATTTGCTCTGTGTTGATATGGATTGAGCTGGAGGCAACGATTATGATGGAGTTAGCTGCCACTTGAACAGGTCGATCTGTTCTCAGGGAGGGTCCATCTGGGGGACTGGGATGTCTTTCTGACGTGAAGGGTGCCACACAAGTGTAACGTGTTGTTGTTGTCTGTCTGTCGGGACAAACGGGTAACACACACTGTCCATGACACTGACACCACATTGCCCTCACTCCGCTCCCACCGCTCCCACTCACACTGCTCAAACCCACACTACCCCCTCTCCACCCCCCCGCATCCACACAAACACACACACACACCCTCCACCCCCACCCACCCACCCCCTTTAGGTGGGATTTCAAAGCGTGGGGCGGGGGTGGGGGGGGAAACGAGACGAAGAGATTGAGAGAGAGAGAGAGTTCACATCGCTCACACTACAAAATCTCTCCCCTCAGAAGTGATTGACGGACTGGAATCTAATCCAAGGGGATGTTTTGGGGGAATTATATATAGAGTAACAAATCCTGGGAGTGATTTACAGGACGCAATCTAATTCCAGAGTTCAAAGAAAGTGGGAGGAGGTGGGGTGTCGTATGAATAGAATAACTGATTCCAGGAGTAAATTAAAGGTTGAAGCCAAATGGGGTTGGGGTTCAGGGTGTTTATATATAGAATAATGTACCCCCCCCCCACCCCCCCCACACATAACCCCCCGCCGCCCCCCAACACACACTCCACACACACACACACACACACCCCACACACAACCCCAACTCCATACCTACCCCATACACCACCTCCATACACACCCCCTGCACACGCCCCCACTCCAAACACACCCCTTGCGCACACCCCCTCCACACACACACCTACACTCTCCACACAGCCTACCTCCACACACACACCCCCTCCACACTCACACCAGCCCTCCACACACACACCCTCTACACCCCCTCCACGCACACCCACACACACCCTTCACACACACACCCTCCATATGCACCCTCTCCACACACAGCCCCTCCGCCACACTCAGACAGACCCCTACATAGACACACACACACACCCTCTACACCCCCTCCACACACACCCTTCACGCACACACCCTCCATATACACCCCTTTCACGTCGGGAGGACGTCCCAAGGCGCTGGTGTCCGATGTGAAAGGTGTTAAAATATGTGCTGGTCATTAGACTCTGTGATTGAAACGTTGCGAACTGTGTACTGTGCCCTTTGTCTGCTCTGAGACGCTCTGAGACGCTGTCCGGCGTGGAGGGCACTGTGTAAATCCAAGTTGTTGTTGTTGTTGCGGTGTGTGTGTGTACGCTCTGCGCATGCTGGCTCAAGCGCTCTGGGACCCTGCCCTGCGTGAGGGGTGCTATACAAATGCAAGTTGTTGTTTGTTGTGCACTGTGTGTGGTCTGTGTGATCTACGTGTGGGCTGTGTGCGCTCTCTGTGGGCTGTGCAAACGCTCTGCTTGTCGGCACTTCCCAACCCCTCCCTCCTCAGGCTGCAGATAACCCAGAACTCTGCAGCCCGTGTCCTCTCCCGCACCAAACTCCGTGACCACATCTCTCCCACTCTCACCCGACTCCATTGGCTCCCTATCCTTCAGAGGATCCAGTTCAAGATCCTGGTCCTCACCTACAAAGCCCTCCCTGGCCTTGCCCCACCCTACCTCTGCGACCTGCTAACCCCCTACCAACCCACCCATTCCCTCCGCTCAGTCGGCTCTGACCTGCTCCACGTCCCCCGACCCACCCACCCCACCATTGGCGGGAGAGCCTTCAGCCACTCTGCCCCCAACCTCTGGAATTCCATCCCCCAGTCACTCCGCCTCACCCCCTCCTTAGCCTCCTTCAAGTCCCGCCTCAAGACCCTCCTCTTCGAACATGCCATTGGCCACCCCACTTCCCCCTCCCCTCCCTTACCCCCCAACCCCAGCTCGGGTCTGAAACGCTGTAGTCTGTCCAGCGCCTTGGGACGTCCTCCCGATGTGAAAGGTGCTATACACATGTAATCTGTGCGGTCCGCGCGCGCTCCGTGCGGTCCGCGCGCGCTCCGTGCGGTCCGCGCGCGCTCCGTGCGGTCCGCGCGCGCTCCGTGCGGTCCGCGCGCGCTCTGTCAGCTGTGGAGACATTCCTGAGCTGTGCTGGGTGCGAGCCGCACCTTCCCAGTTGCTCCACACCACACCTTTCAGGCGTTGGGCGTGTCTGTGTGAGTCTCTCTCTCTTGAGCGAGAGGAGGCAGGCTGTGAGCGGACAAAGCGAGCACAGAGGAGGCACTCAGTCAGCACAGTCAGCTCAGCTCAGCCTCGCAGACAGCGCACAGAGAGCTCCAGACTGACAGACAGCACTCAGAGAGGACAGCCCGACCGACAGGCAGAGCAATGCCCAGGCAACAACAAGCCACTCCAAATGGAGCGAGCAGGAGACTGCCTTCCGACGACAGGCACTATCTGGACATGTTAAAATCCACAGAAGGCAGGAAAGGTATTTATTTAAATGTGTGGGTTTGGGAAGTCGCGGAGAAGGGTGGAGGGAAAGGGTTAATTATATTGCTGCGGTTGAGGCGTTGTTAATGCTGTAAATCTATTCAGGAAATTTCCGTTTACTGCTTCCTCTTCGGCTGTTAACTTTGGGTGTTCCTGGGCACAGCCCGTGGCATCTAGTGGGCACAGCCCTGGGGATCTATTGGGCACAGGCCAGGGGCTCTAGTGAGCACGGTCCGATAGTTTCCTGGGCACAGTCGGGCATCTCGTGGGCATACCTTGGTTGTCTCACCGCCACCAATAACATCAACATGCGTTTATATGGCGTCCCTCAGGCGGGGTAGCGACCCAGAGCGCTTGATAATGGCGGAGCATGAAGCTGAGCCGTGGGGAGGTTACCGTAGGCACGATCGGAGTGGAAGGTCTTCAGGAGGAGGGAGGGGACAAGGCGGAGGGGGTTGCCGGAGAATATTTCAGAGTTTCGGGGTGTCGTGGCTGAAAGTGCGGCCGCTAATGGTGGAACGGAGGGCACAAGGGTCTACTGGGCACAACAGCTTATCATGAGCTTTCGTGCTGTTAGTTATCAGACTTGATCCACGGCCACGGCGTGTACCTGACTGGGCTGTGGAGGATTAGGAGGTTCAGGAGTGTCGCTGTAAGAGTTAACAGGGAGGTTACAGGGAACTTGTTGAAGCAGAGAATTATCAGGAACGTGGAATGTTTTGGCAGCCGACCCTGTCAGGATCTGAGACTATAAAAACATGTAACGTGCGGTGAAAGATTATAAAAGAGCAGGGAAATGGGGTTATAGTAGAGAGCTCCAGTGGGGGAAGCGAGCACCAGCGCAGACACAATGGGGAAAGAGCAATGTCGTCTGCAGTGATGTAGCAACAGGATGTTCACTCCAGGTGTTACTAAATCCCCAGTCTGATAGTTGACAAGATGATGTGTCATGGTGCACAGTCCAGACTGACAGTGGTTGGAGCAGGGCTGCATCGTTAGAGGATGAGATGTTCACCTGAGGATCCAGTCTGTGCCTGTTCAGGTGGATGTTAAAGAACCTCCTAAAGGGAATGTCAGAATCGAGCCCACCCTCTTGTGGTCTGTAATCTGGCTCCTGAGCCAGGCAGGTCTGCTGTAGTCCAGGGCGTTGCTGATGACAGCACAGCCAACCTGGCTCATCAGCAGGACTTGGAAGGGCAGACCAGTCACCGGGGTCAGGGTATCCTCCCACTCAGCTCCTGTTAACTCTGCAAGCCACAGGCCTTAACAGGTAGGGTGGTCCTAGCCAGACAAGCAGCAGGAAGCTTGCCAGACAATTGCTTTCACGAGGAAACTGTGGTTTTAGCTGGTTAGACTCCAGCAATTATCCCAACTTGCACTCTGGGGTCCCCAAGCCTTGGCTCTCACCAACCTGCGCCTAATACTCTCCAGAATTAAATAAGCAGACTGCCTCCCTCCGGGGAGAGTGGATTCTGTTCCAGACGTGGAAATTTCCGTGTCTAGGTGCCTGCCATATCTGGAACTCTTAAAGTGGTTAAAGTCTTTTAAGCACGGTAATGGATTTACACGTGTATCGGATACCCGGCTGATCGAGGAAAAGAGAAATCGTGCAAGGCAATAAGATCAGTCGTTCAATTCGTGGCTGTTTGTGGGACGTCGCCATTTGCAAATGGACACAACCTTCGACATGTTTCGGCATTTTACCTTGTATGTGTTACGGTCCGGAATTATTTGATTATTTTGCCACACAAAATACACAGTCACTCCACTTTACAGTATATTCTGTGAAGCGCTTTGAGACGTCTCAACGGTGTGACAAGGCGCTGTATCAAATGCAAGGATTATTGTTATTATATACATTATATTATGACTCTGGTAGCTTGTATGTGTGTGGTTTGAATACAGAACTGGGGTTCTGCCGTGGACATCCCCTTGGACTGTCCCTCCTACCCCACCCAACTCCCCCGCCATCTTGCGCGATTTCTCTCTCTCTCCACGGACTATCCCCCCGGATTGCACTGGAGTGTCAGGCTAGATTACGAGCACAAACTCCCTGACTTGAACTTAATATCTTCAGACTCAGAAGTGAGAGCGCTACTAACTAAGCCCAGCAGATCCACACATCCCAGATGCCCACGGTCTCACATTGGGTGCCCAGAAATGTGCCAATACTCCCTGATAATTGCGAAGCGCTTTGAGGCAGCTCACGACGTGATAAAGAGTTACATCCAACGCCAGGGTTATTTATGAAGTTTGGACCCAGTACAAGGTCTGGGCACTGTGATATAGAGCAAGATTCGCTTTAATGTGAGAGTCTTCACGTGCCCGGCAGCTATCGGTTTGTACGTGAGTCACTCATATGTGGTGTGGGGTGATATGATCAGACAGATTAGACAGGAAATGGGGCACCAGCGGAGAGGGCTCAGCCTGCTGTGGGGATGCCAATATGATGAGTCAGGTTTGAATGCTCCATTACAGGAAGGATGTCATTGGAGATGGAGAGAGGGGTGCAGCACGTAGTCACTGGGATGATCCCGGGTTTGGGATAATATATTTAATTCTAAGAGAGGCTGAGCTATGTTGGCACTCAGTCGCGCTGCTCACTGCAAGGAGGAGGCTGAAATTGGAGTGGGTTTCCCTCCACTCAACGGGTTCCGGCCTGCTCCATGTTCCCCCGCCCTACCCAGCCTCACCATCAGCCTTCAGCCTTTCTGTCCCCCACCCTTTGGAACTCTATCCCACATTCCCTTCACCTCACCCTCTTCCATGCCTCCTTCAAGGCCCATTTCAAGACCATCTTCTACCAAACCTTCGGTCACCCTCCTACCCTCACCCTCCCTGCCCTCCACACCTCCTGATCCCAACCCCCAGCTCGGGTTCAAATCCCGGACTGTCCAGCACCTTGGCACATCCTCCTGACATGTAATTTGTTGTTGTCTACGGGAGGTGGGCAAGATGTGTACAAGTTTCCGGGTTGTGCTGGGCTGAGTATCAGGCTGCGGGTTTAGCGTGGACGGTCAGTGTAGACAGTCGGTGGGGATGGCCACTGGGGTCAGTTATTGGGGATGATCGGTGGGGAGGGTCGGTTGTCATAGTAAGTAGTTACTATTGACTCTTTTTCCATTTATCACATGTGTTCCACATGTTTCAGCCAAATAATCATCAGTATTAATGTTCCTGATGGAATCTTGCTCCCTCTAGCACTGTAGCTCCTCACCCACCAACCATCAACAAGACGACTAATCCTGGACATCAACCATTACTCCAGAACCCGGTTTACTCCAGACCCCTTTGTCTCCTGGCCGTTAGCAAGGTGGCCACGGCCTCGATGGAGGATCTGACTGGATTTTATTTTCCTCCACAGACGAACGAGACCGAGTGCAGAAGAAGACGTTCACGAAATGGGTCAACAAGCACCTGATGAAGGTGGGTCGAGTGCAACGGTGTGCAAATAGTGCACAATAGGGGTGCAACAGCCTAGAGTGCAATAGTGTGTAATGCTGTGTAATAGTATGTAATTGTGGTGCATAATGGTGGGTAATCATGGGCTTAGCCAAGGACGGACCTGGGTAGGTTATGCTCACCCATTTAGCACCTACCCCACCCATTGCTCTCATACCTCCCGTTCTGGCTCTCTACTCGACTCGAGAGAGAGTGGAAACCTTTGGTCATTGCCTCGCCACCGGAAGTTGGTGCCCATCCAAAATTTTCATCGCTAGCTACGCCTCTGTATGTAATTGTGTGTAATAGTGCATAATTGTGATAGTGGGTGGCAAGCTCAACTGTGTATCTCGCCGAGTGTGCGTCTCGCTCGCTGTTATTGTGTGCGCGGGAGCTCAGTGTTAACACGGAGCTGTGTGTGTTAACTTGGGGTGGGGCTGGGTGAAATCATTCACCGTTTACTGCCCATTTCCCCCCAAACCCTATTATATTCATAATGTTTCAACCTCGTCTTGAATCATCTTTTAAAGCTGTTTCTGTGATTCCGCCCAGTCCTGATAACCTTGCCTTCTGGTGACGATCCTTAATTGATATCCTCCGGTTACTGACTCACCCACCGCAGCCAATCGCAATCTACCTCAGAATAAGATTATAATAATTAAATAATAAAGAATAAAATGACCTCAACTTACCTCAGAACAAAACAATATCATTACACGATAAAGAATAAAATGATAAAATATCTCAATTTACTTCAGAATCTCATAATAATAAATAATTATTGTTATTAATAATATATTGTTATAAATAATAATGTTTTGCCCACAAAATAGGCAGTCACTACACTTTACAGTCTGTCCTGTGAAGCGCTTTGAGTTTCAATGGTGTGGTAAGGCGCTATATCAAATGCAAGGGTTATTATGGTTTTATATTAATAATAAAAAAGAGAAAAAAAAGGCTCATCTCAAGACCTTCCCCTTTGAGGTTGTTTTCAGCTACTTTCCCACCCCCTATTGACCCCAACCCCCAGCTCGGGTGCAAACCTATAACTGTCCTGTGCCTTGCAACGTCCTCCTGATGTGAAAGGTGCTGTACAAATGCAATATTGTTGTTGTTGCTGAATCCAGCGTTCTCAAACCTGCATTGGCTCTGCATTGTGATTCAGTGAATTCCAAGTTAATGTGTGCCATCGCCAGTGTGTGCCAGGGTGAGCGTCACCGGTGTGGCAAGTTATGTGCTGCCAGTGTGCACCGAGGTGTGTGTTCTGAGAGGTGTGTGCCGAGCTGTGTGCCGAGCCGCCTGCCAAGGTGGGCTCGCGTCGGACTGGCCGTGGCCTCAGGCAGCACTGGGATGGGAGGCGGAGGCGGAGGCAAGCTGGGCGTTGGCTGCAAAGCCACAGGAATGCTCTCTGCCTTCTCAGTCTCCAACTTCAGTGTTTCCAACAACCGTTGAAACAAGCAGAGTGAGTCACAAGGCCAACGCCCAACCTCCCTCCCTCCCTCCCTCCCTCAGCTCAGAATAATAGCACAATGTTTATTCCTCTCGGGAATCAGAAAGTTGCGCAGTGGTTAGCGTGGTCGCTTTTGCAAGAGAGACGACCTGGGTTTGATTCCTGGGCGAAACGTTCGCTTCCTTACTCCACACGCACTCTGTTTACCCAGCAGTAAGTAGGAAACCCGGTGGGCGGAATGCTTTTCCTGGGGTAATAATCCCTTCGAAAAATAAATAATAATAATAATTTGGTCGCTCAATCCATGACTGTTTGTGGGACACTCCTGTGTGCAATTGTCTGTCGCATTTCACCCACAAAATGCACACTTTACAATATACACTGTGAAGTGCTTTGAGCCGTCTGAACGTCATGATAAGGAGCTATATCAAAGTCGAGGATTATTATTAACTATCCCGAGCTGGTAACCCCTGACACAGTCTGCCACACAGGGGGTATCTGAGAGCCAGTGTGTCACTCCGGTATTGCTGACAGAATCACACAATTCCTCCATAATAGTGAGTGGTTTTCAGACCTTTTCAGATTCCACCCTCGTAAGACGGAGAATCTGTGCTGAACATCTCTGCCCATCTCAAGCCTGACATCAAACTCAAGGCGCATTCAGCCTCTATCATTGTGTGTGTTACACTATCTGTCACTGTGTGTGTAACTGCCTCTGTCAATGTGTGTGTTACTGTCACTGTGTGTGTTACTGTCTCTGTCACTGTGTGTGTGTTACTGTCTCTGTCACTGTGTGTGTTACACTATCTGTCACTGTATTGTAACTGCCTCTTGTCACTGTGTGTCTTACTGTATTTTTCACTCTGTGTTTTATTGTCCCTCTGATACTGTAACGATGCAGGAAAAGATTAATTGTGACCCTTTGTTTCTTTTCCCCCCTTTCTTCCTGTCTTTTTTACTTTCTCTTTCATTCTGTGTCCTGTGTCCACCTTCTCTGATTCTTTCACTGAATCTCTCTCTCACTTTCTCTCTCCCTCTCTCCATCAATCTCATACTCTGCCTCTCACACTCTCATTCTCACACTCTTTCACTGACTCTCTGACTTTCACACTCTCTCACTCATACTCTGCCTCTCTCTCTCTCTCTCTTTGCCCTCACTCCTCTCTTTCAGCACTGGAGAGCGGAGGTATGTGACTCTCTTGTTCTGTGGTTCTTTTTCTGAGAGGTTGGTGCACAACTGGGGCTAACACATTGTGGATTGATTGTCTGGCACTCGTTACACAGCAGGAACAGGGGTTCGGGTAAAGGTGGGGTTCAGGTTAAGGTTGGGGTAATGGGATAAGGGTGGGGTATGGTGTTAAGGCTGGGGTTTGTCGTTAAGGCTGGAGCTTGAGTTAGGGTTGTGGTTTGGAGTTACGACTGGGGTTGTGTTTATGGTTAATTTCTTTATGGATTGGGTTTGGTTATGGTGAGAGTTGGTTACGGTTCGGTTTGGTTATGGTTAGTTATATTTGGGTTGGGTTGGGTTTTGTTAGAATTAAGGTTGGTATGGTTCAGTATGGTTTGATTATGGTTAGAGGTGGGCATAGTTGGGTTATGGTTAGGGTTGGGTTATGGTTAGGATTGGGTTATGGTTGGGTGATGGTTAGGGTTAGGCTAGGGTTGGGCTATGGTTAGGGTTGGGCTATGGTTAGGGTTGGGTTATGGTTAGGGTTGAGTTAGAGTTGGGTTTGGGTTGGGTTATGGTTAGGGATGAGTTATAGTTGGGTTAGGGTTGGGTTATGATTAGGGTTGAGTTATGGTTAGGGTTGTGTTATGGTTGGGTTATGGTTAGGGTTGAGTTATGGTTAGGGTTGTGTTATGGTTGGGTTATGGTTAGGGTTGGGTTATAGTTTGGGTTGGGTTACGGTTAGGGTTGGTTATAGTTGGGTGGATTTACGATTCAGATTAAACTCGCAATGTTGGCTGTTATCACCTCTCACTTCACATGCTCCAGCATCCATTTAATCTGTTCTCCACCCCCCAGAAGCTCTGTAGCCTTGATCCCCGACAGCATGGCTGTGTTTGCTCTGCATGACACCGAGCTGCTTGTTCCTCCCACTTACAATGGGCTCATTCTTTTTCATTGCTTAATAAATGACTGTGATGACATTTATGGTTAATCTAATCCATAGAATGTTTTATTTATGATTCAAAATGTCACTCTGGTTATGTACGGGTGCAGTCACATTCACTACGCAATGTGAACAGAGGGCCAGCACCAATGATGGTATTAGAGAACAGGAAATGTCTCAGGTTACATCTGTGTAAGCCGCCACCACTGATGAATGTGACTTGAGCTGTAATGGCTCTCAATGGCATTGGTTCTCCTGTAGCTGAGGTCCTCAATAAATTATTCCAGCGATACAGAAGCACCTCATTCCCTTCCTGCTTCCACCTCCTCTTCTCCCTCTCCCTCATCTCTCAAGGATTCCAGAGATTGGGTGTGAAGGGTGAATGTGGAGGGTGGGGGCGGAGGGTGGGTGTGAAGTGGGGGAATTGAGAGGTGTGGTGGATGTGAGGCGAATAGTGGGGGTGTGAAGGTTGGGTGTAGAAAGGGGTATAAAGCGTAGTGGTTAGCGCGCTCACCTCACAAGTGAGAGGACCTGGGTTTGATTCCTGGGCGGGGCATGGTTTCTTACTCCACCAGCCTCTGTTTCCCGAGCAGTAAGTTGGAACCCGGTTGTTAGTCGATTGGCGGATCACTTTTCTGGGGGTAATAATCCCTTCAAAAATATATAATTTGGTCACTCGATCCATAAAACTGTTTGTGGGACATTGTTGTGCGCAATTGGCTGCCGTGTTTCACCCACGAAATACACAGTGAATTCACTTTACAGTATATTCTGTGACGCACTTTGTTACGACTCAACAACATGATAAGGCGCTGTATCAAATGCAAGGATTATTATATGATAATTATTATAAAGTGTACACTCTGTCTCGCCCAGGCCCAGCAGAGCGTGGATGACCTCTACGAAGATTTACGTGATGGACATAACCTGATTTCACTGCTCGAGGTCCTGTCTGGGGACTCACTGGTGAGTAGCCTGGAGATCTGGGGACCGGTGTCTAACCACAGCTGTTTTTCCCCATGCAATGCCGTTGGCAGAGAGCCTTCCACACGTGGCACTCACTGCCAGTCTTTGCGAGTGAGAACCAGTGCCTTTCAGTCCTGTAACACACGTCACAGAGATGGGGTCAGATGTCTCCTGGATGTGTGATAGCTGATATCTCGGTGTGAAGGTTAAATATCTTGCTGGGCCTTCAACGGTTCTATGTCAGCCATCTGCGGCCGTGATTACCCCCCCACACACACACACACTCAGACCTGACGCCCTACAGGCAGTCACATGGGGGTGGGGAGGAAGGGATAGTCAGATGGTAGGGGGCCAGTCACCCTGTGAGGGGTTATCCCCCCGGGGTGGGGGGGGGGTTGTGCGAGGAGGGTGACTGAAGGTGCGGTTGAAGAGGAGGGTCTTGAGATGGGACTTGAAGGAGGGGGCGAGGCGAAGGGACTGTGGAATAGATTTCCAAAGGGTGGCAGCAGAGAGGCTGAAGGCCCGGCCCTCCGATGGTGGGGACAGCCGGGTGGGGGAGGGGTTGTAGATCAGGCCAGAGCCCGCTGAGTGGAGGGAGCGGACAGGTAGGTATGGAGTTAGCAGGTCCCAGAGGTAGGGAGGAGCAAGGCCATGGAGGGCTTTAATGGCGAGGACTTTGAACTCTATCCTCTGGGGGATGGGGAGCCACTGGAGTCAGGCGAGGATGGGGGTGATGGGGTCATGGAGCCTGGTGTGGAGCTCTGAATGACCTGATTGGGGTTGGTGAGAGGTGGTGGGGGGGTGGGGGGCGGGTTGGGGTTGCAGTCACGGGGGGGAGGGAGTGAAATGTTGCTTTATTTCCGCTGCTTTGTATTCTGTCCCTTTTCTTGTTTGCTGAACTGTACCCTAACCTTCCTCTACCTCGTCCCTCCTCCTCCCTTCCTCTCCCACATCCCCTCCACTCCTCTCGTCCCGCCTCTCCATCGTTCCCTCACGCCGTTGTCTCCCGTTTTTACCCGCCCTCGCCCCCGTCTCCCTCTCCTTCTCCCTCTCTCTCGGCCCTGCCCTGCTCCACACTTGCTGTTTAGCCGAGGGAACGGGACGTAATGAAGAACGTGAGGCTGGTGAGTGGGTCTGTGGCGAGCATGAAACCATGGCGACAACTTAGGGACCAAATCCCCATCATCGGGGAGCGTCTCGCAATCACTCATTGTCAGGGAGCATCGCCCATTCAGCCAGCATCAGGGAGTGTCTTGCAGTCACTCATTAGGAGCTTCTCGCAATCACCCAGCATTAGGGAGCGTCTTTGCAAGCACTTCAGCATTAGAAAGCTTTTCGCAGTCATCTCAGGTTAGGGAGTGTTTTGTAATTGCCCAATGTCTGCCAGCATCTCTCAGTCACCCAGTGTCAGGGAGTGTCTCTCAGTCACTCAGCATCTTCGAGTGCCTCGCGATCTATCACTCACCCTCGAGGAATGTCTCCTGATCAGCCATCGTCCATCCATAAACTGGTGCTGTGCTGCACCCCATAGTGTCTGACCCACCACCACCCATTTCACGCATACATGGTTTATAGAAAGGAGGCCATTCGCCCATCGTGTCTGTGCTGGTGCTCGCTTCCCCACTGGAGCCCTTTACTCTAATCCTATTCCCTGCTCTTTACCCCTTATCTTTTCATATTAATTGCCCCCTTTATTTATTTTGACCAGAGTCTGATGAATGCTGTTAAACAGCCTGTTGTGTCAAGTGTGTGATCAAATAAGATTGCCATGTCAAACCCTCCTCTGTAATTCCACTGTCAGTGCTCTGTTCACACCCTCATGTTCCTCCCTCAGTCACCCAGTGTCAGGGAGTGTCTGTCTCTCTCTGTATCAGTGGGAATGTCCACTCAACCATGCCAGCTTCAGCCTCTCGTGTGTACACAGTCACACTTCAGAGGTGGGACAAAAGTACACACACAGACTGGCTATGTACACACAGACTGACCGTATACACACACACCCCCCCACACAGACTGACCATATACACCCCCCACACACACATACAGAGTGACCGTACACACACACACATACACACACACACGGAGTGACCGTATACACACACACACACAGACGTACCATGTTCACACACTCGGATGGACCTGTACACCACTGCTTGTTTGTTGCTAACCTGCACGTCGCCATGTCTCCCTCAATGCCAAGTGCTCACTGTTTACCAGGCTCTCTTCCAGCACCTCATTAAACACCTTCTGCAAAGCCATGTCACCAAGTGCATCACAATGTCTTTATGTTGGTATTTTTTCATCTCACACCTTCTCTCACACTCACACACTCTCACAGCTCCTCACACACTCTCACACCTCCTCACATCTTCTCACACCTCCTCATACACTCTCACACCTCCTCGCACACTCCCACACACTCTCACACCTCCTCACACTCTCACAGCTTCTCTCACACTCTCATACACTTTCACACCTCCTCACACCTCCTCAGACACTCTCACACACTCTTACACCTTCTCACACACTCTCATACTCTCACACACACTCTCACACCTCCTCACACACTCATTACACTCGTTCTCACGCCTTTTTACAATGTGTTTCACACACCTTAGTCTCTCACCTTCTCACACCTTCTCCCCTCTCTCACTCTCTTCTGACAGTCTCTGTATCTCACACATTCTGTATCTCATACTCTACCTCTCATTATGTTTCTCTCTCTCTCTCCAATGCACTCTGACTCTGTGTGTCTCTCACTCTCGTTCTCTGTCTCTCTCTGTGTGTCTCTCACACTCGTTCTCTGTCTCTCTCTGTGTGTCTCTCTCTCTTGCTTTCTCTCTCTCACAGTCGTTGTGTTTCCCTGCTGTACACTATCACAGTAAGTAGTAAATGTTGTGCTGTTTTTTGTTGTTGTTGGGGGAGTGACGTGACTCAGATTCAGACTCAGTCTGACGGCTATGTTCTGTATTCCCAGCCCCGTGAGAAGGGAAGAATGCGATTCCACAAACTGCAGAATGTTGGGATCGCCCTGGAATATCTCAAACACCGTCAGGTCAGTATCTCTCTCACTCCACCTCGCTCAGCTCTGGTCACTCTCTCACCGTCACACCCAACTCCAGGCCAATCTCACCCCCGCACTGAGCACGTGTTACTCTTGTTACTCTGGGGCTGTAATTGTTACTCCAAGGATGTGATTGTTACTCCGGGGGGGGTGGGGGTGATTGTTACTCCGGGGGGATGATTGTTATTCCGATGTGTTACAGGTCAGATTGGTGAATATTCGGAATGACGACATCGCAGATGGAAACCCCAAGCTAACCCTAGGCTTGATCTGGACCATTATCCTTCACTTCCAGGTTGGTTTGTGTTTTGGTCAGTCGGGTGACTGACACACTCGGAAACCCATCACCGTGTTTAGGACTATCCAAACCAAACTGAGAATTCCATGTCTCCCGCCTACACATGGAAATCCCAGAGACAGATTGTTGGAATGGAATGCGCTCTTCTCTCTCCCTCCCTCCCTGGAGAATTCCAGAAAGTTTCGGGCGCAGGTTGGCAAGAGCCAAGGCTTGGGAACCCCAGCGTGTGTGTCGGGTAACTGCTGGAATCTGACCAGTTAAAACCGCGTAGGTTGCCATTCATAGCACTGTCTGGCAAGCTTTCCTGCTGCGTGTCCAGCTAGGACCAGCTTATCCATTAGGACTTTGGGTTGAAGGGTTAACAGGAGCTGAGTGGGAGGATTCACTACCCGCAGTGGCTGGTCTGCCCTTCCAGGTCCTGCCGCTGAGCCAGGCCGAGCTGTGCTGTCATCAGCAGTGCCCTGGAATACTGCGGACTCGTCTGGCTCAGGAACCGGACTAGAGACCGGCACAGAGGGCTGGCTTCGAGTCTGGCTTTCGGTTGCTAGGCACGTCACTTTGGAGTCAGTTCAGCTCCCAAGGAGACCCCGCTTACCAGCGCTGTGTGAGTGCAACTCAGGGACCCTGTGTGTGGCTCATAGAGGAGGCTGGTCAGGGCTGGGCGCTGGCAGATGTAGGTCTGGTGGGCAGACCAGATCAGACTGCTGAAAGGCTTTTTCTACACAAACCTCTTGTGATCTTGTGTTTATCTGAGCGGCCTTTGATGTGGTCAGAACACTCCCTGAAGGCAAGCTGGAGCACAGAGAACGTTTTGGATAATGTTCTACAATAAAATGGTTGAGGGCAGCCACTCCCTCTCGTCAGAAAACCCATCACGAGTGACTGTATCTGTCCTGGTGCTCGTTCCCCCCACTGGAGCTCTCTACTCTAATCCCATTCCCTGCTCTCTCCCCATGTTGTCTGTGCTGGTGCTCGCTCCCCCACTGGAGCTTTCTACTCTAATCCCATTCCCTGCTGTTTCCCTCCTACCTATTGATATTAACCCTCACACAGATTGATTGTGTCCACACACACACAGACTGATCGTGTTCACACACATACACAGACTGATTGTGTACACACACACACACACACACAGACTGAGTGTGTACACCACTGGTTGCTTGTCTCTTGCCATGTCCCCCTCAAGACCAAGTGCTCAATGTGTGCTTTGCATTTGCTTGTGCAGATTTCGGAAATCAAGGTGAGCGGTCAGTCCGAGGACCTGACAGCGAAGGAGAAGCTACTTCTGTGGTCGCTTCTTATGTAGGGGTATTACTGGGCTACTGGTGCAGTTGGGCTCCTGGTACAGTTGGGCTCCTGGTGCAGGTGTTCCTTTTGGTCTCCTGGTGCAGTTGGGCTCCTGGTGCAGGGGTACTGTTGGGCTCCTGGTGCAGTTGAGCTTCTGTTGGGCTCCTGGTGCAACGGTTCTGTCCCTTGCACCAGGTTTAGCCCTTGAATGGATCAGGTCTTATCTCTCACACCGTCTCCAAATTGACTCCGCCAACGGTTTCTCTTCCAGCCCCCGCACAATCTTGTGCGGTGTCCCTCAGGGCTCTGTCCTCGGTCCCCTCCTCTTCACCCTCTAGATGCTCCCCCTTGGTGACATCATCCGCAAACATGGGGTCAACTTCCACCTGTACGTGGATGACACCCAACTCTATCTCTCTGCCTCCACCCTCGATTCCAGGACAACTGACATCCTGACAGACTGTCTGTCAGACATCAAGTCTGGATGAGAGCCAAATTTTTACAGCTGAATGTCAGCAAGACTGAGGCCCTAACGATTGGCTCGTGCGAGCGCCTCAGCACCTCAGGCACTGGCAGCGTCAGCATCCACAGATGCACATCCCACCTCACCAAGCCAGTCAGGAACCTGGGCGTCTTGTTCGACCCTCAACTGTCCTTTCTCCCCCATATCCATGTCATGACGCGCTCTGCCTTCCCCCACCGCCGCAACATTGCCTGACTCTCCCACTGGCCAAACCCCTCAGGCCAAACCCCTCATATGTGCATTTAGCATCTCAAGGCTCGACTACAGAAACTTCCTCCTTGTCAACCTCCCCAACTCTTCCTTCCACAAGCTGCAGATCATCCACAACTCTGCAGCTCGTGTCCTCTCCCGCACCAGGCTCCGTGACCCCATCACCCCCACCCTCGTCCGGCTCCACTGGCTTCTCATCCCTCAGAGGATAGAATTCAAAATCCTCATCCTCACTTTCAAGGCAGTCCACGGCCTTGCCCCCTCCTACATCTCTGGCCTGCTGACCCCCTAAACCCAATCCTTTTGCCTTACCTCCTTCAAGGCACGATTCAAGACCCTCCTTTTCGATCATGCCTTCAGCTGACCTCCTACTTCTCTGCCCTCCCTCCTCCCAACCCTACCCCCCACCCCATACTGGAGTCCTGATCCCCGATTTTTCAGTGCCTCGGAATGTCCTCCCGACATGAAAGGCAGTTTACAAATGTAATTGTGTTGTTGATGTTTGTTGTTGTTTTGGGGCTCCTGGTGCAGGAGTCCTGCAGTGTATTCGCTGCCAATTTCGCCCACAAAACTTACTGTCAATTCACTCACTTTACGGCATATTCTGTGTATATTTGAGACATCTCAAATGTCTCAGAATATACCATAAAGTGAATAAGGTCGTAATAAGGTGCTATATCAAATACAAGGATTATTATTATTATTACTGGTGCAAATGGACTCCTGGTGCAGATGGGCTCCTGGTGCAGTTGGGCTCCTGGTGCAGGGGTACTGTTGGGTTCCTGGTGCAGTTGGGCTCTTGGTGCAGGACTCTGTTGGCCAGTGGATGAACTATGTGCTTTGCCTTTGCCTGTGCAGATTTCGGATATCCAGGTAAGCGGCCAATCTGAGGACATGACAGCGAAGGAGAAGCTGCTACTGTGGTCACAGAGGATGGTGGAGGGTTACCCCGGGTTACGGTGTGACAACTTTAGCAGCAGCTGGAGAGATGGCAAACTCTTCAACGCTGTTATCCACCGCCACAGGTCAGTGTGACATTGCTAAATGGAGTCCTGAGCGCTCGCCTTGCAAGTGAGAGGACCCGGGTTCGATTCCCGGGCAGGGCAAAACCTCCGTCAAGTTTCCTTACTCCACACGTCTCTGTTTACCCAGCAGTAAGTAGGAATCCGGTTGTTAGTCGATTGGCGGATGGCATTTCCAGGAGCAATAATCCCTTCAAAAATAAATAATCATAATAATTTGGTCACTCAATCCACGACTGTTTGTGGGACACTGTTGGGTGCAATTGGCTGCTGTGTTTCGCCCACAAAATTCACAGTCAATTCACTATAGAGTATATTCTGTGAAGCGCTTTGAAACGTCTTGGAAGATGTCATAAGGTTTGATATCAGATGCAAGCATTATTATTACCATTATAAACTCACATTGCAGGAATGCACTGCCTGAAAGGATGATGCAAACAGATTCAATAATAACTTTCAAAAGGGAATTGGATATGTACTCGAAAAGAAAAAAATGCTGCAGGTCTGTGAGGCAAGAGCGGGGGGAGTGGGACAGGTTGGTAGCTCTTTCAAAGAGCCGGCACAGGCACAGTGATTCGAATGGCCTCCTTCTGTGCTGTAATATTTTACAATTCTATGATACTGCAGCTCAGTCCCAACTCCAACACTCTAATCCTCCTCCACTGGTCAGGGTGACATTGTAACCTCACGTTACAGGAATGCACTGTCTGAAAGGGTGGTGAACATGGATTCGATAGCAGCTTTCAAAAGGGAATTGGATATGTACTTAAAAAGGAACAATTGGCAAGGCTATGGGGAAAGAATGGGGGAGTAGGACTAGTTGGGAGCTCTTTCAAAGAGCTGGCACAGGCACGATGGGCCGAATGGCCTCCTTTTGTGCTGTAACGTTCTATGGTTCTACAGCACAGCCCCAGCTCCCTCAGCTCCTAGGGTGGGTGGGTGGATGGGGGTGCGGGTGAGGAAGGGAGTGGCTGAGGGAGACAGAGTGGGTGAAGGAGGGAGAGAGAGAGGGAGTGTGTGAGGGACGGAGAGAGTGGGTGAGGGAGAGAGTGTGGGTGAGGGAGAGAGTGTGGGTGAGGGAGAGAGTGTGGGTGAGGGAGAGAGCGTGGGTGAGGGAGAGAGTGTGGGTGAGGGAGAGAGTGTGGGTGAGGGAGAGAGAGTGGGTGAGGGAGAGAGAGTGGGTGAAAGAGGGAGAGCGTGAGTGAGAGAGGGAAAGAGTGGGGGAGAGAGGGAGAGCGCGGCTGAAAGGGAGAGAGTGGGCAAAGGAGGGAGAGAGCGGGTGAAAGAGGGAGAGAGTGGGTGAAAGAGGGAGAGAGTGGTCGAAAGGGAGAGAGTGGCCGGGGGAGGGAGAGCTTGGGTGAGCGAGGGAGGTGAAGGAGAGAGTGAGTGAGCGAACCAACGAGAGGGGTGTTGGCATTGGAGCGGATTGTGGAATGGAGCTTGTGCTGCTGCTCACCGAGCTGCTGGCTGAGTTGCGATTACCTGGCAGGGGATGAATCCCAGCTGTCAGCTTCGGGAGGCGCAAACCCTCCCCTCGGAGAAGCTTCCCTTTATAAAACTGGTGTCTGGAGGCAATGGATCAGATTACTGCTGGGACTGAGCTCCTGACACTCCCTGAGCGAGCGAGAGCACACACACACACACACACACACACAGAGACAGACGCACACGAGAGAGAGAGAGAGAGAGAGAGCAACACAGCCCGGCTCAGGTGGCGGAGACACTACACTGCTAGCCACTCGAGCGAACGGAGGTTTAGAGGCACGGCCTGAAGATGATGAGTAAGAAGAAGACTAAGAAGAGGAAGGGTTCGAGAGGCTGGCACGGCTCCTCGAGGTCCCTGAGGAGCCAGCCCGACCCCCGGGTACTCATGACGTGTGAAGACATCCCTCCCGAGCCCAACACCACTGTCTCTGCGTCAGGCTCGCTCTACTCCGTCCACACTGCCGTCAGGCTGACTGAAATGTAGGCTTGGGGGCTTGCTGACCGCTTGTTACGGAGAGGGGAAGGGGTGGGCGGTTGGGTGAGAGAGAGGGGGAAAGAGAGAGAGAGAAATGGAGAGAGAGAGAGAGAGAGGGGGGGGTGAGCCCCTCCTCCCACAACCCATGTCAGCCCGCTCCGCTAGGTGTGACCTCCACTCTCGTTCCGGAGGTGACTGAGAGCGGCAGTGATTGAGTGCGTGAGGCTCAGAAGCTGTGCTGTGAGCGCTCAGTCTCCGTGAGCCTTGGAGATCAGCCAAGGACGGCTCCCGCATTGTGGGACCGCTCTGCCCCCTGATGGAGAGACGCCTCTCTTACACTTAGGGACACCCCCCCCCCCCTCCCCACCCCCTCAAAAGATATAATACCCATCCTCGCGTTTGACGTAGCGCCTTATCGCGTCTTCGAGACGTCTCAAAGCGCTTCACGGGGTACACCGTCAAGTGGATTGACTGTCTATTTTGTGGGTGAACCGCGGCGGCCGTTCGCGCACGGCCGCGTCGCACGAACCGTCGCGGAATTGAGTGACCCGCGTGTTTTTTTTTTGAGGGGTTATTACCCCCTTGGAAACCAGTCCGTCTTCTTGCTCAGCAAACAGAGGCGTGCGGAGTAAGGAAAGGCTTCGCACGCCTGGGAATGGAACCCGCTCGCGAGGCGAAATCGTTCACCGGTACGCTACAGGATCCCACATGTGAAGATTCCTTCACGCACGGAGGGCGCGGAAAGTGTGCAACTGATGAGTGTGTTTACAAGGCAGCGCGAGCTGGGACAGGAATGAGGGTGTCTGGGCCGGGGTGGGCCGGGGTGGGCCGGGGTGGGGTGGGGCGGGTGAGGGGGGAGGGATTGTGAAATAGGCTTCAAAAGATCTGCCGTGATCTAACAAACCGGTAGAGTGGCTGTGAGCACAACGGGTGTCCTCAGTCACTCACTACTAATGGTAACACTAACTCCCCTCATGTTAACACTAACTCCCCACATGTTAACACTAACTCCCCTCATGTTAACACTAACTCCCCACATGTTAACACTAACTCCCCTCATGTTAACACTAACTCCCCTCATGTTAACACTAACTCCCCACATGTTAACACCAACTCCCCTCGTGTTAACACTAACTCCCCTCATGTTAACACTAACTCCCCACATGTTAACACGAACTCCCCTCATGTTAACACTAACTCCCCACATGTTAACACTAACTCCCCACATGTTAACACTAACTCCCCACATGTTAACACCAACTCCCCACATGTTAACACCAACTCCCCTCATATTACCAACTCCCCTCGTGTTAACACCAACTCCCCTCGTGTTAACACCAACTCCCCTCGTGTTAACACCAACTCCCCTCGTGTTAACACTAACTCCCCACCTGTTAACACCAACTCCCCTCGTGTTAACACCAACTCCCCACATGTTAACACCAACTCCCCACATGTTAACACCAACTCCCCTCGTGTTAACACTAACTCCCCACATGTTAACACCAACTCCCCTCGTGTTAACACGAACTCCCCACATGTTAACACCAACTCCCCTCGTGTTAACACCAACTCCCCTCGTGTTAACACCAACTCCCCACATGTTAACACCAACTCCCCTCGTGTTAACACTAACTCCCCACATGTTAACACTAACTCCCCTCGTGTTAACACTAACTCCCCACATGTTAACACTAACTCCCCTCATGTTAACACTAACTCCCCTCGTGTTAACACTAACTCCCCTCGTGTTAACACTCTGCTGTTGATCTCCAGACCGACGCTGATCGACATGAACAAGGTTTACCGGCAGAGGAACGTGGAGAACCTGGAGCAGGCCTTCACTGTGGCCGAACACGAATTCGGAGTCACCCGACTCCTGGATCCCGAGGGTAATCAGCACTGCCACACAGATGTGTGACACACTCACTGCTCACACTCACTGTGCTCACACTCATTCACCGTGCTCACACTCACTGTATGCTAATCTCACACTCACAATTAGCACAGCCAGCGCTGAGTGACACACTCACTCACTGTCCTCACACTCACTGTACACCAATGTCACACTCGCTCACTGTGCTCACACTCACTGTACACCAATCTCGCACTCACTCACTGTGCTCACACTCGCTGTACACCAATCTCGCACTCACTCACTGTCCTCACACTCACTGTACTACACCAATGTCACACTCGCTCACTTTGCTCACACTCACTGTACACCAATCTCACACTCACTCACTGTGCTCACACTCGCTATACACCAATCTGGCACTCACTCACTGTGCTCACACTCACTGTACACCAATCTCACACTCACTGTCCTCACACTCACTGTACACCAATGTCACACTCGCTCACTGTGCTCACACTCACTGGACACCAATCTCACACTCACTCACTGTGCTCACTCTCGCTATACACCAATCTCGCACTCACTCACTGTGCTCACACTCACTGTACACCAATCTCACACTCACTCACTGTCCTCACCTCACTGTACACTAATCTCACACTCACGCACTGTGCTCACACTCACTGTACACCAATCTCACACTCATTCACTGTCCTCACCCTCACTGTACACTAATCTCACACTCACTCACGCACTAACTGTACATCAGTCACTCACTCACTCACTCACTCACTCACTCACTCACTCACTCACTCACTCACTCACTCACTTACTTACTCACTCACTCACTGTGCTCACACTCACTGTACACCAATCTCACATTCACTATACTCTATTCTCACACTCACTGTTCTCTTTCACTTTCCAGTATACTCACTCACTGTACACTATACGTACACTCGCTATACATTATTCTTACGCTCACTTACACTTCCCACACTCGCTGTCCGCACTCCTCACACTAGTTCCACGCTCTCTGTGTAGATGTTGATGTTCCTCACCCCGATGAAAAGTCCATCATCACCTACGTATCGTCGCTGTACGATGCCGTGCCCCGTGTCCCTGACGTACAAGACGGTGTCAAAGCCAACGTGAGTACCTCCCAGCGAGCAGCGTCTGCTGTGTCCACGAGCTCCCAGGGCACCAGTGCTCACCAGGGGAGGTCAGCAGTGTGGACGGTGTGGGGGCGGAGGGCAGTGAGACTGTCGGGGAGGGTGGGGGGCTGTCTCAGCCTGAGACTTGGTGTGCGGTGTGCACAGGGCTAGTGTCACTACAATCACTACGCAGTCACTACACAATCACTACTGGGCAGCAATGTAGATTGTATAATATATACACACACATATACACATACACACACACCGGTGACCTTGTTCTTGTGTAATTCACACTGTATCAACAATACAATACAAACGTACCTTGATATCTGGCCTTTCATGTCAAGATGACACCCCAGGTCACTCTCACCTTGTAACTCTACACTCGCATTACTCACACTCTGTGTACCGTATACTCTGTAATGCACACTCTGGTCATTATGCTTGTGTAACTCACATGCTGCCTGTTGAGTGTGTCAATGTTGCCCGCCTCTGTGATTGAGTGTGTCAGGGTACCTGTGTGGTTGAGTGTGTCAGGGTGCCTGTGTGATTGAGTGTGTCAGGGTGCCTGTGTGGTTGAGTGTGTCAGGGTGCCTGTGTGATTGAGTGTGTCAGGGTGCCTGTGTGATTGAGTGTGTCAGGGTGCCTGTGTGATTGAGTGTGTCAGGGTGCCTGTGTGATTGAGTGTGTCAGGGTGCCTGTGTGATTGAGTGTGTCAGGGTGCCTGTGTGGTTGAGTGTGTCAGGGTGCCTGTGTGGTTGAGTGTGTCAGGGTGCCTGTGTGGTTGAGTGTGTCAGGGTGCCTGTGTGGTTGAGTGTGTCAGGGTGCCTGTGTGATTGAGTGTGTCAGGGTGCCTGTGTGGTTGAGTGTGTCAGGGTGCCTGTGTGATTGAGTGTGTCAGGGTGCCTGTGTGATTGAGTGTGTCAGGGTGCCTGTGTGGTTGAGTGTGTCAGGGTGCCTGTGTGGTTGAGTGTGTCAGGGTGCCTGTGTGGTTGAGTGTGTCAGGGTGCCTGTGTGGTTGAGTGTGTCAGGGTGCCTGTGTGATTGAGTGTGTCAGGGTGCCTGTGTGGTTGAGTGTGTCAGGGTGCCTGTGTGGTTGAGTGTGTCAGGGTGCCTGTGTGATTGAGTGTGTCAGGGTGCCTGTGTGGTTGAGTGTGTCAGGGTGCCTGTGTGGTTGAGTGTGTCAGGGTACCTGTGTGGTTGAGTGTGTCAGGGTGCCTGTGTGGTTGAGTGTGTCAGGGTGCCTGTGTGGTTGAGTGTGTCAGGGTGCCTGGAGTGTGTCAGTGTACCTGTGTGGTTGAGTGTGTCAGGGTACCTGGAGTGTGTCAGGGTACCTGTGTGGTTGAGTGTGTCAGGGTACCTGGAGTGTGTCAGGGTACCTGTGTGGTTGAGTGTGTCAGGGTGCCTGTGTGATTGAGTGTGTCAGTGTAACCGCCTGTGTGATACTGTGACGTGAGTCAGTGTGACACTGTGTTCGTCTGTGTGCAGTGTGATGGCCTTGTGACATTGTATGTGTGTCAGGATGACTGTGTGTGTGTTGGTGTGACAGTGCACTGTGTGTGTGTGTGTGACACCGTGTGTGTGTGTGTGTATAACAGGAGACACAGCTGTGCTGGCAGGAATACTATGAGTTGGTGACAATCCTGATCCAGTGGATCCGACATCACATCGTCACCTTTGAGGAACGTCGCTTCCCTGGCACCTACGAGGAGATGGAGGTGAGTGACTGTCTGTGCCCCACGCTCTGCGACACGCCATCTGACGGTCCCGCACACGCGTGTGGCGCTCAGTAACACTTGGTATCCCTGGCGTGTAGCTGTGTGTAACACGCGGTGTCCTGGCGTGTGGCGTCATGTTGCTATTTCATTCTCAGGTTCTCTGGAGACAATTCCTGAAGTTTAAGGAAACCGAACTTCCAGCAAAAGAATTGGATAAAACGCGGAGCAAAGCCATGTTCCGAGGATTGGAGGTCAGGACTGGAGCGACTTGTGGACTCACCCCCCCCCACCCCCCGCCACACACACACACACACACCCCTCCACACCCACACACAACAACCCCCGGCACACACACAACACCCCCCCACCCACACACAGACACCCACCACACATTCGCCCACAACATCACTACCCCGCCACACACACACACACACATACACACACACACAACACCCCCTCCCGCACACACACAACACCCCCATGCTGTGTGTGTGTGTGTTTGTGTGTGTGAGACACTATATTCCAGAGCGCTGTGTGTGTGTGTTACAGAGCGCCGTACAGGAAGGACATCTGAAGATTCCTGTGGGTTACCACCCGATTGACGTGGAGAAGGAGTGGGGGAAGCTTCACGTCTCCCTGTTGGAGCGAGAGCGGGTTCTGCGCATTGAGTTTGAGAGGTTCGTCTGGGGCGGGTGGACTGTATACACATTACACTACAGCCTTCATCCATGGTGTCCGTGCTGGTGCTCGCTCCCCCACTGGAGCTCTCTACTGTAACCCCATTCCCTGCTCTTTCCCCATCGTGTCTGTGGTGCTTTTATTGATGGGTCTATCTCCTTGTCTTTGTTTGGCCGACTGACTCTTCTGTGCATGTGTTAGCATGTGTCTCTGCCAGTCTCTGTTTGCGTTTGTACTTGCATGTGTGATGCGTGTCTCTGTTCAGGCATTTCCGTTTGCATGACTCTGCAGGTGTATTAGTGTGTATGTTATGTGCCTATTTCCGTGCATACCTGAACATGTTTTACGGGTCTTTCTCCTTGTCTCTGCGTGGTTGTCTGTCCTGTTTGCGTGTGTGTTGTGTGTTTCTGCTTACATGTCCCTGTTGACCTGTGTCTGTTTGCATGTGTATTTGCGTGTGTATTACATGCTTCTGTTTACACGTCTCTACTTGTCTCAGTTTGCTTATCTTGCACGTGCCGTGTGAGTGTATTTGCGTGTGCGTATTGGGTGCAGAGCATGTGAATTGTGTGTTGATGGAATTTACATTGCGTGTGTCTGGCAGGTTGGAGCGGTTCCAGCGCATCGTCAGCAAGATCCAGGTGGAGTCAGGCGTGTGTGAGGAGCAGCTTAAACAGTGCGATTCCTTGCTCAAAACTGTGAGTGGCCACAACTGTCCTCGTGTGTGGTGGGGGGGGGAATGGGATAGGTGTGCGTTTGGGGGAGGAGACTGTGTATGTCTGGGATATGTGTGTGTTTCTGTGTTGGGGGAATGTGTGCGTGTGGGGTGGGTGGGTGGGAGGGTGCGTGTACACTGTGTGTGTGATGCGTGGAGTGTGCCGCGTGTGGGGTGGGGGGGGGTTGGGAGGAAGGTGGACGTGTACGAATGTGTGGAGGGGGCGGGTGGGGAGAGGGGGTGTGGTGTGTGTTTGTGTGTGGGGGTGTGTGTTGGGAAGGCGTGTGTGAGTGAATGCGGGGAGAGTGCATGTGTGTATGGGGGTGGAGTGTGTATGTGTTGTACACTGCAGAGAATGGCTGTGTGAGCCTCTCCTCTCCCCCTGGTACAGGATATCACGCTGCTGAACGCAGGGAAAGCTCCTCAGAGCTCTGCCGTGCTGCACCACGACCTGGACAAGGCCGACTCCATGATCCGCCTCCTCTTCAACGATGTCCAGACCCTGAAAGATGCTCGGCATCCACAGGCGGAGCCCATGTACCGCAGGTCAGTCAGGGTCAGGCCACCATCTCGGGCTCGGACCTGCCCGTTAGGGCTTTGACTCGCAGAGTTAACGGGCTGAGTGGGAGGATTCCCTGCCCCCAGAAACTGGTCAGCACGGTGAGGGTGGAGGGTTGAGGGCACGTAGAGTCCTGTCGTGTTAGTGGTTAGAGCTCTCGCCTCAGCAAGCGAGAGGACCCGGGCTCTATTCCCGGGCGGGGCGAAACCTTAAGCAAGTTTCCTTACTCCACACGCCTCTGTTTACTGAGCAGTAAGTAAGACCCCGGTTGTTAGTCGATTGGCGGATCACTTTCCTGGGATTGCCTCCCCCCCCCCCCCCAAAGATGACACAATAATTTGTAATTTGCTCACTTCAATCCACGACTGTTTGTGGGGCGCTGCTGTGCGCAATCGGCTGCCGTGTTTCGCCCACAACTATACAGTCACTCCACTTTACAGTATATTCCGTGAAGGGCTTTGAGATGTCTGAACGTCCCCTGCTCTGCCTCCCCCCTCCCCACCACCATCAGCGGGCGGGACACTCAGCCCCTCCGCTCGAACCCTCTGAAATTCCATCCAGGAATCCCTCCCCTCCCTCCCTCCCTCCCCACCTCCCACCCACTCACCCCATTCAAGACCCATTTCAAGACTTTCCTCTTCGACTGCACCTTTGGCCATCCTCCCTCCGCGCCCCAGGCCCCCTCTCGTTGCCCTCCACCCCTCTCTCATCCCAACCCCCTCGTCGCCCGGTGGCTTGGGACGTCCTCCCAACACGGCGAACGCGGTATAAATGCAAGTTGTTGTCGTTGCTGGTGTCTTACAAGTGCCAATGACGCCTGCTCTCTCTCTCTCTCTCTCGCTCTCGCTCTGGACAGGGTTTTCCGTCTCCACGAGCTGCTGGTGGCCATCCGCACGGATTACTCTCTGCGGTTCAAGTCTGGAGCTCAGACCATTCAGCAGGTGACGGTGAGCAGCACGTTCAAGGGCCGCAGTGACCTGGACCATGCCACCCTGCGCTATGTGCAGGACCTGCTGGCCTGGGTGGAGGAGAACCAGAAGAGGATCGACGGGAGCGAGTGGGGGGTGGACCTGCCCACCGTGGAGTCCCAGCTCGGCTCCCATCGTGGCCTCCATCAGTCCATCGAGGATTTCCGGGCCAAGATCGAGAGGGCTCGTACTGATGAGGTGAGGTACCCGAGGCTGACACTCACACTGACTCCCTCACACACACACACTAACACGCTCACACGCACACTGACACGCTCACACATGCTCACACTGACACTGACACGCTCACACACTGACACTCACACTGACATGCTCACACACACTCACATTGACACTGACACACTCACACTGACACGCTCACACATACTCACAGTGACACTGACACACTTACACTGACACGTTCACACACACTCACACTGATACGCTCACACTGACACACGCTCACACTGGCACTGACACACACACTCACACTGACACGCTCACACTCACACGCTCACACACACTCACACTGACATGCTCACACACGTTCACTCTGACACGCTCACACATACTACACACACACACACTGACACGCTCACACACACACTGACACGCTCACACACACTGACACGCTCACACACACTGACACGCTCACACATGCTCACACTGACACTGACATGCTCACACACTGACACACACATTCACACTGACACCGCCACGCTCACACACACTGACACTGACACGCTCACACACTGACACACACACTCACACTGACACTGACATTCTCACACACAATGACACACTCACACACACTGACACGCTCACACACACTCACATTGACACTGACACACTGACACTGACACGCTCACACATACTCACACACACTGACACACACACACACTGACACATTTGCATACATTCACACTGACACACTCACACTGACAAACTCGCACACATTCACACTGACACGCTCACACACACGCACACTGACACTGATACACTCACACTGACACGCTCACACACCCACAATCATACTGACACACACACACTGACATAATCACATTAACACTGACACGCTCACAACCACACGCTCACACCGACACGCTCACACCCACACGCTCACACCCACACGCTCACACTTGACACGCAAGGCCCTCAAACGCCCACACATACTCACACACTTACACAGACAATTACACAGATGTACACACACACGCACACACACACGCACAGATGCTTACACAAATGTACACACGCTCACACCCGCTCACACAGACACTTACGCAAATGTACACCCACCCACACACAGTGAGAGCTGAGCTGTGAGCCATGGCTGATTGACGTTGATGTGTTTGATTGACAGGGACAGCTATCTTCGGCCAATCAGGGGTCCTACCGCGACTACCTCGGGAAACTGGACCTGCAGTACGCCAAGCTCCTGGTCAGTCACTCTCGCTTACTAGCGTCAGGCGCTTTGGGACCCACCCCGCGTGAGGGGCGCTATATAAATGCAAGTTGTTGTTGCAGCTGAGGGGGAGTGAGGGACTGCGCCGGTGCTCAGGGCTGTGGGAGTGAGGGACTGCGCTGGTGGTGAGGGCTGTGGGAGTGAGGGACTGCACGGGTGCTCAGGGCTGTGGGAGTGAGGGACTGCACGGGTGCTCAGGGCTGTGGGAGTGAGGGACTGCACGGGTTGCTCAGGGCTGTGGGAGTGAGGGACTGCACGGGTGCTCAGGGCTGTGGGAGTGAGGGACTGCACGGGTGCTCAGGGCTGTGGGAGTGAGGGACTGCACGGGTGCTCAGGGCTGTGGGAGTGAGGGACTGCACGGGTGCTCAGGGCTGTGGGAGTTGCACTAAATAACGATTCTCACTACAGAACACGTCCAAGTCACGCCTGCGTAACCTGGAGAGCCTGAACACGTTTGTTTCTATGGCGACAAAAGAGCTGATGTGGCTGAACGACAAAGAGGAGGAGGAAGTGAACTGCGACTGGAGCGAACGCAACAACAACATGGCTGCCAAGAAAGACAACTACTCGGTGAGCAGTGCCCTATTACGCACCATTACAGACCATTGCACACAACTACGCAGTCAGCAGAGCACTATTACACACCGTTTCAGACCGTTACACGCTCTCACAAATCGTTCCACATCATCACACACAAGCGCACACTGCCCTTGGTGCTCAGAGTGACGTGTGTGGCCTGACAAATGTGGAGTGACGTGTCTCTGGTGTCTGTGGTGACAGGGGCTGATGAAAGAGCTCGAGGTGAAGGAGAAGAAAGTGAACAGTATTCAGAACACAGGAGACAAATTATTGCGTGAGGGCCACCCTGGCAAACAGACCATTGAGGTACGTCGTTTAACCGATTGGGATCACAGTGATTTATACCATTGTGCCCTGTAAGGGGGAATCTGTCATTTACATTATTGTTCCATACGAGTGTGAATCACAGTGATTTACACTCTTGTGGCAGCCTGGCTCAGTGGTACTGCTCTCACCCCTGAATCAGAAGGTTGTGGGGTCAAACCCCACGTCAGGACTTGGAATCACATCGTCTCAGCTGACACTCCAATGCAGCGCTGGGGGCTGTTGTATTGTCGGAGGTGCCGTCCTTTAAACTGAGGTCCCGATTGCCTGTTCAGGTGGACATTAAAGATCCCGAAGCATTATTCAAACACAGAAGGGGGTTTCTCTGTCCCAGTGTCCTGGCCAACAATCCCCTAAATAAAATTAATCAATTGTTTGTGGGATGTTGCTGTTTACAAATTGGCTGCTGCATTCACGAACGAAACACAATCACTACACTTTACACTAAATCTTGCAAAGTGCTTTGGGATGTCCTCATGACCTCATGTCCTCATGACCTGAAGGGTGAATTACAGTGATTTTCACAGTGATCCATGGTTGCACACTCCATCTTACTGAGCCAGTCTGGAAGCTTGGCGTCTTGTTTGACCCTCAACTGTCCTTTCTACCCCACATCCGTGCCATGACCTGCTCTGCAACCTCCCCCCCACCTCCGCAACATTGCCCGGCTCTGCCACTTGTCTTGCCCCTCAGGCCGCCGAAACCCTCATCATGACATGCATTCACCATGTCCAGGCTCGACTACACCGACTCAACAACAATAACTTCTTGGCCCAGCCACCGATGGGAAGGAACTCCACCCCACAGTCCTTCAGCCTCACCCCTTCACTTGTCTCCTTCAAGGCCTGTCTCAAGACCCTCCTCTTCGACTGAGGCTTGGGTCATCCTTCTGCTCCTACCCTCCCTGACCTCCACCCCTCCTGATTACACCCCCCCAGCTCGGGTCCAAATCTCTGACCGTCCAGGGCCCTGGGACGTCCTCCCGACGTGAAAGGCGCTGGGTAAATGTTATTTGTTGTTGTTATTTACATCATTGTACCCACACAACATGACACTCTCACTCTTTGTGTCCGCAGGCCTTCATGGCAGCTCTGCAGACACAGTGGAGTTGGATCCTGCAGCTTTGCTGCTGCATTGAAGCTCATCTCAAAGAGAATACGGCTTACTTTCAGGTCTGTACATACACAGCACTGGGAGCTGTACACCATCTCGCACTCTGTCTCTCATTCACACGCGCTCTCACACTCACTCACACTCACTCTCCACCTCACTCACGCTCTCTCGCACTTGCTCTCCCACACACTCCTCTCTCTCACACACACTCACACTTTCCCTTACTCTCACAATCACACGCTCTCTCACACTCACTCACACACTCTCTCACACTCACTTACACTCTCTCTCTCACACACTCTCTTTCACACTCACACACACTCACACTCTCCCTCACTCTTACACTCACACTCTCTCACACACTCTCTCTCTCACACTCTCACACACTCTCTCTCAACCATCACTCTCTGTCTCTCCACCAGTTTTTCTCTGATGTCCGGGACGCGAACGAGTACCTGAAGAAGATGGAGGAATCCATGAAGAAAAAATACTCGTGCGATCGATCTGTCACGGTCACCCGGCTCCAGGACCTTCTGCAAGATGCCTCAGTACGTTCCCCCGCCCTGTCCTGCCATTGCCAGCCCTCCCTGCCTTGCCCTCCCTAGCCCTGCCCTCCCCAGCCCTACCCTGCCTTCCCCAGCCCTTCCCTGCCCTCCACAGCCCTACGCTCCCCAGCCCTGCCCTCCTCGGCACTACCCAGCCCTACCCTCCCTAGCCCTGCCCTCCCCAGCCCTACCCTGCCTTCCCCAGCCCTTCCCTGCCCTCCACAGCCCTACCCTCCCCAGCCTACCTTGCCCTCCCCAGCCCTGCCCTCCCCACCCTACCTTGCCTCCCCCACCCCTCCCCTGCCCTGCCCAGCCCTACCTTGCCTTCCCCAGCCCTACCCTCCCCAGCCCTCCTCAGCTCTGCCCCTGTCCTGCTCTGCCCACCCCCCACCACCTCTCTCTCTCTCTCACACTCTCTCTCTCTCTCTCTCTCTCTCTCAGGATGAGAAGGAGGCACTGACTGACTATAAGGAGCATCTCTCTGGCCTCAGTAAACGAGCGAAGACCATTGTGCAGCTGAAGCCTCGGAGCGCGGCCTGCCCGCTGGCCAGCCGCACGCCCACCAAGGCTGTGTGTGATTACCGGCAGATGGAGGTGAGCTTCTCCCCGGCCTGGCCTCAACTCTGCCCGTCTCCTGGTGCCAGCCCTTTGCCAGGCCCAGACTCCTGGTGCCAGCCAGGCTCTATAATAATAATAATAATAATAATAATCCTTGCGTTTGATATAGCGTGTAATCACGTCTTCGAGACGTCTCAATAGAGGCGTGTGGAGTAAGGAAACTTGCCCACATGTTTCACCGTGCCGGGGAATCGAACCCAGGTCCTCTTGCTTGCGGTGCGAGTGCTCTAACCACTACAGTACAGGACTCCTGCTCTGGCTCTGACTCTGTTCTTCGTGCTCACACAGATCACAGTACACAAGGGAGACGAATATTCGCTGCTCAATAACTCACAGCCCTACAAGTGGAAGGTGGTGAGTGCGTCTGGGGGCGAGGCTGTTGTGCCCTCTGTCTGTTTCAACATCCCCCCACCCAACAGGGACGCACTGGACTCTGTCACCAGGTAACACCCTCCAACCCTCTCTCTCTCTCACACACTCACTCTCACACTTTCTCACTTCCATGCCCTCTCTCGCTCGCTCGCTCGCTCACGCACTCACTCACTCTCCCAAATTCTTACTCTCTCTCTGTCTCTCACACACACACACACTACCTCTCGCTCTCACACCATCCCTCACTCACACACTCTCTTTCTCTCTTACTGTCGCTCTCTCTCTCTCCCTCTCTCATTGTGTCTCTCACGCACAGGATCACACTCTCTCACACACTCTCGCTCACACATACACTCCCTCTCTGTCTCTCTCCCTCTCTCATTGTATCTCTCACACACAGACTCCCACACTCTCGCTCACACATACACTCACACTCACTCTCTCTCTCTCTCTCTCTGTCTCGCAGGCTGGACTCCATGTTACAGGGTGTGCTCACTCTCTGGCACCATTTCCATGTTGACATGAAGACGCTGCTCTCATGGTTGTACCTTCAGAGAGACATCCACCAAATCCGCTCCTGGACTCTGCTCATGGTCAGTATCTGTGTCTCACCAGCCTGTACACCGCAGGGCAGTGGGTGCTGGTGTGGGGTGGTGCCAGTGCCTGGCAGTGTCGGTGGATGGCAGCGTCAACCTGTCTGCTCACTCCGCTCGGCGGGCACTGACCTGCTTCACGTTCCCCGCTTTGCCCGCCCCACCATCAGCGGTCGAGCTTTCAGCCTCTCTGCCCCCACCCTTCGGAACTCCATCCCACAGTCCCTTCGCCTCGCCCCCTCCCTCCCTTGCCTCCTTCAAGGCCCGTCTCAAGACCTTCCTCTCTGACCCCCACCTTCGGTCCACCCTCCTACCCTCCCCCCCCCACCCCAATCCCAATCCCCATCTTGGGGGCAAATCCCTTATTGTCCAGTACCTTGGGACGTCCTCCCATCATGAAAGGCGCTGTGTAAATGCGATGTGTTGATGTGTTTGTGCTGGCGGGCGGGCGTCTGCCTGTCTCTTTGTGGCTGACCTGCTCTGTGCCGTATCTCCTCAGCTGCGCAGTCTGAGTGCGGAGGAGTACAAGCTGCTGATACAACGGCTGGAGGTTCACTATCAGGACTTCCTGAGGGAGAGCCAGGACTCCCACAGCTTCGGGCCCGAGGACAGGATCCAGATGGAGAAGGATTACAAGATGACCATCCAGCACTATGAGAAACTGCTCCGCAGCCTGGAGAAAGGTACCCATAGCCCCTCTCCGTGTCGCTGGCCAGCGCAGGGCGGGCGAGTCAGTGATCACGGCGCAGGCATATAAGATTCTTAACGGAAGTGACAGGGTAGATGCCGTGAGACTGTTTCCCCTGGTTGGTGAATCTATAACCAGGGGTCACAGTCTCAAGATTAAGGGTCAGAACTGAGTTGAGGAAACACTTTTTCACTCAGAGGGCAGTGAATTTGTGGAATTCTCATCAGTGGGTGTGCAAGGTGTGTCAATGAGCGTGCAAGGCCTGTCTGAGTGTGCAGGGTGGGTCTGAGTGTAAGGTGTCAGCGTCTAAGGTGTGTCGGTGAGTGTGTAGGGTGTGTCAGTGAGTGTATAGGGTGTGTCAGTGGGCGTGTAAGTTTTGTCAGTGAGTGTGTAAGGCGTGTCAGTGAGTGTGTGAGGCGTGTCAGTGAGTGTGTGAGGCGTGTCAGTGAGTGCGTGGGTGTGTCAGTGAGTGTGTAAGGCGTGTCAGTGAGTGTAAGGCGTGTCAGTGAGTGTGTGAGGCGTGTCAGTGAGTGCGTGGGTCTGTCAGTGAGTGTGTAGGGTGTGTCAGTGAGTGTATAGGGTGTGTCAGTGGGCGTGTAAGTTTTGTCAGTGAGTGTGTAAGGCGTGTCAGTGAGTGTGTGAAGCGTGTCAGTGAGTGTGTGAGGCGTGTCAGTGAGTGCGTGGGTGTGTCAGTGAGTGTGTAAGGCGTGTCAGTGAGTGTAAGGCGTGTCAGTGAGTGTGTGAGGCGTGTCAGTGAGTGCGTGGGTCTGTCAGTGAGTGTGTAAGGCATGTCAGTGAGTGTGTAAGGCATGTCAGTGAGTGTGTGAGGCGTGTCAGTGAGTGCGTGGGTCTGTCAGTGAGTGTAAGGCATGTCAGTGAGTGTGTAAGGCGTGTCAGTGAGTGTGTGAGGCATGTCAGTGTGTAAGGCGTGTCAGTGTGTGTGTAAGGTGTGCCAGTGAGTGTGTAAGGCGTGTCAGTGTGTGTAAGGCATGTCAGTGTGTGTAAGGCATGTCAGTGAGTGTGTAAGGTGTGTCAGTGTGTGTAAGGCATGCCAGTGAGTGTGTAAGGTGTGTCAGTGAGTGTGTAAGGTGTGTTTGAGCATGTAAGGCGTGTCAGTGAGTGTGTGAGGCGTGTCTGAGTGTGTAAGGTGTGTCAGTGAGTGTGTGAGGTGTGTCAGTGAGTGTGTAAGGTGTGTCGGTGAGTGTGTGAGGTGTGTCAGTGAGTGTGTAAGGCGTGTCAGTGTGTGTGTAAGGCGTGTCAGTGAGTGTAAGGTGTGTCAGTGAGTGTGTGAGGCGTGTCTGAGTGTGTAAGGTGTGTCAGTGAGTGTGTAAGGCGTGTCAGTGAGTGTGAGGCATGTCTGTGAGTTTGTAAGATGTGTCAGTGAGTGTGTGAGGCGTGTCTGAGTGTGTAAGGTGTGTCAGTGAGTGTGTGAGGTGTGTCAGTGAGTGTGTAAGGTGTGTCGGTGAGTGTGTGAGGTGTGTCAGTGAGTGTGTAAGGCGTGTCAGTGTGTGTGTAAGGCGTGTCAGTGAGTGTAAGGTGTGTCAGTGAGTGTGTGAGGCGTGTCTGAGTGTGTAAGGTGTGTCAGTGAGTGTGTAAGGCATGTCAGTGAGTGTGAGGCATGTCTGTGAGTGTAAGGTGCGTCAGTGAGTGTGTAAGGTGTGTCAGTGAGTGTGTAAGGTGTGTCAGTGAGTGTGTAAGGTGTGTCAGTGAGTGTGTAAGGTGTGTCAGTGAGTGTGTAACGCCCCGCTGTGTGCAGACGAGGAGGACGAGTCGAGTTGCCAGACGTACATCTCACAACTGAAGGACATTCGGCTCCACCTGGAGTCGTGTGAGACCCGAACCATCCAACGCCTGCGGCTGCCACTGGACAAGGAGCCACTACAGGAGTGTACACAGAGACTGAGCGACCAGCAGGTAACACAGCCCAGTGACACACAGCGCTCCGTAACACAGCCCAGTGACACACAGCGCTCCGCAACACAGCCCAGTGACACACAGCGCTCCGCAACACAGCCCAGTGACACACAGCGCTCCGCAACACAGCCCAGTGACACACAGCGCTCCGCAACACAGCCCAGTGACACACAGCGCTCCGTAACACAGCCCAGTGACACACAGCGCTCCGTAACACAGCCCAGTCACACACAGCGCTCCGTAACACAGCCCAGTGACACACAGCGCTCCGCAACACAGCCCAGTCACACACAGCGCTCCGCAACACAGCCCAGTGACACACAGCGCTCCGCAACACAGCCCAGTGACACACAGCGCTCCGCAACACAGCCCAGTGACACACAGCGCTCCGCAACACAGCCCAGTGACACACAGCGCTCCGTAACACAGCCCAGTGACACACAGCGCTCCGTAACACAGCCCAGTCACACACAGCGCTCCGTAACACAGCCCAGTCACACACAGCGCTCCGTAACACAGCCCAGTCACACACAGCGCTCCGTAACACAGCCCAGTCACACACAGCGCTCCGTAACACAGCCCAGTCACACACAGCGCTCCGTAACACAGCCCAGTCACACACAGCGCTCCGTAACACAGCCCAGTCACACACAGCGCTCCGTAACACAGCCCAGTCACACACAGCGCTCCGTAACACAGCCCAGTGACACACAGCACTCCGTAACACAGCCCAGTCACACACAGCGCTCCGTAACACAGCCCAGTCACACACAGCGCTCCGTAACACAGCCCAGTCACACACAGCGCTCCGTAACACAGCCCAGTCACACACAGCGCTCCGTAACACAGCCCAGTGACACACAGCGCTCCGTAACACAGCCCAGTGACACACAGCGCTCCGTAACACAGCCCAGTGACACACAGCGCTCCGTAACACAGCCCAGTGACACACAGCGCTCCGTAACACAGCCCAGTGACACACAGCGCTCCGCAACACAGCCCAGTGACACACAGCGCTCCGCAACACAGCCCAGTGACACACAGCGCTCCGTAACACAGCCCAGTGACACACAGCGCTCCGTAACACAGCCCAGTGACACACAGCGCTCCGTAACACAGCCCAGTGACACACAGCGCTCCGTAACACAGCCCAGTGACACACAGCGCTCCGCAACACAGCCCAGTGACACACAGCGCTCCGCAACACAGCCCAGTGACACACAGCGCTCCGTAACACAGCCCAGTGACACACAGCGCTCCGCAACACAGCCCAGTGACACACAGCGCTCCGTAACACAGCCCAGTGACACACAGCGCTCCGTAACACAGCCCAGTGACACACAGCGCTCCGCAACACAGCCCAGTGACACACAGCGCTCCGCAACACAGCCCAGTGACACACAGCGCTCCGCAACACAGCCCAGTCACACACAGCGCTCCGCAACACAGCCCAGTGACACACAGCGCTCCGTAACACAGCCCAGTGACACACAGCGCTCCGCAACACAGCCCAGTGACACACAGCGCTCCGTAACACAGCCCAGTGACACACAGCGCTCCGTAACACAGCCCAGTGACACACAGCGCTCCGCAACACAGCCCAGTGACACACAGCGCTCCGTAACACAGCCCAGTGACACACAGCGCTCCGCAACACAGCCCAGTGACACACAGCGCTCCGCAACACAGCCCAGTCACACACAGCGCTCCGCAACACAGCCCAGTGACACACAGCGCTCCGCAACACAGCCCAGTGACACACAGCGCTCCGCAACACAGCCCAGTCACACACAGCGCTCCGCAACACAGCCCAGTCACACACAGCGCTCCGCAACACAGCCCAGTCACACACAGCGCTCCGTAACACAGCCCAGTGACACACAGCGCTCCGTAACACAGCCCAGTGACACACAGCGCTCCGTAACACAGCCCAGTGACACACAGCGCTCCGTAACACAGCCCAGTGACACACAGCGCTCCGCAACACAGCCCAGTGACACACAGCGCTCCGTAACACAGCCCAGTGACACACAGCGCTCCGCAACACAGCCCAGTGACACACAGCGCTCCGTAACACAGCCCAGTCACACACAGCGCTCCGCAACACAGCCCAGTGACACACAGCGCTCCGTAACACAGCCCAGTGACACACAGCGCTCCGCAACACAGCCCAGTCACACACAGCGCTCCGCAACACAGCCCAGTCACACACAGCGCTCCGCAACACAGCCCAGTGACACACAGCGCTCCGCAACACAGCCCAGTCACACACAGCGCTCCGCAACACAGCCCAGTGACACACAGCGCTCCGTAACACAGCCCAGTGACACACAGCGCTCCGCAACACAGCCCAGTGACACACAGCGCTCCGCAACACAGCCCAGTCACACACAGCGCTCCGTAACACAGCCCAGTCACACACAGCGCTCCGCAACACAGCCCAGTCACACACAGCGCTCCGCAACACAGCCCAGTGACACACAGCGCTCCGCAACACAGCCCAGTCACACACAGCGCTCCGTAACACAGCCCAGTGACACACAGCGCTCCGCAACACAGCCCAGTGACACACAGCGCTCCGCAACACAGCCCAGTGACACACAGCGCTCCGTAACACAGCCCAGTGACACACAGCGCTCCGTAACACAGCCCAGTGACACACAGCGCTCCGTAACACAGCCCAGTGACACACAGCGCTCCGTAACACAGCCCAGTGACACACAGCGCTCCGTAACACAGCCCAGTGACACACAGCGCTCCGTAACACAGCCCAGTGACACACAGCGCTCCGTAACACAGCCCAGTGACACACAGCGCTCCGTAACACAGCCCAGTCACACACAGCGCTCCGTAACACAGCCCAGTCACACACAGCGCTCCGTAACACAGCCCAGTCACACACAGCGCTCCGTAACACAGCCCAGTCACACACAGCGCTCCGTAACACAGCCCAGTCACACACAGCGCTCTGTAACACAGCCCAGTGACACACAGCGCTCCGTAACACAGCCCAGTCACACACAGCGCTCCGTAACACAGCCCAGTGACACACAGCGCTCCGTAACACAGCCCAGTGACACACAGCGCTCCGTAACACAGCCCAGTCACACACAGCGCTCCGTAACACAGCCCAGTCACACACAGCGCTCTGTAACACAGCCCAGTCACACACAGCGCTCCGTAACACAGCCCAGTCACACACAGCGCTCCGTAACACAGCCCAGTCACACACAGCGCTCTGTAACACAGCCCAGTCACACACAGCGCTCCGTAACACCGCCCAGTGACACACAGCGCTCTGTAACACAGCCCAGTGACACACAGCGCTCTGTAACACAGCCCAGTCACACACAGCGCTCTGTAACACAGCCCAGTAACACACAGCGCCCTGTAACACAGCCCAGTCACACACAGCGCTCTGTAACACAGCCCAGTCACACACAGCGCTCTGTAACACAGCCCAGTTACACACAGCGCTCCGTAACACAGCCCAGTCACACACAGCGACTGGTGGCTGGATCTCGTCATTCCATTGCCAAACATGTCACGTTGGAGCCAGTTCAGCTCCAAGCAGCTAAGACGCCGTATGGAACGCAAGACTCGTTGTGACGGTGCGGAGATGAGTCGCTCAGTACGTCTCTCTCTCCCTCCCTCCCTCCCTCCCTCTGTAGAAAATCCACAGTGAGCTGGACAGCATCAAGAGGAACCTGAAGACAGTGAATGAGAAGACGGAGCTGGTCCTATCGATGCCAGACGTGGGCAGTGGCCCCGCCCTGCGCTCCGCCCTGGACATCACCCAGCAGAAGATGGAGCGTGTGTACAGCCTCTCCACGGTCTACCTGGAGAAGTAGGTGTCAGCGCACCCCCAAACACAGCCCCCCCCAACCTCCCCCAAGCACAGACCCCATGCTCCCCCAAAACACAGGACTCACACTCCTCCAAAACACGGGTCACGCACTCCTCCAAAACACGGGTCACGCACTCCTCCAAAACACGGGTCACCCACTCCTCCAAAACACAGGACACACACTCCTCCAAAACACAGGACACACACTCCTCCAAAACACAGGACACACACTCCTCCAAAACACAGGACACGCACTCCTCCAAAACACGGGACACACACTCCTCCAAAACACAGGACACGCACTCCTCCAAAACACAGGACACGCACTCCTCCAAAACACAGGACACACACTCCTCCAAAACACGGGTCACGCACTCCTCCAAAACACAGGACACACACTCCTCCAAAACACAGGACACACACTCCTCCAAAACACAGGACACACACTTCTCCAAAACACAGGACACGCACTCTCCTAAAACACACACACACTCTTCCCCCCCCCACCCCCCCCCCCCCCCGAAACACCACCCACATGCTGCCCCAAAACACAGGCCTCTTCACTCCGAAAACACGGGACCTTGCGCTCCCAGAACACGGGGCCGCTGTGTTCACACAGAGGGGTTGTGTTCACGCCGAACGCTTGTGTTTAGACTGAAGACGGTGGAGGTCGTGATTCGCAGCACTGAGGGCGCTGAGAAGATGGTGAAGAAATACGAGGACAAACTGCGCAACGTCAACACTGTCCCCTCCGACACCAACAGCCTAGAGAGCTACAAAAAACAGCTGAAGGTCAGCGAGCAATCCGAGAGAGGGAACGAGAGAGACAGAGAGTCTCTGCCTGTCTCTCTCTCACATTGTCTCTCTCTCTTTCTCTCTCTCTCTCTCTCTCTCTCTCATCACTCACTCACTCTCTCTCTGTCTCACACGTTCTCTCTTGTCATTCACTCTCTCACTCGTACTTTCTTACACTTTCTGGGTCTCACCCTCCGTCCCACACACTCTCACTCCCTCACACTCTCTCACACACGCACTCTCTCTCTCTCTCTCTCTCTCACGCGCACTCTCTCACGCTCTCTCTCTCTCGCTCTCACACCAGGAGCTGCGGGCAGAGCTGGAGAGACAGCAGCCACAGTTTGACACGCTGGACACTGAGCTGAGCAAAGCGCGCGCTGTGAACGAGCGGATGATCCGGAGTCACAGTGAGCGTGACGTGGACCTGGAGCGGTTCAGGGAGTGGGTTCAGCAGTTGCTGGAGCGCTGGCAGGGGGTGCACACCCAGACCGAGACCCGGGCTCGAGACCTGGAGCAGCTGGGCCGACAGCTACACTATTACCGCGACTCCTACCAGCGGCTGATGAGCTGGATCGAGGAAACCAAACAGCGTCAGGAGCAGCTCCAAAGCCGGACAGGCGGCAAAGGCAACCACGTCAGCCAACAGCTGCTACAACAGCGGGTGAGGGACGGAGTCTGTCCGGGCTGTGGGTGGGGGAAGCAGGGGGAGGTTGGGTCTATGGTGGAGGGTGGTCTCTGGAGGAGGTGGGATCCGTTGAGGAGGTTGGGTCTATGGCGGAGGGTGGTCTCTGGAGGAGTTGGGATCCGTTGAGGAGGCTGGGTCTATGGCGGAGGGTGGTCTCTGGAGGAGGTGGGATCCGTTGAGGAGGTTGGGTCTATGGCGGAGGGTGGTCTCTGGAGGAGTTGGGATCTGTTGAGGAGGCTGGGTCTATGGCGGAGGGTGGTCTCTGGAGGAGGTGGGATCCGTTGAGGAGGCTGGGTCTATGGCGGAGGGTGGTCTCTGGAGGAGTTGGGATCTGTTGAGGAGGCTGGGTCTATGGCGGAGGGTGGTCTCTGGAGGAGTTGGGATCTGTTGAGGAGGCTGGGTCTATGGCGGAGGGTGGTCTCTGGAGGAGTTGGGATCCGTTGAGGAGGTTGGGTCTATGGCGGAGGGTGGTCTCTGGAGGAGGTGGGATCCGTTGAGGAGGCTGGGTCTATGGCGGAGGGTGGTCTCTGGAGGAGGTGGGATCCGTTGAGGTTGGGTCTATGGCGGAGGGTGGTCTCTGGAGGAGGTGGGATCCGTTGAGGAGGCTGGGTCTATGGCGGAGGGTGGTCTCTGGAGGAGGTGGATCCGTTGAGGAGGCTGGGTCTATGGCGGAGGGTGGTCTCTGGAGGAGGTGGGATCCGTTGAGGAGGCTGGGTCTATGGCGGAGGGTGGTCTCTGGAGGAGGTGGGATCCGTTGAGGAGGCTGGGTCTATGGCGGAGGTGGTCTCTGGAGGAGGTGGGATCCGTTGAGGAGGCTGGGTCTATGGCGGAGGGTGGTCTCTGGAGGAGGTGGGATCCGTTGAGGAGGCTGGGTCTATGGCGGAGGGTGGTCTCTGGAGGAGGTGGGATCCGTTGAGGAGGCTGGGTCTATGGCGGAGGGTGGTCTCTGGAGGAGGTGGGATCCGTTGAGGAGGCTGGGTCTATGGCGGAGGGTGGTCTCTGGAGGAGGTGGGATCCGTTGAGGGGGCTGGGTCTATGGCGGAGGGTGGTCTCTGGAGGAGGTGGGATCCGTTGAGGAGGCTGGGTCTATGCGGAGGGTGGTCTCTGGAGGAGGTGGGATCCGGTGAGGAGGTTGGGTCTATGGCGGAGGGTGGTCTCTGGAGGAGGTGGGATCCGTTGAGGAGGCTGGGTCTATGGCGGAGGGTGGTCTCTGGAGGAGGTGGGATCCGTTGAGGTTTGGTCTATGGCGGAGGGTGGTCTCTGGAGGAGGTGGATCCGTTGAGGAGGCTGGGTCTATGGCGGAGGGTGGTCTCTGGAGGAGGTGGGATCCGTTGAGGAGGCTGGGTCTATGGCGGAGGGTGGTCTCTGGAGGAGGTGGGATCCGTTGAGGAGGCTGGGTCTATGGCGGAGGGTGGTCTCTGGAGGAGGTGGGATCCGTTGAGGAGGCTGGGTCTATGGCGGAGGGTGGTCTCTGGAGGAGGTGGGATCCGTTGAGGAGGCTGGGTCTATGCCAGAGTCGGGGCCCGTAATCACCGTCTCATTCCCCGTAGAAACTCATGGACGAAATTGAGAAGAAGAAAGAAAAAGTGGACGAGTGCGAGAGGTTTGCCAAACAGTACATCGATGCCATCAAGGTATTTGCCTGACGTGTCGGGTGTTCTCTCCCTAACTCTCCGACCTGCTTACTCCCCAACCCGTCTCCCGCTGCCTCCGCGCGACTGGCTCCGGCCTCCTGCTTGTCAAGCGCTCTGGGGCGCAGCCCTGCATGAGCGGCGCTATGTAAAGTGCAAGTTGTTTTTTTGTTGTTGTCAGTGGCTGATTTGCCGTGTGGTTATTTCCAGGATTACGAGCTGCAGTTGGTGACGTACAAAGCTCAGGTGGAACCAGTGACGTCGCCGGTGAAGAAGCCGAAGGTTCAGTCGGCCTCAGACACCGTGATCCAGGAGGTACGAGCAGTACAGCAGCACAGTGTGCCGGGAGCCTCGAGTGTCTGTGCCGCACAGCGCCGAGTGTCCAGGTCACGGGGAAATGTGTGTCTGTGGCATATGGCACTATTATGTCTCTGTGTCTTGAGTCTTATCTTACTGACCCGGTGACTGACCCGGTGACTGACTGTGACCAACCCGGTTACTGACTCCCAGAGACTGACCCGGTGACTGACCCGGTGACGGACGGTTACTGACTCCCGGTGACTGACCCGGTGATTGACGGTGACTGACGGTGACTGACGGTGACTGACCCGGTGGCTGACGGTTACTGACGGTGACTGACCCGGTGACTGACGGTTACTGACTCCCGGTGACTGACCCGGTGATTGACGGTGACTGACGGTGACTGACGGTGACTGACCCGGTGACTGACGGTGACCAACCTGGTTACTGACTCCCAGAGACTGACGGTGACAGACCCGGTTACTGACTCCCGGTGACTGACCCGGTGACTGACGGTGACTGACGGTGACTGACCCGGTGACTGACCCGGTGACTGACGGTGACTGACCCGGTGACTGACTGTGACCAACCCGGTTACTGACTCCCAGAGACTGACGGTGACTGACGGTTACTGACTCCCGGTGACTGACCCGGTGACTGACGGTTACTGACTCCCGGTGACTGACCCGGTGACTGACCCGGTGACTGACGGTGTTTCTGGTTACAGTATGTGGAGCTCAGGACTCGCTACATTGAGCTGATGACCCTGTGCAGCCAATACATCCGCTTCCTGGTGGAGACACAGAGCAGATTGGAGCAGGAGGAGGTGAGTGATGCACTCACACACACATACACACACACATACACATACACATACATATACACACACATACATACATATACACACACATACATACATAAACATACACATACACACACACACACATACACACACATACATACACACACATACACACACACACATACACACACATACATACACACACATGCATACACACACACACACATACACACATACATACATATACATACACACACACATATACATACATACATACATACACACACATACATATACACATACATACACACACACACAAACATACACACACACACACCCACATGCTATGCTGGCAGTGGGAGGCAGTAAATATAGACAAGAACCACGATTCTCACACACATCTACACAGGTTATTCCCCACACTGCTCGCAACGGTAGACATTGCTGTCTGTCTGTGTCTGTCTGTCTATTTGTCTGTCTGTGACTGCCTATTTGACTGTCTGTCTGTGTCTGTCTGTCTGTTTGTCTGTCTGTGACTGCCTATTTGACTGTCTGTCTCTGTCGGTCTGTCTGCCTATTCCTAACCTCTGTTGCTGTCTGTTGCAGTCTCATTCTATGATAGCAATGGCAAAGCTCTGTGGTTTTAGCTCGCGAGACTCCGGCAGTATCCCAACTCACACTCTGACACACAAGCCTTGACTCTGTAAGATAGATAACATCCGCCTGGCTGCCTCCTCCACCCCCCCACCCTCCATCATGTCGCCTACCACTCCCCCATGTCTCCTTCACCAACCTTTCCTCCTACCACGGCCCTTACCACGGCCCACACCTAACACTCCTTTGCCGCCATCTCTCCCTCCTCCCTTTCCCCCACCACCACCCAGATGAAGCCCAACAGCCGTTGCCTCAACCCCCTCCCCACCCGGCTTCTGGTCACTCACCTCCCCCTCCTCTGCCCACTCCTGGCTGACACAGTCTCTCTCACACATACTCCCCCACCTATGCTCCCAATTACCGAATGGATCGACTTTTAAGATCCTCTCACACGTTGTCAAATCCCTTCATGCCCCCACACCTCCCAACCTATTCAATGTGCTTATCATTCTGAAGCCCCTCCGCTTTGTCCTTACCTCCTTCAAGGCCCGTCTCAAAACCCTCCTCTTTGCCTTGGGTCGCTCTCCTAGCCCTACCCTCCCTGCCCTCCTGATCCCAACCCCCAGCTCGGGTCCAAACCCCTGGGACGTCCTTCTGACATGAAAAGGGCTACGTAAATGTAATTTGTTGTTGCCATCTGTGTCTCTCTGCGCTGCCTGTGTCTGTGCTCTGCCTGTGTCTCCATCCTCTATCTGTGCTCTGCCCACGTCTCTGTGCTCTGCCCACGTCTCTGTGCTCTGCCCATGTCTCTGTGCTCTGCCCGTGTCCCTATCCTCTGCCTGTGTCTGTGCTCTGCCCATGTATCTGTGCTCTGCCCATGTCTCTGTGCTCTGTCCATGTGCTCTGTCCATGTCTCTGTGCTCTGCCCGTGTCCCTTTCCTCCACCTGTATCTGTGCTCTGCCCGTGTCTGTCTCTGCCTGTGTCTCTGCCTTTGTCACTGTGCTGCCCGTGTCTCTGTGCTCTGCCCGTGTCCCTTTCCTCTGCCTGTATCTGTGCTCTGCCCGTGTCTGTCTCTGCCTGTGTCTCTGCCTTTGTCACTGTGCTGCCCGTACCTCTGTGCTCTGCCTGTCACTGACCGCTCCCGTCACTGAGTCCTGTGCAGGCTCACGGCTGTATCCTCTTGCTTACCTGCTTCTGCTTGTGAATCCAGGTTCCTGGGAGCACACTAACTGGCTGCATGGCAACAAGCGGGCTTGAGACGGAGCACGTAACCCGTGCCAGAGGGGGTCTGTGAACGCACGCGAAAGCGAGAGAGAGCGAGCGAGCGGGGGCTGAACCGCCGGCTCACGCAGTCTGTCGACGTTGAGAGGCCAAAGCTGCACACCCACGGCAAGGACCCGATGTCCTGTGGCTGTGTTAGTCAGTCAGGTGCCTGTGGACATGACAGGAGACACCGTGCCTTACACAGTGAGGTCTAGGTCAATGTCTCTTGTCACTCCGCACGCACACCGTTTGTGTCACTCCCATCACGTCGCTCTGGTTTACTCTGGCCTCATTTTGGTGTCTCGGCAATGCCAGCTTCCTGGTGCTGTAACTCTCTGTACTGTGCCGTTACTCACTATGCTGTGCTCACTCAGTGTGCCGTGCTGTCATTTGCTGTCACTCACTCTTTGTCCTGTACCATGGAGTCCTGTAGCTCAGTGCTTAGAGCACTCGCCTCGCAAGCGAGAGAATCTGGGTTCAATTCCCGGGCGGGGCAAAATGTTGGGCAAGTTTCCTTACTCCACACGCCTCTGTTTACCGAGCAGTAAGTAGGAACCTGGTTGTTAGTCGATTGGCGGATCGCTTTTCCTGGGGTAATAAACCCTTCAAAAAAAAAAGTAATAATAATAATTCGGTCACTCAATCCACGACTGTTTGTGGGACGCTGCTGCGCGCAATTGGCTGCCGCCTTTCGCCCACAAAACATGCAGTCAATTCAATTTACAGTGTGTTCTGTGAAGCGCTTTGGGACGTCCTCCCGACGTGAAAAGCGCTATATCAAAATGCAAGGATTATTATTATTATTATAATTCACTTTACAGTATATTCAGTGAAGCGCTTTGAAGACGTGATAAGACACTATATCAAATGCAAGGATTATTATAAGATTATTATTAGTATTATTACCATCACTCTCTGTGCTGTGCCGTTACCCCTGTGTTCCTCACTCAATGCATGAGCCTGTGACACCCATCACAGACCTCTCTCAGGTGGTCCTCTCTCTCAGTGCCTGTTCCTGTGTGTCATGTGGACTGACGTCCCCCCCCCCCACCTATTGAGTGGCTCCGACAAAGTATCAGCTGTCTGTTCGTGTCCCATTGCATTAAGCTGTTTATTGGCTGTTGCTGTGCCGAGCTCTGGCTCAGAGCCCTAAACGCCCAGCCAGTTCTCCGCCCGGCACACCAACACCTTAACCTAACATCTTACCAACCATGTGGCGTCAAACACCTGACGCTGACATTCTGGATGGGAATAATAATACCCGCATTTGATACAGAGCCTCATCACGCCGTCGAGACGTCTCTCAAAGCGCTTCACGGGATATACTTCCTGTGAAGTGGAGTGACTGTGTATTTTGTGAGCAAAAGAACCAGCTTCCAGATTTAGGACCGGATTTGAGAACGGAGTCCTGTAGCTCAGTGGTTAGAGCACTCGCCTTGAAAGCGAGACACCTGGGTTCAATTCCAGGCAGAGGGCGAAACCTTGGGCAAGTTTCCTTACTCCACACAGAGCCTAATAATAATCCCTTCAAAACAAAAAACAATAATAAATTGGTCATTTTCAATCCACGACTGTTTGTGGGACATTGCTGTGCGCAATTGGCTGCCGCGTTTCGCCCACAAATATACAGTCAATTCACTTTACAGCGTATTCTGTGAAGCGGTTTGAGACGTCTCGAAGACGTGAAAAGCGTTATGTCAAATGCAAGGATTATTATTATTATTATTATGGCGCTTAGAGCACTCGCCTCACAAGCGAAAGGACACAGGTTTGATTCCTGGCAGGGACGAAAACTTAGCCAAGTTTCGTATCTCCACACACCTCTGTTTACCCAACAGTAAGCAGGTAGGACCCGCTTGTCAGTCCATTGACGGATTGTTTTCTGGGAGCATGACTGTTTGTGGGACACTGCTTGGTCTAATTGGCTGCCACGTTTCTCCCACAAAACACACCGTTAATTCATTTACAATACAGTGCATCCTGTGAAGCGCTTTGAGATGCCTCAACGACGTGATAAGGCGCTCTATCAGATGCAAGGATTATTATTATAATTTGTCCCAATCGCTGCATCATCTTAAACGACAGTGAAACGGGCGGAGAGCCGGCAGGGCGGGATGCGAGGGCAGGGGGTGGGCGTGTTTGTGGTCGATTTACGTGTCCCCTCTTTTCTGACGGTGACGTTTCCTGGTTATTCAGAAAACGGCAGAGAAACTGAAGGCGGAGGAACGTCGCAAGCTGGAGGAGGTGGAAGCCGAGCTGGAGAAGCAGCGCCAACTGGCCCAGGCTCACGCCAAAGCCAAGGCCCAAGCCGAGAGAGAGGCCAAGGAACTGCAGCTGAAGATGGAAGAGGAGGTGAGCAAGCGAGAGATCGTGGCGGTGGACGCTCAGCAGCAGAAGCAGAACATCCAACAGCAGCTGCAGCAGCTCCGCCAGTCCTCGGAGACTGAGATCCAGAACAGGACCAAGATCGTGGAGGAGACACTTGTCAGCCGCACTAAGATCGAGGAGGAGATCCGAGTGATTCGCCTCCAGCTGGAGGCCTCGCAGAAGCAGAAAGCCGGGGCCGAGAGCGAGGTTCAGCAGTTGAGATCGCGGGCCGAGGAGGCGGACAAGCAGAGGAGGGTCCTGCAGGACGAGGCTGAGAGGCTTCGCAAGCAGGTCAACGAGGAAGCCCAGCGTAAGAAACAGGCCGAAGAGGAGCTGAAGGTCAAGGTGCAGGCAGAGAGCGAGGCGGCCAGGGAGAAACGCAAGGCCCTGGAGGACCTGCAGCACTTCAAGAACATGGCAGCCGAGGCAGAGAGGAAGATGAAGCAGGCGGAGGTGGAGAAGGAGCGTCAGATCCAACTAGCTCATGACGTGGCCCAGAAGAGCGCGGTGGCCGAACTCCAGAACAAACGCATGTCCTTCGAGCAGAAAACCAGTGAGCTGGAGATGTCCCTCAAGCAGGAGCACCTGGCCGTCACCCAGCTTCAGGAGGAAGCCAGCCGGCTCAAGAGGCAACAGGAAGAGGCGGACAGGGCCAGGGAAGAGGCCGAGAAGGAGCTGGAGAAGTGGCAGCAGAAAGCCAACGAGGCCTTGAGGCAGAGGCTCCAGGCCGAGGAGGTGGCCCACAAGAAGACCTTGGCTCAGGAAGAGGCTGAGAAACAGAAGGAAGAGGCCGACAGGGAGGCCAGGCGCAGAGCGAAGACTGAAGAGTCGGCCGTCAGGCAGAAAGAAATGGCGGAGGAAGAGCTGGAGAAGCAGAGGCGTCTCGCTGAGGAAACAGCCCAGCAAAAGCTAACAGCCGAGCAGGAGCTGATCAGGCTGCGGGCCGAGACTGAGAATGGGGAGCAACAGCGCATCCTGCTGGAAGACGAACTGTATCGGCTGAAGAATGAGGTGACCGATGCCCTGAGGCAGAGGAAGACCTTGGAGGAGGAACTGGCCAAAGTGCGGGCGGAGATGGAGTTGCTCCTGCAGAACAAGGTCAGGGCCGAGGAGGAGAGCAGGTCCAACTCGGAGAAGACTAAGCAGATGTTGGAGAGCGAGGCCACCAAGATGAAGGGTTTGGCCGAAGAAGCGGCTAAGCTGCGGGCGGTGGCTGAGGAGGCCAAACGGCAGCGTCAGGCAGCCCAGGATGAAGTGGTCCATCAGCGCGGAGAGGCTGACCGCATCCTGAAGGAGAAACTGATGGCCATCACAGAGGCCACCCGCTTGAAGACGGAGGCCGAGATGGCACTGAAGGAGAAGGAGGCGGAGAACGAGAGGCTGAGGAGGCTGGCAGAGGACGAGGCCTATCAGAGGAAGGCCTTGGAGGAGCAGGCCGAACAGCACAAGAAAGACATTGAGGAGAGGATCGGGCTCCTCAGGAAGAGCTCAGACATGGAGCTGGAGAGGCAGAAAACGATCGTGGAGGAGACCCTCAAGCATCGCAGGATCATCGAGGAGGAGATCAGGATCCTCAAGGTCAACTTCGAAAAGGCCTCAGAGGGCAAGTCGGACCTAGAGATCGAGCTGGGCAAGCTGAAGAGCGTGGCTGAGGAGACGCAGCAAAGCAAGGAGAGCGCAGAGGCGGAGGCTGAGAGACAGCGAGCCCTGGTCCAGGAGGAAGCCAAAAAGAGGCAGGAGGCGGAGAGGAAGGTTAAGGAGATCCTAGCGGCCGAGCAGGAGGCTGCCCGGCAGAGGAAGACGGCCCTGGAAGAGGTGGGAAGGCTCAAGAACAAGGCGGAAGAGGCATGGAGGCAGAAGGAGCTGGCGGAGACGGAGGCGACGAGGCAGATCAGCCTGGCTCAAGAGGCTGCGCAGAAGAGGCTGGTGGCTGAGGAGAAGGCCCACCAGGCCACCGTGCAGCAGAAGGAGGAGGAGCTGCAGCAGAGCAGGATGCAGGAACAGACGACAGTGGGCAGCCTGAGGGAACAGGCCGAACAAGCAAGGCGCCTGGCGGAGGAGGCTGAACAGGCCAAGTTTCAGGCCGAGCAGGAGGCCGCACACTGCCGCCAGCAGGCTGAGGAGGCCGAGAGGCTCAAACAGCAGGCGGAGAAGGAAGCAGCCAAGAAAGCCCAAGACCAGAGCGACGCCGAGAGGCTAAGGAAGGAGGCCGAGTTGGAGGCCGCCAAGCGGGCACAGGCCGAGCAGACGGCCCTCAGGCTGAAGGAGGCTGCGGACGCCGACATGGAGAAGCACAAGAAGTTTGCGGAGCAGACTCTGAGGCAGAAGTCGGCGGTGGAGGCCGAGCTGACCAAGGTAAAAGTCCAGCTGGAGGACACGGATCATCAGAAGAGTGTGCTGGAGGAGGAGAGGCAGAGGCTGAAGACCGAGGTGGGTGAGGCCATGAAGCAGAAGAACCAGGCCGAGGAGGAGCTCTTCAAGGTTAAGATCCAGATGGAGGAGCTGGTCAAGCTCAAGCGGAGGATCGAAGAGGAGAACAAGGTATGTAAGAGGAAGGGAGGAGCTGAGAGCACATTGGGGCGGGAGGGTGAGAGTGGAGGACCCTACACAGGGAGTGGGTTTAATCATTGAGACCATGGCAGAGGTTAGGAGCAAGCGCGACACTCAGAGGACTGTTAGCGAGGAATTTATCACCTCAGAGAGGCAAATGTGGTGTCCTGTAGCTTTGAGTACTCGCCTCGCAAGCGAGAGGACCTGGTTTCGATTCCCGGGCAGGGCCAAACCTTAGGTAAGTTCACTTACTCCACACGCCTTTGTTTACCAGCTGTAAGTAGGAATCCGGTTATTAGTTGATTGGTGGATCGTAATAATTCCTCTAAAAAAGTTATTGATCTAATTAGAATGGCAGAACAGGCTTGAGAGGCTGAATGGCCTACTCCTGTTCCTATGTTCTTTTTGTTCCTATATCTCAAGTGTATCGCTGATGTTGAGAGTCTCTGTCTCTGGGTTTCAGGTCCTGATGATGAAAGACAAGGACAAGACACAGCGGCACCTGGAGGAGGAGGCGGAGAGGATGAAGCAGCTGGCGGAAGAGGCCGCCAGGCTAAGTGTGGAGGCCCAGGAGTCGGCCAGGCAGAGGAAGATGGCGGAGGAGGACCTGAGCCACCAGCGAGCCCTGGCCGACAAGATGTTGAAGGAGAAGATGCAGGCCATGCAGGAAGCCACACAGCTCCGTGCTGAAGCCGAGCTGCTGCAGAGGCAGAGAGACCAGGCCGAGGAGCAGGCCCAGAAGCTCTCCGCAGACAAGCGGCAGATGCAGGAACGCTTAGCCGCAGAGGCCGAGGAGTACCAGAAGACCCTGGAGGCCGAGCGCCGGCGACAGGCACAAATGAGCGAGGAGTCGGAGAGGCTTAAGGACCTGGTGTCTGAGCTGACCCAAGCCCAGGCCAAAGCCGAGCAGGAGGCCGAGAGGTTCAGGAAAGAGGCCAACTCCATCGGAGGCAAACTGCGGGAGACGGAGGAAGCCACCAGGGAGAAGAACGACTCCGTGCGTAGGCTGGAGATGCAGGTGGCTGAGTCGGACCAGGAGGCGAGCGGCCTGAGGGAGGCCATCGCTGAGCTGGAGAGGGAGAAAATCAAGCTCAAACAGGAGGCTGAGCTTCTGCACAGCAAGGCCAAAGAGGTGAGTGTGCCTATAGACACCTGCACGGGCATACACATCTACACCAATATCTCCACCAGCACACACACCTGCACTGACATACACACTGGCACCAAGCGCTGACCAACATGGGGTCCCATATTGCAGTGGTTAGCACGTTCGCCTCGCAAGCGAAGGGTCGTGGGTTCGATTCCCGGCGGGGAAATAATCCCTCCCCCAAAAAAATTGGTCGACTTAAACCACCACTGTTTGTGGGGCCAAGGGAGAGGCGGGGCCGAGAGAGAGAGACAGGGGCAGGGTTGGGGATGGGAGACTGGTGGGGCCGAGGGAGGGAGACAGGGTGGGGTTGATTGAGGGAGACGGGGCGGGGCTGAGGCTGAACAAGTGGACACAGGCGATGATGACACGGACAGAAGAGGTTGACAGACATGGGCTGTGCTGACAGTGTAAGTCATTCGTCTCTGGTTTCAGATGGAGTCTGCCCAGAAGCAGCAGATCGTGCAGGAGACTCACGTCTTGCAGCAAACCTTCCTGACGGAGAAGGACGTCCTCCTGAAGAAAGAGAAGATGATCGAGGAGGAGAAGATCAAGCTGGAGCTACTTTACGAAGAGGAGCTGGGCAAATCCACCTCGCTGAGGCACGAGCAGGATCGGCAGATGAGTGAGCTGGAGGAGGAGAAGCGAAGACTGCAAGAGAGCATGACCGATGCCCTGCGCAAGCAGAGGGAGGCTGAAGAGCAGGCGCGGAGGATGCAGAGCGAGCTGCAGGAGCGAGAGAAGCAACGGCAGGACCAGGAGAAGGCACTGGGCGACGAGAACAAGGCCCTGAGAGATAAGCTGCAGCAGCTGGAGTTGCAGAAAGCCGAGGCGGAGGCGCTGAGAAAGACGACCGACATCGTGGACGGAGTGGAATTCATCCGACCCATGGTGATCGGTACTGTGCCCACTGTCTCCAACGGCAGGGAGGCAGCGCCCGCTGAGCCAGACCGCTTCTCCTTCCAGGGGCTGCGACGGCCAGTGTCGGCTGATCGGCTACACCGGGCCGGCGTCATCAGTAAAAAGCTCCTGGAGAAGCTGAAGAAAGAGACTGTGTCGGTCCAGGAACTGGCTGAGAAAGACAACGTCAAGGGTTACCTGGAGGGCAAGAGCAGCGTGGCTGGTCTCCTCCTCCAGCCCAACAATCAGAAGATGAGCATCTACCAGGCCATGAAGAAGGGGCTCCTCAACCCCAACACGGCGGCCACCCTCCTGGAGGCTCAAGCCGCCTCCGGCTTCATCATCGACCCCATTAAGAACCAGAAACTCTCCGTCAACGAGGCCATAAAGGAGAACGTGGTTGGTCCTGAGTTCCAAGACAAGCTGTTGTCCGCAGAGCGAGCGGTGACTGGTTACAAGGACCCCTACACTGGGAACACCATCTCCTTGTTCCAAGCCATGAAGAAGGACCTCATTGTGAAGGAACACGGTATTCGTCTACTGGAGGCACAGATTGCCACTGGGGGCATTATTGACCCAGTGAACAGCCACCGCCTTCCACTGCACGCAGCCTACAAAGAGGGCTTGTTTGATGAGGAGATGAACCGGAAACTGGGCGAGGACAGCGACGAGGTTAAAGGGTTTGTTGATCCCAACACTCAGGACAACCTCACGTATGCTCAGCTGAAGGAACGATGTAAGAAGGACCCGGACACCGGGCTCTACCTCTTGCCTCTGACGGAACAGGCTCTGAAAGGCGAACAAGGTTACACGACTGAACAAACCCAGGACGTCTTTAGCAAGGCCACGATTTCCGTGCCGGGCGGCAGGTTCTCCGGCAAGACGATCACCATCTGGGAGCTCATCAATTCTGAGTATTTCACCGAGGAGCAGCGTCGGGATCTGATCCGGCAATACCGGTCGGGAAGAGTCACCATCGAGAAGATCATCAAATTCATCATCACCATCATCGACGAAACAGAGACCAAGAAGCAGCTTCTGGTGGACGGTCTGAGGGACAAGGTCCCGGCCAGCAAGCTGCTGGAGGCCAAGATCATTGACAAGAAGACCTTTGAGGAGCTACAGCAGGGGAAGAAGAGACCTGAGGAGGTGGAGCAGGTGGAGACGGTGAAGAAATACCTCAAGGGTTCGGACAGCATTGCCGGTGTCTTTGTTGAGCCCACCAAGGAGACGTTGAACATCTACGAAGCCATGAAGAAGAACCTCCTGAGACCAGGCACGGCCGAGCTGCTATTGGAAGCTCAGGCAGCCTCTGGCTTCATCATCGACCCGGTGAAGAACCTGAGACTGTCTGTGGATGAAGCGGTCAAGATGGGAGTCGTCGGCCCAGAGCTACACGAGAAACTACTGTATGCGGAGAGAGCAGTAACTGGGTACAAAGATCCCTACACGGGGAACACCATCTCCTTGTTCCAGGCCATGAAGAAAAGTCTTCTCCTCAAGGACCACGGTGTGCGTTTACTCCAGGCACAGTTGGCATCCGGTGGCGTGATTGACCCAGAGAACAGCCACCGTCTGCCCCTGGATGTGGCCTACACACGAGGCATGTTAGATGAGGAGACCAATAAGATGCTATCTGACAACACTGAGGAGACCAAGGGCTTCACTGAACCCAACACTGAAGATAGGGTCTCCTACCAGCAACTGAAGGACAGATGCACAAGGCACCCGCAGACAGGGTTCTGCCTCTTGCCATTGACAGAGGAAACGGTCAAATCCAAGCTGGTTTACGATGAAGAGCAAACGAAGAATGCCTTTGGGAAGAACACAGTCTCCGTGCCTTCTGGGAAGTTTTCCGGTAAAACGATCACCATCTGGGAGCTGATCCACTCTGAGTATTTCACCGAGGAGCAGAGGAGGGACCTGATCCGGCAATACCGATCTGGCAAAGTCACGGTGGAGAAGATTATCAAAATCGTCATCACCATCATCGAGGAAACGGAAACCAAGAAGAAGCCGCAAATCACTTTGGATGGTCTGAGGGAGAAGGTCCCGGCCAGCGAGCTGCTGGAGGCCAAGATCATTGACAAGAAAACCTTCGAGGAACTACAGCAGGGGAAGAAGAGACCTGAGGAGGTGGAGCAGGTGGAGACGGTGAAGAAATACCTCAAGGATTCGGACAGCATCGCCGGGGTCTTTGTTGAGCCCACCAAGGAGACGTTGAACATCTACGAAGCCATGAAGAAGAACCTCCTGAGACCAGGCACGGCTGAGCTGCTATTGGAAGCTCAGGCAGCCTCTGGCTTCATCATCGACCCGGTGAAGAACCTGAGACTGTCTGTGGATGAAGCGGTCAAGAAGGGGGTCATCGGCCCAGAGCTACACGAGAAACTGCTGTCCGCAGAGAAGGCGGTGACCGGGTACAAAGACCCCTACACAGGGAACACCATCTCCTTATTCCAGGCCATGAAGAAAAATCTTCTCCTAAAGGAACACAGTGTACGATTACTCCAGGCACAGTTGGCATCTGGTGGAGTGATTGACCCAGGGAACAGCCACCGTCTGCCCCTGGATGTAGCCTACGAGCGGGACATGTTAGATGAGGAGACCAACAAGATGTTGTCTGACAACACTGAAGAGACCAAGGGTTTCACTGAACCCAACACTGAAGAGAAAATCTCCTACCAGCAGCTGAAGGACCGATGTAGAAGACACCCGAAGACTGGGTTCTGCCTGGTCCCACTGTCGGAGAAGACGGTCAAAACCGAGGACTTTCACTCCGAGGAGCTTACCAAAGATGTCTTCAAAAAGGCCACTGTGGACGTTCCTTCCGGCAAATTCTCCAGCAGGACGGTCACCATCTGGGAGCTCATCAACTCCGAGTATTTCACCGAGGAGCAGAGGAAGGAGCTGATCCGGCAATACCGATCCGGCAAAGTCACGGTGGAGAAGATCATCACAATCGTCATCACCATCATCGAGGAGACGGAAACCAAGAAGAAGCCACAGATCACCTTGGACGGTCTGAGGGAGAAGGTCCTGGCCAGCGAGCTGCTAGAGGCCAAGATCATTGACAAGAAGACCTTCGAGGAGCTACTGCAGGGGAAGAAGAGACCTGAGGAGGTGGAGCAGGTGGAGACGGTGAAGAAATACCTCAAGGGTTCGGACAGCATCGCCGGGATTCTTGACCAATCCACTAATGAGAAGATGAGCATCTACGAGGCTCTGAAGAGGAATCTGCTCCAACCCAGCACGGCCGAGGAGCTATTGGAAGCCCAGGCAGCCTGTGCCTTCCTCATCGATCCCGTGAAGAACCAGAAACTCTCCGTCAACGAAGCCATCAAGGCAGGAGTGGTCGGCCCGGAGCTGCACGGTAAACTGCTCTCTGCGGAGAAAGCGGCCACCGGTTACCGGGACCCATACACGGGAACTAAGATCTCTTTGTTCCAAGCCATGAAAAAGGACCTTGTCCTCAAGAAGCAAGGTACCCGCCTGCTGGAGGCACAGATGGCAACGGGAGGCATCATTGACCCGGTCAACAGCCACCGCCTCCCCCTGAACGTGGCCTTCGAGAGGAATATGTTGGACGAGGAGACGAACAGGAAGCTGTCCGACCCCAGTGATGAGGCCAAAGGATTCAGTGACCCCAACACTCAGGAGAGGGTGAGCTACAGAGAGCTTCTGCAGAGATGCACTAAGGAGCCCGGCACAGGCTTGTCGCTGCTGCCCCTGAGGAGCAGCGAGAAGCCGAGGACCGTGGAAACCACCATCCACACCGAGACCGAGACACGGCAGCTCTTCGAAGACACGTCCATCGAAATCCCAGCTGGCTTGCAGGCCGGCTCCTCGATGTCCCTGTGGGAGGTGATGAACTCGGAGCTGCTGTCCGAGGAGGAGAAGCGCAGACTGACCATGGAGTATCGCAGCGGCAAGATCACGCGGGAGAGACTGGTGGTGATCATCATCGAGATCCTGCAGCAGATCGAGATCCGCAGCGTCTCCGAGAGCTTTCATTTCAGCGGCTTCTGGGGGAAGGTCAGCGCCGAGGAACTCTTTGCCTCCCGCATCATCGACCAGGAGACCTTCAACCTGCTGAGGGAGCACCGGAAGACAGTGCAGGAGGTGTGCGAGATGGAGACCGTCCGTGGGTACCTGTTGGGCACCGGAGTCATCGCTGGCATCTATGTGGCCGCCACCAAGGAGACTCTGAGCTTGTACCAGGCCATGAAGAAAGGTTTGGTGAAAGCGGACGCTGCCATCGCCCTGCTGGAGGCCCAGGCGGCCACAGGGGCCATGGTGGAGCCGGCGACGAGCGAGCATTTGAATGTGGATGAGGCAGTGAGGCGGGGGGTGGTGGGCCCTGAGTTACACGACGCCCTCCTCTCCGCTGAGCGGGCGGTGACCGGCTACAAGGACCCCTACACCGGCCGCCTCGTGCCCTTGTTCCAGGCCATGAAGAAACAGTTGATTGTGGCTGACTACGCCACCCGTCTCCTGGAGGCTCAACTCTCCACCGGGGGCATAGTGGACCCCGAGCACCGACACCGCCTGCCCCTGGAGGTGGCCTATCAGCGTGGCTGCCTGGACAAGGAGACACAGCGGCTGCTGACAGACCCCGCCGCGGGGGTGAAGGGCTTCTCCGACCCCAACACTGAGGAGCGGCTGAGCTACAGGCAGCTGCTGGGCCGGTGTAGGCCGGGGCCTGGCCCTGGGCTGCTCCTCCTACCCCTGTCTGATAAGAAGAAGCTGATGTTCAAAGGCCTGCGTAAGCAGATCACCATGGAGGAACTGGTACAGTCCAACATCATCGAGGAGGCCACGGTTCTGAAGCTAGAGAGTGGTCTGACCACAGTGGAGGAGGTTAGTAATTCGATCAGGAGCTACCTAGAAGGCACCAGCTGCATCGCGGGCGTCTACGTGGAGGCCACCAAGGAACGTCTGTCCATCTACCAGGCCATGAAGAAAGGCATGATTAGGCCGGGAACGGCCTTCGAGCTGCTGGAAGCACAAGCGGCCACGGGCTACCTGATCGACCCCATCAAGAACCGCAAGCTGCCCGTGCTGGAGGCTGTGCAGGCCGGGGTGGTGGGCGTAGAGTTCCGCGACAAGCTACTGTCCGCAGAGAAGGCGGTGACCGGTTACCAAGACCCTTACACGGGCACCCTCATGTCCCTCTTCCAGGCCATGCAGAAAGGCTTGATCCTCAAGGACCACGGTATCCGGCTCCTTGAGTCGCAGATCGCAACGGGGGGGATCATTGACCCAGAGTACAGCCATCGTCTGCCCGTCGAGGTGGCCTATCAGCGAGGGCTGTTCGATGAGGAGATGAACCAGATCCTGTCCGACCCCGGGGACGACACCAAGGGCTTCTTCGACCCCAACACAGAGGAAAACCTGACATACCTGCAGCTGATGGAGAAGTGCATCAAAGACCCGATCACCGGCCTGTGCCTCCTGTCACTCAAGGAGAAGAAGCGGGAGAGGAAGACTTCCTCCAAGTCCTCCGTACGGAAACGGAGAGTGGTCATTGTGGACCCCGAGAATGGCAAGGAGATGTCGGTATATGAGGCGTACCGCAAGGGGTTGATTGACCATCAGACCTACATGGAGCTGTCGGAGCAGGAGTGCGAGTGGGAGGAGGTCACCATCTCCTCCTCGGACGGCGTAGTCAAGTCCATCATCACCGACAGGAGGTCTGGCCGGCAGTACGACATCGACGACGCTCTGGGTAAAGGCCTAATCGACCAGGGATCCTTGGACCTGTACCGCTCCGGCACGCTGTCCATCACCGAGTTTGCCGACATGTTGTCAGGGAACATGGGTGGCTTCCGGTCCAGGTCATCGTCCATAGGGTCCACCTCGTCCTTCCCTATCAGCCCCCAGTCCAGCCCCATGAAGGCCCAGTGGCAGGATCCCACCGAGGAAACCGGGCCCATCGCCGGCATCTTGGACACGGATACGCTGGACAAACTGTCCATCACAGAGGCCATGCACCGCAACCTGGTGGACAACATCACGGGCCAGAGATTTCTAGAAGCCCAGGCCTGCACAGGCGGCATCATTGACCCCAACACGGGCGAAAGGTTCTCGGTGACCGAGGCGGTGGGCAAAGGCCTGGTGGACAAGATCATGGTGGACAGGATCAACCTGGCCCAAAAGGCCTTCAACGGGTTTGAAGATCCCAGGACCAAGACCAAGATGTCTGCAGCCCAGGCCTTGAAGAAAGGCTGGCTGTACTACGAAGCCGGCCAGCGTTTCCTGGAGATTCAGTATCTGACGGGAGGCTTGATCGAGCCCAACGTGGTGGGCCGGGTCTCGCTAGAGGAAGCCTTGCAGAAGGGAACCATCGATCTCCGCACAGCCCAGAAACTCAGGGATGTCCACGCCTACGTCAAGTACATCACCTGCCCCAAGACCAAGCTCAAGATCTCCTACAAAGATGCCATGGACCGCTCCATGGTGGAGGAGGGCACGAGCGTGCGCTTGCTGGAGGCCTCGTCCCAATCCACCAAGGGCTTCTACAGCCCCTACAGCGTGAGCGGAGCCGGCTCCGCCTCGGGTTCTAGATCGGGTTCCAGAACCGGCTCCAGAACCGGCTCTCGACGAGGCAGCTTCGACGCCACCGGCTCCAGCTACTCCATGTCCTTCTCCTCCTCCTCCCTCACGTCCTACGGCCGGCGGCTGGCCGGGGCCCCCGGGGGAGGCTCCCCACAAATCACGGACCTTTCCCTGAGCCTGGCGGCGGCGCTCAATACTGCCCTGCGTGGCTCCTGCCAACAGGGTCAGACACGACAGCTGGCAATGGCATAACCGCCCCCTCCTGACCCTGACCCCCTGCTCTACACACAGACTTAATATGCCACTCACCCACCTCCACCCCCACCCAACCCGCACCATCCCTGTAGACCACGGGACCCTGACTGATATCTGACAAGTTCTTGACAAACACTGACCACCTCCCCTCACACTGACCCAGCCTCTCACACTGACCCCGCCTCTCATACTGACCCTGCCCCTCACACTGACCCCGCCCCTCACACTGACCCCGCCCCTCACACTGACCCCGCCTCTCACACTGACCCCGCCCCTCACACTGACTCCACCACCCCTCACCCCAAACCAATGCAGTCCATACTACCTCCCCCACACACACTTACCCCCTCACACACTGCCGCCCCCCCGCTCCACACCCCGCACTCTTTATAACTCCGGTTCCCCCCCCCCTCCCAAGCCTATTTGTAGAGCAGACACCACCCCCCATCTCCCCCATCCCCCCCCCCCCAACCCTCCCCACCCTCCACTACATTTCAGTTATTCACTAAACCCAAACGCTACTATTGCTGCGCTTTACGGTGCAGACAGAGCGAATCTGCTCGCCGTGTGCCAGCGGAGTACCACGTGTGTACCAGCTGCGTACCTGCTGGGTACCAGATGTGCACCTGCCTTGTGCACTGTTTACCATCTGCACCCGCTGGGCACACTGTCTGCACTATAACCCTTCGCGAAGGCACTGATCCAAAGTATGCAAGGCATTTTTTGAGTTGTATTTTTTTTAAAACGAGCTGCAGGAAGAAAGTATTAAGAAAAGCTTTTTTTTTCCTCCATTTATCAATTATTATTATTATTATTATTAGCGCGGAGGGGAAAGGGGTGACACAGAATTCTAATAACCTGCTGCCGCCTGAAATTATTATACCCGAACTCCATCCGTGACCTAGTGTAGAGCTTTGTAAGCTAAGTGCATTTATTAAGAGACTGTCAGCAGCTCCATCCCACGTGCTTCCGTTCCTCACACACACACACGTGTCTGTATCTAACCACTTCGTGCCTGCCTCTCTCTCTGTGTGCGTGCGCGTGTGTGACAACACCGCGACCGCGCACACAAACACTCTGAAAGCCATAATCCTGGGATAGCAAATACAATGGTCACCAGTCACGGAGGCTCCGTCTCGCTCTCTCTCCCTCTTTCTCTCTCTGTTGAGTCCAGCTTCTGAGAGGACCCGACCTGGGAGAACACAGATCTCTCTCCTCCTGCATAAGGTGAGTTACGCTGTTTAGAGGTTGAATCCTGGCACCTCCCTACCTTTCCGACCTCCTTCCTCCCCCTCTCCACTACCCGCTGCCTCCTCTCGGCTGGCTCCGGTTTCCTGCTCGTCCCTCGTGGCCTCCGCTTCACCAACGGCGGCCACTCTTTCAACCACTACGCCCCCCCCCATACTTTGGAACTTTCTCCTACCCCCACCCCCCCAACATCACCCCAATCCCTCCGTCTTTCTCCCTCCTTCCCTTTTTTTACGACATGACTGAAGACCTTCCTCTTCGACCATGCTTACAGTCACCTCCTCTCTACCCTGGCTCCAAGGCACTCCCTGAGTTAAGGGCGCTATTAAAGTGCTAGTTCTTGTTGCGTTTGTAGAATACCCCGTACCAACCTGTCCGCTCCCTCCGCTCAATGGGAACTGGCCTGCTCCATGTCCCCTTCCCTGCCTACCCCTGACAGCATTGGCGGTCGGGCCTTCAGCCTTTCTGTCCCCATCCTTTGGAACTCCAACCCGGAGTCCCTCCACCTCACCCCCTCCCTCCCTTTGCCTCCTTCAAGGCCCGTCTCAAGACCTTCCTCGTTTGACCACACTTTCAAGTCAAAAGTCCGCCTCCCATATCCTCACCCACACCGAACTGCGTGCACACACACACGCGCACACACACACCCTTCAACCTGGTTCAGCCAATCTCCAGTTGCTGCCTATTGCAGAATGGATCGATTACAAGATCCTCACACTGTCCAGGGTTGGGGACACTCTTATGTGAGGGGCGCTGTAGAAATGTAAGTTGTTGTCTCTGACCAAGAGACTGACCCGGTCTCTCCGAGCCGGCAACTCTCTTATCTCACATCTCGCTCTTTGTTTGATTCCAGTTGTGGGGACTCTGCTGCCCACACGATAGCTACAACCCCATCCATCGCCACGGATCCTCACGGAGAGGAACCTGCCCACGCCCACGCGAAGGGAAGGATTCAGCAGGAGAAGCATGGCGGGGCCGACAAGACATGACCCGACCTGTGGCACCCGAGATCAGAACCATTTCACAGCTGGACTGAGGACTGAGCCCTGCTCGCGTCCTTTGTCGTGTGTTTGCACGCATCTCACATCTTGCTTAGCGTTCTGTCACCTCTCTATTCTCATCTTATTTTTTATTATTGCATGAGTTACTAATCCATTTCTTTTACAAGAACTTTTAACTCAAAGCCGCCTGTCCGTTTACCGCAAATGTTTAAACACTAACAAGTGATCGGTGACTGTTTTACAAAGAGGGAGGGAGGGAGAGAATGGGATGGGACTTGACACTCAGATCACTGTAAATAAAGGCTTTAACCCTGAAATTCAAGCTCTCAGTAGAGGCAATGGGGCAATAAATAAAGAGACATTAATATATCAAACTGCATCTTGTGTCTCGTCTGTTCTTCACAGCTGTTTGCTTGTACTCCCGCCAATAGTGTGTGTGTGTGTGTGTGCGAAGCTGTGTTAATGATGAATTGCACCAATCGCGCGAATGGTGAACTATTCAAAAACCCATCACTGTGCTTAAGAATTCTCCAAACCAAACTGAGAATTCCCCGCCTCCCACCTACACGTGGAAATCCCAGAGATAGATGGTTGGAATGGAATGCGCTCTCTCTCTCTCTCTGGAGGGACACATCCTGTTTACCTAATTCTGGAAAGTATTAGGCGCAGGTTGGCAAGAGCCAAGGCTTGGGGACCCCAGAGTGTGCGTTGGGGTAACTGCTGGAGTCTAACCAGCTAAAGCCGTGTAGCTTGCCGTTGATATCACTGTATGGAAATATCACTGTATCATCAGCAGTGCCCTGGAATACTACGGACCCACCTGGCTCAGGAACCGGACTACTCCCACAGTGACTACATTTGTGTGAAGCGCTTTTGAGACTCGCGAAGTTGTGATTAGGCACAATATCAAACGCGAGGATTATTATTATTACCGAGAAGGCCACAGAGGGCTGGCTTGATTCCAGCATTATGTCAACAGCAAAATAAATTTAGCAACAGTCGCGCTGATTGGGAATTACGCTTTGTGTTGATTGGGCTAATAGTGATGTATATATTTATATTATTTGTGACAATTGTAAGATACGTTTGGCACCAATCAACTAATCATGCGGGTGGGGTTATGAGCTGCACACAGACTCATAGAAACATAGGAACAGGAGTAGGTCATTAATCCCTCAAGCCAGTTCCGCCATTCTATTAGATCATCGCTGATCTATTCCTCAACTCTATTTACCCGCCTTTGCTGAATATCCCTTGACACGTTACCCAACAAAAACCTCTCTACCTCAGTCTTGAAATTTTGAATGAATCCAAGATCCATGGCTTTTGGGGGGAGAGAGTTCCAGATTTCCACTGCCCTCTGTGTGAAAAAGTATTGATTTCACTCCTAAATGGCCTCGCTCTTAATTTTAAGATGACGCCCCCTTGTCCTGGATTCCCCCACCAAAGGAAATAGTTTCTCTGGAGCTGCCCTGTCAAATCCCTTTCTCATTTTTAAACACCTCAATCACATCACTGCTCAACCTTCTAAATTCAAGGGCATACAAGCCAATTTTCTGCAACCTGCCCTCGTAATTTAACCCTTTTTAAGCCCTGGTATCATTCTGGTGAATCTGCGCAGCACCCTCTCCAGGGCTAATATATTTTTCCTTAGGTGTGGTGCCCCAAACAACACAGATGGGGTCTGACCAAGGCTCTGTGCAGCCGAAGCTCCCATCTACTCTTGTGTGTATGTGTGTGTGTGAGGTGGGGGGAGGGAGGGGATGAGGGGGGAGTTGAACCCAGATACTCAGTGAGCTGGTGCGTCTGAATGATTTTGTCAGTGTGTGAATGGGGAGGGAGTGATTTATGATTTTTTCAGTGTGTGTGTGTGGGGGAGAATTTACTGTGTGTATGTAGGGGGAAGATTTGCTCAGTGTGTGTGTGTGTGTGTGTGTGTGTGGTGGGGGTTGATTTATTCTTTGTGCGTATGGGGGAGTGGGATTTATTCTTTGTGGGTGTGAGGATTTGCTCAGGATGTGTCTGTGCGTGAGGATTTGCTCGGGATGTGTGTGTGCGTGAGGATTTGCTCAGTATGTGTGTGTGTGTGTGTGTGTGTGGGGAGGGTTGGGGGTGGGGGTGGGATTTTCTCTGTGTGTGAGCGTCACTCCCGCTCTCAGCCACAGACAGTGAAAAGACTTATTCATGCGTGTCCAACACTTTGTGTGAAGTTTGGGGCATTCAGTCCCACTCGGTCCCACTCATTCAGTCAGTCCCCATTTACAGCCACACTCACAGCCAACCATTCCCCGCTCACAGTCGGTCTGTGGGTATAAAACTACTAAGATCAGATGCGCAGGAGAGGCTCAGACCTACCCATCTCCTACCGCACACTCCTCCGCAACTCCCGGGCTACAGCGTACATCTGCGTGTCGCCAACACACACCCAAGTGCTTGGGCACAGACTGCCCATTGTCAGCAGAGAAAAGCTGCCAGACAGCACAGAGCAGAGACACAGAGACAAGAGAGAAAGAGAAGAGAGAAACGGAGAAGAGAGAGCACGGTATGCAGTTGGGTCATTGCGAGAGTAACACTGAGTGACACCAGGTCAGTGTGAGAGCAACAGTAATAATAATGATAATCCTTGCATTTGATATAGCTCCTTATCACGTCGTTGAGACGTCTAAAATCGCTTCACAAGCACTTGCCACGCCAGCAAGAGGATCCAGGTTCAATTCCTGGCAGGCAAAATGTTGGGCAAGTTTCCTTACTCCACACGCCTCTGTTTACCTGGCAGTAAGTAGGAACCCGGTTGTTAGTCAATTGGTGGATCGCTTTTCCGGGGGTAATAATTCCTTAAAAAAATAATAATAAATTGGTCATTCAATCCACGTCTGTTTGTGGTACACTGCTGTATGCAATTGGCTGCCGGGTTTCGCCCACAAAATATACAGTCAATTCAATTTACAGTATATTCTGTGAAGTGCTTTGAGACGGATTGAAGAAATGATGAGGTGCTGTATCAAATGCGAGGTTTATGATTATTATAACAAGACCGAGGCCTCCTGATTAGCGCCCATCAGCGCCTCCACACCTCAGGCGCTGACAGCATCACCATCCAAGCACGCACACTCCACCTTACTGAGCCAGTCTGGAACCTTGGCTTCTTGTTTGACCCTCAACTCCCCAACTCCTCCTTCCATAGGCTGCAGATCATCCAGAACTATGTAGCCCGTGTCCTCTCCCGCACCAGGCTCTGTGACCCTATCATCCCCATCCTCGCCCGACTCCACTGGTTTCCCATCTCTCAGAGGATACAGATCCTGGTCCTCACCTTCAAAGCCCTCCATGGCCTCACTCTCCCCTACCTCTGTGATCTCCTAACACCCTACCAGCCTGCTTGCTCCCTCCGCTCAGCGGGCTCTGGTCTGCTTCACGTCCCCTGACTCGCCTGCCCCACCATTGGTTGGTGGGCCTTCAACCATTGTGCCCCCACCCTCTGGAACGCCATCCAGCAGCCACTCTGCCTCGCCCACCCTCCCTTGCCTCCTTCAAGACCCATCTCAGATCACTCCTATTCGACCGTTGCTATCGATCATCCTCCTTACACCCCCACACCTCCATGATCCCCAATCCCGACCACCAGCTTGGGTCCGAAACACTGATTGCCCAGGGCCTTGGGACGTTCTCCCGACGTGAAAGGAGTTTTACAACTGTAGTTTTGTTGTTGTGGTTGTTATGACACTGTCTGACATTGGGTCAGTGAGTTGGTTGTGCTTGGTTTCAGGCAGAGCTGTGCCATTGCCCTGTGAGTGATTGATGGGCATTTCGGCCAGTCACCCCGGGTGCCTGGGGCAGAGGAGCGGGCGGTGCGAGGGGCACGGACGTGCAGCCCCTGGAGACACCGAGCAGGAGGAGCGAGCGGCCTGGAGCCTGGTGGTCCCCAGCCCCCCGGAGAAGGTGTCTGCGGCGGTGGGAGGTTATCCCGCTCACAGGAAGCCCGAAGACCCCGACAGGCTGAGCCACGACTCCCCCAAAGTGCGTCCAGACTCTCCCAGAGTCCGTCCAGACTCTCTGAGCCACGTGTGGCTGTCCATGGGCTCCCACGTGTGGAGGGAGTCGGGGAGCGTATGGTCCTGGCACTCGCTGGGCGCCCGCGAGGTCACCGAGGTCACCGAGACCACCGAGACCATCATCACCGAGATCACCGAGATCATAGAGCGAGCGGGGCAGGCAGGGCCAGACACCGTGAGCGTGGGACCAACCAGTGGCTATCAGCCACCGGGAGCACAGCTACAGCCACAGCCACAGCCGTCTGCTCCCACCACACAGCAAACTATAGACGCCGGCGGGCAGAGAGAGTCATCTGTGCTCCCAGCGGAGAAGGTAACGGTCAGCCAAGCAGAATCTCTCCGTGTGTTACAGTCTCTCTGTGTAACTGTCTCTCTGCGTGGAACTGTCTCTCTGTGTAACTGTCTCTCTCCGTAACTCTCTGTGTAACTCAGTCTCTCTGTGTAACTGTCTCTCTCCGTAACTCTCTGTGTAACTCAGTCTCTCTGTGTAACTGTCTCTCTCCGTAACTCTCTCTCTGTAACTCGTTCTATAACTTTCTCTCCCAAATACCTCTCTCTGTGTGACTATCTCTGCGCAAACCCTCTCTCCCTCTCTCTGTTAGGTGGATGACCAGGTGGAGACGCTGACCTCAGAAACAGATGGTCGGGGCTCTCTGTCTTTGCTCTCCAATGTGCTGAAATCTCACTCCCAGGAACAGGCGGTGAGCGTGAGTGTGTGTGAGTGTGTCAGTGTGGGTCACACCGTCAGTGTGGCCGTGTCACACCCTGAGTGCGGTAATAATAACAATCCTTGCATTTGACGCAGTCCCTCGGCCCGTGGTCGAGACGTCCCGAAGCGCTTCACAGAATATACCGCAAAGCGTAGTGACTGTGCACTCTGTGGGCGAAACACGGCAGCCGATTGCGCACAGCGGCGTCCCACAAACAATCGGGGACTTCAATTTTTGGGGGGGTTTACGGGAGGGATTATTACTCCCGGAATGCGATCTGCTAATCCACTAGCAACTGGGTTCCCGCTTACTGTCGGGTAAGCAGAGGCGTGTGGGGTGAGGAAACGTGCCTCAGGCTGTGCTCCGCCGGGGAATCGAAGCCGGTGCTCTCGCTGCGCTCTAACCACTGCGCGACAGGACTCTGGAAATGTAAATCTGCTGTACTCACGTCACTCACTTTTACGCACCCACTCGCACACGCTCTGCAGCAGTGATGGCCTCTGTGTGTTTTTGCTGATGTTATTAGGAGCCGAGGGTGGACCGAGACACCAGGCCAGAGCAGGAGGGAGACAGACACCAGCAGGAGGGAGATGGACACCAGCAGGAGGCTGGGCACCAGCAGGAGGGAGATGGACACCAGCAGGAGGCTGGGCACCAGCAGGAGGGAGATCGACACCAGCAGGAGGCTGGGCACCAGCAGGAGGGAGATCAACACCAGCGGGAGGCTGGACACCAGCAGGAGGGAGATGGACACCAGCAGGAGGGAAGTGGACATAAGCAGGAGGGAGACAGACAGCAGCAGGAGGGAGATGGACACCAGCAGGAGGAAGATGGACACCAGCAGGAGGGAGATGGACACCAGCAGGAGGGAAGTGGACATAAGCAGGAGGGAGACAGACAGCAGCAGGAGGGAGATGGACACCAGCAGGAGGGAGATGGACACCAGCAGGAGGAAGATGGACACCAGCAGGAGGGAGATGGACACCAGCAGGAGGGAAGTGGACATAAGCAGGAGGGAGACAGACAGCAGCAGATGGGAGATGTACACCAGCAGGTGGGAGATGTACACCAGCAGGTGGGAGATGTACACCAGCAGGTGGGAGATGGACACCAGCAGGAGGGAAGTGGACATAAGCAGGAGGCTGGGCACCAGCAGGAGGAAGGTGGACACCAGCAGGAGGGAGATGGATACCAGCAGGAGGGAAGTGGACATAAGCAGGAGGGAGACAGACAGCCGCAGGAGGGAGATGGACATCAGCAGGTGAGAGATGGACACCAGCAGGTGGGAGATGGACACCAGCAGGAGGGAAGTGGACATAAGCAGGAGGGAGACAGACAGCAGCAGGAGGGAGATGGACACCAGCAGGAGGGAGATGGACACCAGCAGGAGGGAGATGGACACCAGCAGGAGGGAAGTGGACATAAGCAGGAGGCTGGGCACCAGCAGGAGGAAGATGGACACCAGCAGGAGGGAGATGGATACCAGCAGGAGGGAGATGGACATCAGCAGGAGGGAGACGGACAGCAGCAGGAGGGAGATGGACATCAGCAGGTGGGAGATGGACACCAGCAGGTGAGAGATGGACACCAGCAGGAGGCTGGTCACCAGCAGGAGGGAGATGGACACCAGCAGGAAGGAAGTGGACACCAGCAGAAGGCTGGTCACCAGCAGGAGGGAGATGGACACCAGCAGGAGGCTGGTCACCAGCAGGAGGGAGATGGACACCAGCAGGAGGGAAGTGGACACCAGCAGGAGGGACAACAACTGGAGCAGCTCCTGGTGGAACTGAAAGCAAAGTGGGAAACCTTGTGTGAGAGAGCGACAGAGAGGTACATGTGCGTGCAGTGTGTATGAGTGGCTGAGGTACATGTGTGTGCGTGTGTGTGCACATGATATTGAGTGACTGAGAGGTAAGCATGTGTGTGCATGTGTTTGAGTGACTGAGACGTAAGCGTGTGTGTGTGTGTGTGTGTCTTTGAGCGACTGAGAGGTACGTGTGTGTTTGAGTGACTGAGAAATACATGTGTGTGTACATGCACGTGTGTGAGTTACTGAAAGGTAGCACGTACGCACGGATGCATTTGAGTGACTAAGAGGTTTGCGCGTGTGTAGCGTGTGTGAGTGATGGAAAGGTTCCTGTGTGTGTTGGTGTGTGACGGATGGGTGAGCAAATGGATGTACCGGCAGATGGACAATCAGTTGGGATGGACTGATGGACAGAAGGGCGGATGGACAGATGGGTGGATGGACGGTTAAACGGACAGGCAGGAGAATGAGAATAATTCTTTGTGGCAATGTAAAACAAACAGAGTTCCTATAATCATCGGTGGAACTGGAACTGTTCATAAGACTAGTCAAAAATAGCTTGACAAAATACCCGGTGAATAAAATATCAACCTCCTGCAAAACTAACTACTTTAGGAAGCTCAAATATATTAAGTTACATCTATTCATAGTGCCAGTGTTACTGGTCTGACGGACCCATCACTGAAAACCATTAACAAATTGCCTCTACAAAGTGATTTAAACTGTAATAACATAATAATAATAATAATAATAATAATAATGCTTACATTTGATTTAGTGCCTTTCACGTCAGGAGAACATCCTAAAGAGTTTCGCAGGATTTGTTGTAAAGTGTAATTACTGTGTTTTATGGATGAACGCAGTAGCTAATCTCGTGTTCAGCAACAGCAATATTGCACACACAGCCACGGAGTGAGTGACTAATTTCAGTGAGGAGGTTGTTGGCCAGGACACCGGGTGAAACTCTCTTTCGGTAAAATGCTACGGTATCTTTAACGTCCAACTGAGCAGGCAGACTGGGCCTCAGTTTAACATTTCATCCGAAGGACGTCACCTCTGACAAAGTTGCTTCCCCCACTGCTGAGTGTCAGAATGGACTATATAATTCCAAGTCCTATGTGGGGGCTTCAACCCTCAACCTTCTGACTCAGAGGCAACAGACCCACGATTTTTGCCTCTGTGGAGTGCTGTGACGTAATGGTTAGCACGCTCACCTCACAAGCAAGAGGACCCAGGTTTGAATCCCGGGCAGGGCAAATCCTTAGGCAAGTTTCCTTCCTCCACACGCCTGTTTGCTGAGCAGTAAGCAGTTGTTAGTCGATTGGCGGGTCACTTTCTAGGGGTAATAATCCCTAAAAATAATTACGTCACTCAATCCATGACTGTTTATGGGACACTGCTGTGTGCAATTGGCTGCCGTGTTTTGCCCACCAAACATACATTCAATTCACTTTACAGTATATCCTGTGAAGCGCTTTGAGATGTCTCGAAGACATGATAAGGTGCTATGTCAAATGCAAGGATTATTATTATTATTACCAACTGAGACAGACTGACACATGGACAGATGGGTGGACGAATGGATGGATGGTCACGCAGATGGATGGGATGGGTGGGTGGATGGATGGAGAGACAGAGGGCTGGGTCGGTGGGTGGGTGGGTGGTTGGGCTCTGGGTGGGCATACAGACTTAATGCACCAGTTGCTGTTGTAGGGAACGGGATCTGCAGGAGGCTGTGCTGCTCTCTGGACAAGTGTCAGATGCTCTGCGTGCGATGATTCACTGGCTGTACACAGTGGAACCACTGCTCACGGAGGACGTGTTGCTTGGGGGTGACCGGGAGTCAGTCAACAAACTCATAGAGAACCATAAGGTATGAGAGCAACTGAGATACAGGATGAGATGCTGAGATACAGTGAGAGACTGAGATACAGAGAGTGACTGAGATACAGAGAGTGACTGAGGTACAGAGAGAAACTCAGATACAGAGAGTGACGGAGACACAGAGAGAGACTTAGATACAGAGAGAGAGAGACTGAGATACGGGGAGAGACTTAGATACAGAGAGAGAGACTGAGATACAGGGAGAGACTGAGATACGGGGAGAGAGACTGAGATACAGAGGGAGACTGAGATACAGTGAGAGAGACTGAGGTGCAGAGAGAGACTGAGATACAGAGCGAGACTGAGATACAGAGGGAGACTGAGATACAGTGAGAGAGACTGAGGTGCAGAGAGAGACTGAGATACAGAGGGAGACTGAGATACAGTGAGAGAGACTGAGGTGCAGAGAGACTGAGGTACAGTGAGAGAGACTGAGGTGCAGAGAGAGACTGAGATACAGAGGGAGACTCAGATACAGTGAGAGAGACTGAGATACAGAGAGACTGAGGTACAGACTGAGGTACCCTAGAGAGACTGAGATCACATGTGCTCGGTTACACATTGTGTTCTGTGTTACACAACAGTTACAGGCGTTTTACACGCGGTCACGTAACAACACCAACAGCAACTTGCACTTATATAGCGGCCTCCGTGCAGGGTAACGTCTCAGAGCGCTTAACAGTGGCGGAGCCTGACATACAGTAGACACACACGCGCTGTTACACGCATACTCGGTTACACTCCCTTACGCACTGGGTTACGCTCTGTTGCATACTGGGTTACACGCTGTGGTCCAGATGTTCCAGAAGCAGCTGGGCCGCAGATCGAGCCGGGTGCGGTCACTGAGGCGCTGCGTGAGGGAGCTGAGCGGCAGCAGCGCAGACTCGGCCTGGCTCCAGGCGCAGCTTCAGGAGCTGGAGCTGCAGTGGGACGAGGTGTGCAGGCTCTCCGTGTGCAAGCAGGTCCGACTGCAGACCGCACTGACGCAGGTAGGGCTCTCTCCTACCCGCATCCCCTGCCCCAACCACCAACCCCCACCGCCTCACCGCCCCGTCTCCCAACGACCCCCTCCCCTGCCCACCGCCCCACTCCCACGGTCAGGGTAAGCAGAGTGCGTGACTCCAGGGAAAGAGCGTGGGTTCCGTTCCGATAACAACCCTTGCATCTGGTACGCCGTCTTATCCCGTCTTCGAGACGTCTCAGAGCGCGTCACGGAATATGCCGCAACGTGAATTGTGGGCGAAACGCGGCAGCCAATTGCGCGCAGCAGCGTCCCGCAAACAGTCGCGGACTGAGTGACCAAATTATTATTTTTTTAGAGGCATTATTACCCATCGGAGAACGATTAAGCATTGTGCTGGGTTTCCACATGTGTCAGACACCCACGACCCCCCCAAAAAAAATTCTCCCCACACTTTCTTTCTCATGCTCTCTCTTTCTCTCCCTCTCTCCCTCCTAATCTCCCATACTCTTCCTCAGGCTCACTCTGTCTCTCACGCGCTCTCTCTCTTACTCTCACACACTCTCCCTCTCTCTCTCTCTATTATACTCTCTCTTTCACGCTCTCTTTCTCTCACTCTCTCACACACTCTCTTCACAGACCCTTCTCCCACACTCTCTCTCTCACACTCACTCACACTCTTTCTCTTTCACACACTCTCACACACACTTTCACTCTGACACTCTTTCTCTCTCGCACTCTCTCTCTCACTCTTTCTCTCTCACACTCTCTCGCAGGCAGACGAGTTCCATGACCGGGTGCAAGTGTTCCTGAGCGAGTTGTCCGAGGCGGAGAAAACAATGAGGTTCAGAGATTTCCCAGAGCAACAGACAGAGCTGGAGAGTGTACACACCCGTCACCAGGTACTGTATACACCCAACTGTGTACACACCCGTCACCAGGTACTGTATACACCCAACTGTGTACACACCCGACATCAGGTACTGTATCCGCCTGACTGTGTACACACCTGTCATCAGGTACTGTATACACCCAACTGTGTACACACCCAACATCAGGTACTGTATCCGCCTGACTGTGTACACACCCGTCATCAGGTACTGTATACACCCAACTGTGTACACACCCGACATCAGGTACTGTATACGCCTGACTGTGTACACACCTGTCATCAGGTACTGTATACACCCAACTGTGTACACACCCAACATCAGGTACTGTATACGCCTGACTGTGTACACACCCGTCATCAGGTACTGTATACACCCAACTGTGTACGCACCCGTCATCAGGTACTGTATACACCAGACACTGTACATACCCACCAGGTGCTGTATACACCAGACTGTGTACAACAACAACAACTTGCACCTACATAGCGCCCTCCACGCCGGGCGGTGTCTCAGAGCTTAACAAGGGTAGAGCGTAATGCCGAGCCAGGGGGAGGGGGAAGGTGACCATAGACGTGGTCGAAAAGGAAGGTCGTCAGGTGCGACCTGAGGATGGGGAAGGAGGGGCGAGGAAAAGGGGTTGAGGGACCGAGCTCCAAAGTTTCAGGGCGTAGTGGCTAAAGCCACGGCCGCCGATGGTGGAGCGGAGGAATCGGGGGACACGGAAGAGACCGGACCCAGTAGAGAGGAGGCAGTGAGTACTGCTGTGGGGAGAGAGGAGGTTAGAGAGATGGGGGGTGACCAAGGAATGGAGGGATTTAAACACTAGAGAGAGGATCTTGAAGTGGATCCGCTCTGTGACAGGAGCCAGTGGAGTTTGGTCAGGACTGGAGTAATCGGGGTGTGGAGTTTGGTGCGGGTGAGAGTGTGGGCGGCGGAGTTTTGAATGAGCTGAATTTTGTGAATAGTGGAGGAGGGGAGACGGCGAGGAAGGGGTTAGAGTAGTCCAGCCGGGAGGTGACAAAGGCATGGACAAGGGTTTCGGCAGCTTTTGGGGTGAGGTATTGTCGGAGACGGGCAACGTGGCAGAGGTGGAAGAAAGCGGTGCTGGTCAGGGACAAGCTGACAGAACATCAGGGGACTGGGGGTCGCAGCTGGAGGTGGAAAAGTAGACCTGAGTGTCATCCGCATTAATGAGGAAGTTAACACCGTGTCTGCGGATGACATCACCGAGAGGGAGCATATAGATGAGGAAGAGAAGGGGGCCAAGGATGGATCCTTGGGGTACCTCGCAGGTGACCGGGTGGCAGCGTGAAGAAAAACCATTTGCAGAAATGTACTGCTGGCGGTTTGTGAGGTAGGACTCGAACCAGGCGAGTGCGGTCCCACTGAGGTGGATGATGGAGGACAGCAGGTGGAGGAGGATGGCGTGATCCACTGTGTCGAACGCGGTGGAGAGGTCCGAGGAGGCAGAGGGAGCCCTGGTCACAGACAGAGAGGATATCGTTTGTGACCTTCACGAGCGCTGTCTCTGTATGTTGGGCAGGGCGGAAACCAGACTGGAGGGGTTCGAGTCGGGTGTGGAGGGAGAGATGTGCGCGAAGTTGGTTGGCAACAACGGGTTCCAGGGCTTTGGCAAGGAAGGGCAGGTTTGAGATAGGGCAGGAGTGGCCGAGGTTGGAGGGGGCGAGGGTAGGTTTTTTTAAGGAGGGGGGTGAGAACCGTGGTTTTGAGGGGGAGAGGGACTGATCCTGAGGAGAGAGACTGGTTAATAGTGTCTGCCAGCAGTGGGAGGAGGAGGGGGAGCTGAGTGATCAGCAGTTGGGTGGGGAGGGGGTCGAGGCAGCAGGTGGTGGGTTTCATTGTGGTGATGGTGGATGAGAGGGAGGAAGGAGAGATGGGGGCAAATGAATGTAGGATGGGGGCCGTGGTAGGAGCTGAGGGCGGGGTGGGTGAGGGAGACGGAATGGGGGTGGTGGTAGGCGACACGGGGCAGAGGGAAGAAGCTGCCAGGTGGATGTTGTCAATTTTAGAGATAAGGGAGTCCATGACCTCTTCGTACTTAGGTGTGCAACCACCAGGTGCTACAACAACAACAACAACAACAACAACAACTAAATTACATTTATAGAGCGCCTTTCACGTTGGGAGGACGTCCCAAAGGTGCTGTACACACTCACACCAGGTACTGTATACACCAAACACAGTACACACCCATCACCAGGTACTATATACACCAGGTATTGTATGAGTGACGGTGAATGAGGGTGAGTGACGGTGAGTAACGGTGAGTAATGGAGATTGACGGTGAGGCGCTGGTTATTTACAGGAGTTTGTGCAGTCCCTGTGTTGTCGCCGGCAGGAGTTGGGGGCCATTGTGTCTCTGGGGGAAGCCATGCTGCTCTCGTGTGCCCCCAACTCAACCTCTGATCTCCGCACCTCCATCAACATCATCCGCACTCGCTACAAGGAGGTGAGAGTTCTGGGGGAGCCGTGCTGCCCGGTACCAACATATTATCAACACGGCACCAACACATCATCAACACGCCACTGACATGCCATCAACACGGCACCAAGACACGATCAACACAGAACCAACACGGCATCCACACTATCAACACGGCACCAATACACCACCAACATGCCATCAACACGCCACCGACGTGCCATCAACACGCCACTGACATGCCATCAACACAGCACCCACACACCCTCAACACGTTACTGACATGCCATCAACATGGCACTGACATGCGGTCGACGTGACACTGACACGCCTCTAACACAGCTCCAAAATGGCATCAACACGGCACTGACACACCAACGATATGGCACCAACACGTCATCAACATGGCACTGACACGCCGTTGGTGAGTATCTGGCTGCCTAATTCGGTAGAGCTCTCACCTCTGAGTCAGGAGATTGTGGGTTCACATCTGGAATCACAGTGAAGCGCTGGGGGTGTGTTGCAATGTTGGAGGTGTCGTCTTTCAGATGAGAAGTTAAACCAAGATCCCATCTGCCTGGTTTTTCTTGGTGTCCTGTCCAACAGATAACATTGTTCACTCATTCCATGGCAGTTTGTCACTTCTTGTCACTTTGTCGTACATCCTATGAAGCGCTTTAGGATGTCCTCCTGACCTGCCAGGTGTGCTACATTGAATGGAAAGATTATTATTTTTACATTATTATCAACATGGCACTGCCATACACCGACCTGTCATCTACACAGCACGAACCCACAAACAACACGGTGCCAACATGCCATCAACATTGTGCCGTCATGCCATCAGCACAAACACTGACCCGCTACGGCGATCTCATGGACAAGGCACCAATATGGACTGACATATTAATAATAATTATATTAATATCATTCTTGCCTTTAATTTTGTGCCTTATCACGTCTCAAAGCGCTTCACAAAATAGACTGAAAAGTGGATTGACTATTTATTTGAGGGCGAAAAGTCTCATCTGAAGCACGGTACATCCCTTGTTTGTGTCAGTCCGTATTTCATTCAGAATATTGCTGCCCGCATACTGACCCGGACTGAACTCCGTACCCACGTCTCACCAGTCCCGGCCCAGACTCCACTGGCTCCCCATCACCGAACGGATCGACTTCAAGATCCTCACACTCGTATTCAAATCCCTTCACTCTCCGGCACCTCCCGACCTCTCCGACCTCCTCACTCCCCAATCCACCACCTGGTACCTCCGCTCAACTGGCACCGGCCTCCTGCTCGGCCCTCGCACCCTCATCTCCACCATCGGAGGTCGCGCTTTCAGCCAATATGCCCCAAAACTCTGGAACATTCTCGCTCAATCCCTCCGCCTCAATCCCTCCCCTCTCTCCCCTCTTTCATGTCCCACCTGAAAACCTTCCTTTTAGACCGTGCTTACGGTCACCTCCCCCCGCTCCCCCGGGCTCGGAGTCAGGCTCCGTCACTGTTAAGTGCAAGCTGTTGTTGTTGTATATTGACATGGCACCAACATGGCAGGGTATAAGCGTGGCGAGCCTGTGACTCCCTGTCGCTCTCTGTGCTGTAGGTGGAGGTCTGGGCGGAGGTGCAGGGGGAGTGGATCCAGAGTTTGCTGCTGAGGGTGAGTGCAGAGCGAGAGCAGCAGCGACTGAGAGACTGGATTAGAGACGCCAACGAGAAGCTGAACTTCAGGGACCAGGACCCTCCCCCCGAACACACCACACAGCTGGAGGAGCGCATTACAGAGCACACGGTGAGAATCTATCATGTCCCGGCTACCCCTGGCACAGATTAAATATCAGCCCTGGCACAGACTAAATATCAGCCCTGGCACAGCACCAACACCAGCCCTGGCACAGATTAAATACCAGCCCTGGTACAGCACAAGCACCAGCCCTGGCACCGCACCAACACCAGCCCTGGCACAGCACCAACACCAGCCCTGGCACCGCAAACAGACACAGAGTGACACAGACGGAAAAGACATAACGTGTTACAGACATAGACTGACAACAGATTCTCACAGACACACACTGATACAGTCAGAGACGGGTACAGGGCTGACACAGAGACACACCAACACAGACCGACACAGATTGATGCAGACACCCACCGACACCACAGACAGACACAGACGCTGACTCTCACCCGTTTTCCTCTCACAGGAATTCCTGGATGAGCTGATGAGGAAGAAATCGGAGGTGGAAAAAGAGGTTGAGACCCAACCGGGGAGAGCGAGCAGCGGTCAGACAGCGTCCCGAGCTCAGCGTGGCAGCAGCAGTAAGTGAGACCCCCCCCACCCCGCCCCCAGCCACCGGCACCAGCTGACCCCTCACTCCCAGCTCACTCCTGGCTCACTCCCCAGCTCAGTCACGCCTCACCCCTGAGGGTCACCTGCCCGCTGCTCCCCGGCTTGGGGTTGTGCTGCGAAACAGTCAAGCGCTCTGGGACACTGCCCGGCGAGAGCGGCGCGATATAAATATAAGTCGTTGTCGTTGTTACCCCCTCGCTCCCAGCTCCGTCACCACTCTCTCACCCCCCCCACCCCCCAACCCCCACCGGTGGGTGACATTCTCAACTGGGTTTGGCTACTCTTAAGCGTGGTGATGCCTTAACACGAAGCCGACGGCAGCTGAGGGTGTGACGAAGGTCCCTTTGTGTTTTCTGGCAGAGACAGCGGGTGTTTGTGCCAGTCCTGATGGCAGGAAGGTGCCCACACCCGTGCCCCCCGAGGCGGGCAGCGGCCCTGGCTCTCGTCTCCTCACAGCCTGGCATCAGCTGTGGCTGCGGGCCCTGGACAGAGAGGAGAGGCTACAGGAGCAATGGGAGAGGCTACAAGAGGTCAGTCTGCCCCCTCCCGCTATCACTCTACACCCCACTCACTCCCTCACACTCGCTTTCCACCCCCACTCACTCCTTCACACTCACTCCCTCCCTCACACTCACTCCCCACTCCCTCCCTCACACTCACTCCCCACCCCATTCCCTCCCTCACACTCACTCCCTCACACTCACTCCCCACTCCTCCCTCACACTCACTCCCCCACCCTCCCCACCTCCCTCCCTCCACTCCACTCCTCCCTCACACTCACTCCCCACTCCCTCCCTCACACTCACTCCCCACCCCACTCCCTCACACTCACTCCCTACTCCACTCTCTCACACTCACTCCCCACCCCATTCCCTCCCTCACACTCACTCCCCACCCCATTCCCTCCCTCACACTCACTCCCCACCCCACTCCCTCCCTCATGCTCACTGCCCACCCCACTCCCTGCCTCACACTCACTCACAATCAATCTCCACGTGCCATTACACAACCGCTCACACTTGGGTCACGCTCAGTCCCCGCATGTCGTGATACGCTCACTTACACACCTGCTCACACTGGCTCCCCACACGCGTGACACACTCGCTCCCCACGTGATATTGTAAAACTGTTCATACTTACTCCCCACATACCCTTACACACCTGCTCACACTCACTTTCCGTGACGTACTTGCTCCCCGCGTGCCGCTGCACATCTGTTCACACTCGCTCCAATCATACATGACACACTCGCTTCTGCACGTGCTGTCGTACGGCTACTCACACCAACTCCGCACGAGCCAAGACGCCTTTGCTCCCCTCCTGGCTTTTGCACACCTGCTCACACTCACTCTCTCTTGCAGCGGGCTGACTTCGAGCACTTTGACTTCTCCTCGTGGCGGTGTCGTTACATGCAGTGGATCGCAGACAGGAAGTGCCGTCTGCTGGACGTGTTCCGCTCCATCGACCGCGAGCAGCGCGGTCTGGTCTCCAGAGAGCACTTCATCCACAATGTGCTCACCTCCAGTCAGTGTCCCTGTCACCCCGACACTGTCACCCCGACACTGTCACCCCGACACTGTCACCCCCACACTGTCACCCCCACACTGTCACCCCCACACTGTCACCCCCACGCTGTCACCCCCACACTGTCACCCCCACACTGTCACCCCCACACTGTCACCCCCACACTGTCACCCCCACACTGTCACCCCACACTGTCACCCCCACGCTGTCACCCCCACGCTGTCACCCCCACACTGTCACCCCCACGCTGTCACCCCACACTGTCACCCCCACACTGTCACCCCCACACTGTCACCCCCACACTGTCACCCCCACACTGTCACCCCCACACTGTCACCCCCACACCGTCACCCCAACACTGTCACCCCAACACTGTCAGCCCGACACTGTCACCGACACTGACCTCCAACAATCTGTTGACCTCCAGTCGGTGTCCCACTGTTTTTTTTAAATAGTAATAAAAATAAAATTGGTCACTTCCATCCACGACTGTTTGTGGGACACTGCTGCGCGCAATTGTCTGCTGTGTTTCGCCCACAAATATACAGTCAATTCACTTTACAGTATATTCTCTGAAGCGCTTTGAGACGTCTCGAAGATGTGATAAGGCACTACATCAAATGCAAAGATTATTATTATTATCCGGACTCTCTCCGATGTTCTGATCTGCATTGTTCTCTCCGCTCCTCAACAGAATTTCCAACTAACTCCCTGGAGATGGCTGTGGTGGCTGACGTGTTTGACCTGAACGCTGACGGCTTCATTGACTACTGGGATTTCACCAGCGTCCTGCACCCGAGCCGAGATGCCCTGCGTCTCCGAGACTCCCACACCATCCACGACGAGGTTAGAGGGCAGTGACCAACAGCAGCAATAACAACATTTATATAGTGCCCTTCACACAGGCAGGGCTTAACAGTGGCGGAGCCTGATGCCGAGCCGGGGGGAGGGAGGAGGTGACTGTAAGCACCGTTTCCAGTTGTGATCTTAAAGAGGGGAAGCAGTGGGGCACACACTCACACAGAGTGAGTGTGATTTACTGACACACTCGCACTGACGGTCACTCTCTCCTCAGGTCAGTCGTCAGGTGGCTCAGTGTAACTGTGTGAAGAGGTTCCTGGTCGAACGGATCAGTGCCAACAGATACCGGGTAAGAGTTGTTTTGTGTGTGTGTGCCATATGTGTGCCATGTGTGTGTATGCCATGTGTGTGCCGTGTGTGTGCTGTGTGTGTGTTTGCCATGTATGTGCTGTGTGTGTGTGTATGTCGTGCATGTATGTGTGTGTGTGTGCTGTGTGTGTACCATGTGTGTAATGTGTGTGTGGTTCGTGTGTGTGCTGTGCATGTGTATGTGCCATGCATGTGTGTATGCCATGTGTGTGTGCCATGCATGTGTGCAATACATGTGTGTGTGTGCCATGTTTGTGTGCTGTGCATGTGTGTGCCATGTGTGCCGTGCGTGTGTGTGTGTGCTGTGTGTGTGCCACGTGTGCCGTGTGTGTGTGTGCTGTGTGTGCACCATGTGTAGGCCTTGTGTGTGTGTGTGCCATGTGTGTTTGTGTGTGCCGTGTGAATGTGTGGGGGAGGGGATAAAAAGGCAGCCCTAACCCACCAGGAGGAGACTTGACTTGACTTTAAGTGCTCTGAGACGCCGTCCGGCGTGGAGGGCGCTATATAAATCCAAGTTGTTGTTGTTGTTGTTGACTGCTTTCTGACTTGTAATGGGTCAAGTTGCTCTGGGGGTATCTTCCTCTCCCCTGGTGTTGGTGTGCGGAGTGTCTCTGTCTCTCACCTGGGGGGGGGGGGGGGGTAGCTGTTTCTCTCTCTCTCTCTCTCTCTTTCCCCTTTTTTTTGGTGGGGGTGGGGGGGGGGGGGGGTGGTGTGGTGTGTAGAAGGTATTCGCTCGCTGAGCTGTGCTTCTCTCCGCAGTTCGGGAACTCCCAGAGGATGAGGATGGTTCGGGTGTTGCGCTGTACGGTGATGGTGCGAGTGGGCGGGGGCTGGAGCGCGCTCGATGAGTTCCTGGTGAAGAACGACCCGTGTAGAGGTGGGTCAGGGTGCGGTGGGGGTGGGGGAGGGGAGAGGGTGAGGGGAGGGGGTTGAGCTCGCGGTTATCAGGCAACCTCTGGGGTCAGGGAACAGACCTAACCAGCACTGAGATCATAGGTCAGACGGGATCTGCACTGGGATTAGGCCGTGTAACCTCTCTCTGCTCTGGGACAGTGAAGGGACGCACCAACATTAAGCTGAAGGAGCGATACCTGACGCCCGAGGGCCACGGGACCCCCACAAGCCAAGTCGCAGCTTCGCCGCCCACCTGGAACTCCGTCAGGACCACCAGCAGCTGCATGTCTGCCCCCAGCAGTCCGCGGGCCAGGAAGGTAATCGCTGTCACTAACTCATCACCATCACTGTCTGCCCACGTCGCTAATAATCCTCGCATTTGACACAGCGCCTTATCACGTCTTCGAGACGTCTCAAAGCGCTTCACAGGATACACTGCAAAGTGAATTGACTGCGTATTTTGTGGGCGAAACGCGGCAGCCAATTGCGCACAGCAGCGTCCCGCACACAGCCGTGGATTGAGTAATCAAATTATTATTATTTATTTCTTTCTTTATTTTGGTGGGATTATTAGCCCCGGAAAGCGATCCGTCAATCGACTAACAACCGGGTTTCCATTTACTGCCAGGTAAACAGAAGCGTGAGGAGTCAGGAAACTTGTCCAAGGTGTCGTCCTGCCCAGGAATCGAACCTGGGTCCTCTCGCTTGCGAGGCGAGTGCTCTGGCCACTGAGCTACAGGACGCCATATCTGTCCTTGTAACTCATCACAATCACTTGTGGAGTCAGTCTCCCTCAGTCTCCATCTCTGTCACATCACTGCTTCTCAAAGACTCCGTCACTGTCTGTATCACTGTCCACCATCACCTCACTCAAACCTTACCCTCCTGGGGGGGAGGGCGGGTAAATAGGTTCTCCTTTGAGCTGAGCCACCGGTCCATCTTGGATCATGCTACCCATTGGGGCTTTGGCTTGCAGGTTAACAGAAGCTGAGTGGGAGGATTCCCTGACCCCAGTGACTGGTCTGCCCTTCCAAGTCCATCTGACGAGTCAGGCTGGCTGTGCTGTGACGAGCAGTGCCCTGAATACGGCCTGGCTCAGGAGCTAGACCTCCGCAGAGGACTGGCTCGATTCCGACATTCAAACACGTCACCTTGGAGCTTAGGCCCGAGGAGACCTCGCTTACTTTCCTGAAGGAGAATAGTCTGGTAGGGGTTAGAGGCGGACGAAAGCTTCCTCTGCACCATCCAGCCACATTCTTAGGTCAGGGTTGACGGCAGGGAGGTGGTCCTCAGCCTCTGTTTGTCTTTCAGTCTGTTGTCCGGAGAAGCCGATCTGGAGATCGTTCCCAATCCCATCCTCAGTCCAGGAATTCCTTTGCGTTGGAGGAGGCTGAGTTCAAGGTGTGCACTGCCTCTACCTGCCGCCTGGCAGCCTCTGGTGAGTGAGTATGGCGTGACAACAACAACAACAACAAGATTCCATTTATAGAGCGCCTTGCACGTCGGGAGGACGTCCCAAGGCGCTGTACAGTTGGGTAAGGACCCGAACAGGGGGGAAATGGTCAGGGTGAGGGGAGAGAAGGGAGGGAGCGAGGAGGGGGTAGAGAGTCGAGAGGGGAGCTGAAGGCACGGTCAAAGAGAAAGGTCTTGAGACCGGCCTTGAAGGAGGAAAGGTATAAGGGATGTTGACTGTGGCTGATTTCTTTCTCTGACACACAGATGTTGACCGGTCAGTGGTGCTGGAGGCTGAAGATGCTCAGAGCAGAGACAGCACATCTGGTTGCGACCAGCGACCGACTAACCAGCCGCCTGTGATCGGTGATTGATGGACTGTCCACATTTGTACTGCAACCGACTGATGATTTGCCCGCAACAGGCGACTGACTGACTGTCCACGTGTGAGTGGTAATTGATTGACCGACTGACGACTCGCCTGTGACATCTGCCTGACCTGACCACCCTCTTGTCACCAGTAACGTGACCTGAGTAGAATTACAGTAAACCTCACGCAAGGCCTATCTTTATATAAAACCTATAATCGCCCGAGTCGTATTGTACGTTCACCCGATTCCCATTCAGTTCCTTATCAAAAACACTCAGATTTCTTTGCACTACTCGTATTAACCACCTCCTAACTCATCACACCACTCCCCTACCCTCCCTTACCAGTCGCATTGAATCCGTGGGAAACGTCTTGATCCGTCGACGCATGGGCAGAAGAATGACATTTTCCTTTGCCTCAGACACTGGCAGCATCGCCATCCAAGGATGCCTACTCCACCTCACCGAGCCAGTCCAGAGACCTTGGGGTCTTGTTTGACCCTCAACTGTAGTTTTTACCCCACATCCATACCATGACCCGCTCTGCCTTCCCCCACCTCCAAAACATCGCCCGGCTCCGCCATTGTCTCACACCGCAGGCTGCCGAGACCCTCGTATACGCATTCATAACATCCAGGCTTGACTATGCAAACTATCTGCTTGTCAGCCTCCCCAGTTCCTCCCTCCATAGGCTGCAGATCATCCAGAACTCCGTAGCCCGTGTTCTCTCCCCCACCAGACTCCATGACTCTATCAACTCCATCCCCCCCCGACTCCACTGGCTTCCCATCCACACAGAAGATACAGTTCAAGATCCTCACCTTCAAAGCCCTCCATGGCCTTGCTCCCCCCTACCTCTGCGACCTCCTAAACCCCCTACCAACCTGCCCGCTCCCTCCGCTCAGCGGGCTCCGGCCTGCTTCACGTCCCTGCCTCGCCTGCCTCACCATTGGCTGGCGGGCCTTCAGCCACTCTGCCCCCACCCTCTGGTTCACCATCCCACAGTCCCTCCACCTCACCCCCTCCCTTGCCTCCTTCTAGACCTGTCTCTTCGACCGTGCCTTCGATCACCCTCCTTCCCCACCTGTCCTCCATCCTCCCCAACCCGACCGCCAGCTCGGGTCCGAAACACTGACCATCCAGCGCCTTGGGATTCCCTCCCGATGTGAAAGGCGCTATACAAAATTAATATTGTCGTTGTTGTTGTTGTTCAATGTGATTCCAACATGCTTGGCGGTAGGTGTGCATGCAGTAACGGGTCAAAATGCATTGAATCGTGGGAAGCATAGTGTCGATCCATCACCATATGCGTACGTATTGGGCCGCATTGAACTAAGAATGTGCCGTGTAGATTATTGATTAAATCGGATTTTATACGATTTATACAGTTTGCCTGTAACTTGTACTTCGTGTAAGTCATATTGAATGTCACAACACTGCTCCGCCCGGGATCCGGATCAGGTGTAAATGGCCCATAAGTTCACTGGCATGAAAAAACATTTATTGATCAGACAAAAAAAAATGTACAAACTCACAGAGCCTGCCTGAGCCCCAGCCCCAACCCACAGCCCATCGCAACCGCCAAACCTCAACCGCCCCCACCCCACCCCAAACCCCCACACCCTGCCTTACCCCACACCTGGCTGCGTGAGGGTGGTGGAAATCTGAAACTCTTTCCCCTAAAAGACTGTGGAGGCTGCATGAGTTCACATTTCCAAGGCTGAGGTGGATTTCTGTTGGTCAGGGGAGCAAGGGATATGGGGCTAAAGCTGGTAATTAGAATTGAGGTGCAGATCAGCCATGATCTAGTAGAATGGCCTCCTCCTGTGCCTGTGTTCCTATGAGGGGGTGGGAGGCCTTGGCCTGGCTATACGAGGAGAGGCTTCGGCCTGGCCAGTACCCAGTGGCAGGAGCAGGAACCCGGTGTTAGGGTCGGACACACAGCTCTGCAGCAGTTGCTGGTAGGTGAGGTTGTCGCCGGTGCCGGGATGGAAGAAGCCTCGGGCCTGGCTGCCGGGCTGGGTCAGGCTCTGGTGCATGTCCTCGTCCAGCAGACCCCGGCTGAAGGCCACCGCCAGTGGCAGCCGGTGACTGTGCTCGGGGTCGATGATGCCTCCGGTGGCCAGCTGGGCCTGGAGCAGGCGGACAGCGTGCGAACGCATTATCAGGCCGTAACTCAGGGCCTGGAAGAGGGAGAAAAGGCGACCAGTGTAGGGGTCCTTGTAGCCAGTTACCGCCCTTTCGGCTGCCAACAGCTTGGCCTGGAGCTCGGGCCCCACGACGCTGAGCTGCACAGCGGCCTCCACCGTCAGCTCCAGGCCCTGTCGTGGCTCCACAATGAAGCCCGTAGCAGCTTGGGCCTCGAGTAGGAGCAGGCCTGTGCCAGGCAGCACCAGGCCCTCATTCATGGCCTGGTAGATGGACAGAGGCCTGCGCTTGGCCTCCAGGTACAGGCCAGCCACGCAGCCTGAACCTCGCAGGTAGGCCTTGATGCCTCGCTTACCTCCTGGGGGGTGGTGTGGCCACTCTCTAGCTCCTCGGCCGTGTCTGCCCCGATCACCTGGGCCTCCAGTAGCTCTTCCACCGTCACCCTTCGTCTCAGGCCACGGAACGAGGGCCTGTCTTGACTGAGGGGCAGGAGGAGCAGCCCAGGGCCAGGCCCCGGCCTACACTGGCCCAGCAGCTGCCTGTAGCTCAGCCGCTCCTCAGTGTTGGGGTCGGAGAAGCCCTTCACCCCCGCGATGGGGTCTGTCAGCAGCCGCTGTGTCTCCTTGTCCAGGCAGCCACGCTGATAGGCCACCTCCAGGGGCAGGCGGTGTCGGTGCTCGGGGTCCACTATGCCCCCGGTGGAGAGCTGAGCCTCCAGGAGACGGGTGGCGTAGTCAGCCACAATCAACTGTTTTTTCATGGCCTGGAACAAGGGCACGAGGCGGCCGGTGTAAGGGTCCTTGTAGCCGGTCACCGCCCGCTCAGCGGAGAGGAGGGCATCGTGTAACTCAGGGCCCACCATCCCCCGCCTCACTGCCTCGTCTACCCTCAAACGGTCGGTCTTCCCGGGCTCCATCAGGCCCCCAGTGGCCGCCTGGGCCTCCAGCAGGGCCAGAGCGATGGCGGGTCTCACAAGCCTCGGCGCTGGGCTGCGTACACACCCAGAGTCTCCCCCAAGCCCTCGTGCAGGACCCCTGCCACGCAGCCTGTCCCGCTCAGCTCGCTCCCGGACTGTGCCACCGCCGACCCCAGGCCCGGCTCCCGCGCACTCGGGGTCAGCAACGTCTCGGTCTCCGAGCGGTGACCAATTCCATGGCGATGGCTGTTCAGCACACCACACACAGCGAGAGTCTGTAACAGAGGACGGCAGAGAGTCAGCGCAATAATAATTATAAAATCATAATCATAACCACAATAATAATCATAATAATAATAATAACGATCCTTGCATTTGTTATCGTGGCGTCGGGATGTCTCACAGGATATACTGTGAAGTGTATTGACTGTGGACAGTATTTTGCGGGCGAAACGCGGCAGCCAATTGCGCACAGCAGTGTCCCACGAACAGCCGTGGAGTAAGTGACCCATTGTTATTCGGGGGATTGTTGGGCAGGACACCACCTCCAGTTCAGCACACCCCCAGCGCTGCACTGGAGTGTCTTAATGTGTACACCTTACCTCACGTACACCTCTCCCCGTGTACATTCTGCCCTGAAAACGCCCCCCAGCCCGCTTACACCTTTGCCCCACATATATACACAGCCCCACATACAACCTGCCCTGCGTCCCACGAACAATCATCCTGTGATGATGAGCTGTGCTCTGCGAACACAACGCTCCGTGTACTCCAGGGCCTGCGTACATACACACCATGTCATTTCATCCCACATAATGTACACATCATTCCGAGTAAATCCTGCACCAGGTACAACCACTCTGCGAACACCCGGTCCCGCGTACACGCAGCCCAATATACACAACACACTGGCCCAGATTCATGGCGCTCACACCCACCCAACCTCTGAACATCTCTGATATACTTAACCGCTTGTACTGAAGTATTTCTATGTACAATTATCATTGTTCTTTCGCACGTTTCAGTTGTTGGTCAGTGCACTGTAGAAATAGGCGACACATGGGGGGTGACAGGACTTTGGTGGACACCATGTACTAACAGGATAGGATAGGGGATGCACATCAGATGGCTATTCCCTGGCACCGGCCACAACCTCAGTGTTACACGGGCTGAGTTAGTGATCGCACGCGTGTACTAACCAGTTACCTGCTGGATTATATCGGCACACACTGAGCCCGGCTCCTCCTCCGCCAACTCCACTCCCACACCCACCGCACGGTTAAACAATTCCGTCTGCAGCTCGTACTCCTGGCAACAAGCACATGGTCAACGCACGGGGCAGACATGGGAACATACAACACAGTATTGGGGAGTCGAATCCCCCGCTCCATAGTGTGACCGACATCCCCTTCCCCCCTGCCCAGTGCTGTCCATGTCCCCCCCCGCACCTCCCAGTGCTGCCTGTGTCTCTCAGTGGGGCCTGTGTCTCACCTTGCAAGCCTCCATGTACTGTACTGCATGAATCCGGTACTGCTCCATCAGTTGGGCCATCCACCCAGCGCTCTGCCAGAGAAAGATAACAACAAGTTACATGTGTACAGGGCCTTTCACCTCGGGAGGACATCCCAAGGCACTGGACAATCAGGGATTTGGACCTGAGCTGGGGGTTGGGATCAGGAGGGGTGGAGGGTGACCGAAGGCGGGATCGAAGAGGAAGATCTTGAGCTGGACCTTGGAGAAGGCAAACGGACTGTGTGATGGAGTTCCAAAGGGTGGGAGAAGAGAGGCTGAAGGTCCGACTGCTGATGGTGGGGTGGGCCGGAGAGGGGACGGGAGCGGACAGATTGATATGGAGTTAGCAGGTCACAGAGGTAGAGAGGAGCAAGGCTGGAGGGTTTTGAAGGCGAGGACAAAGATTTTGAACTCTATCCTCTGGGGATGGGGAACCATTGGAGCCGGGCGAGGATGGGGGTGGCAGGCCTCACTCCTAAATCTTGGTACAGGCCCCACTCTCCCCCTCCCCTTGTTACAGTGGTAACAGTTCTCCCAGTTTACTGATTACCGTTCCCCCTACATCTGCCGTCTGCTAGTTTCTGCTCTGGGCTCTGTTACCTTTGTGTTATTGACTCCGTTCTCGTGTCTCGCAGTGTCTCCACCCGCCTGACAGGCCATCAACTGCTCGTACATTGCTCGGAACCCCTTCAACCTCCGGCGGACCCCCATTAACACAAGCAACCTGGGAGCACAGAACATCATCACTCTGCGTCTCTCATCTCTCACCGGCTATCTGTCTCCAAGTCTCTCACCTGGGGTCTGGGATGCTACCCTGTGTGAGGGACGCTATATGAATGCAAGGTGTTGTTGCTGATATATCTCAGATGGAGTATCTCACCTGTGGTCTATCTGGCAGTGCACGGCCTGTTGCTGTTGGATGATGCTCTGGATGCTCTGGTTGTACTGGGTCAGGTTTGTGCTGCATGATTGGTTGCTCTTCCTCAGCTGCTCACTGAGAGCTGTCACCTCAGACAAGCTCTCCTCCAACTCCCAGAAACATTCCCTCTGGTCATCGAGATCCATGTGTAGATACTGCAAGAGAGAGAGGGAGAGAGAGAGAGAGAGAGATCGTGTGAGACTGAGATAGAGTGAGAGCGTAAGAGAGAGAGGAGAGAGAGATTGTGTGAGAGTGAGATAGTGTGAGTGAGCGTCATTGAGTGTGTGAGTGTGAGCATGTGAATGGGTGAGTGTGAGAACGTTGGCGAGCTTGCGAGCGCATGAGTGAGAGTGAGAAAAAGTGTGTGACTGAGTGGGAGTGAGCGTGACAGTGTTGGTGAGTCAGTGTGATGGAATATGAGTGTGTGAGTGATTGTGAGAATGTGAGTGAATATGTGAGTGAATGTCAGTGTGGGAGAACCACAGAACCATAGAGATTTACACACAGAAGGAGCCCATTCTGCCCGGCATGTCTGTGCTGTCTCTTACAGAGCAATCCTTTCAGTCCTGTTTACCTGCCCTCTCCCCATCCCCGTACCCCTGTTCTTTACATCTTTTTTAAGTATTCATTGAGTTCCCTTTTGAAAGTAATGAGAGTGATTGAGAAAGTGTGTAAGTGAGTGGGAGTGAGGGTAAGTGTGTGAGTGTGTCAGCGAGAGGGTGAGCGAGAGGATGTGTGAGTAAGTCAATGAGAGTGAGTGATGGTGAGTAAATGCGTGTTAGTGAATATCAAAGTGAATGAGTGTGAGTAAGTGAATGAGTGAGTGATCAATTGTCTATGTGAGTGAGTGAGTGATTGATTGCCTATGTGAGTGAGTGATTGCCAGTGTGGTCAATGTAAGTGAGTGAGTGAGTGAGTGATTGATTGCCTATGTGAGTGAGTGAGTGATTGATTGCCTATGTGAGTGAGTGATTGCCAGTGTGGTCAATGTAAGTGAGTGAGTGAGTGAGTGAGTGAGTGATTGATTGCCTATGTAAGTGAGTGAGTGATTGTTAGTGTGGTCAATGTAAGTGAGTGAGTGAGTGTGTATGTCTGTGTAAAGGACACACCTTCAGATCCTGTCTGAGGGCATCTATGGCTGTGCCTGAGCTCAGTGCTCGGCTCCTGCGTTCCCTGAGGTGTTGCTCGTAACAACGCAGACAGTCCCAGGCTGTGGGTACGTGGCTCAGGGCGGCTTCAATCACATTCAGCCTGAGAGGGTCAGAGACCATGAGACACAAACCACCTCTCCGCCACTTTAATTCACACTTCACGGTCCCTTTAATACCTGCCTGGCTGCTCATTTATTCCCATAAGAACACAAGAAATGCTAGACAAAAAAAAGACCAAGGTACATCTAGTTCGCCTTCCATCTATGTACTATATCCCATAATGTTATCTCTTAAAAAAACTATCTAATCTGTGTTTGAAAGAATCAATGCTTCCTGTTTCAACCGTCTCCCTAGGGAGCCTGTTCCACAGGTTCACTATTCGCTCATTGAAATAGTGTTTGTGTAGATTTGTTCTGAATTTACCCTCTTCAATCGCAGGCCGTGGTTCTACTATTATGGACAAATTGAAACAGCCTGTCATGATCTATATTGTCATGGTCTATATTGTCATGATCTATATTGTCATGGTCTATATTGTCATGGTCTATATTGTCATGATCTATATTGTCATGATCTATATTGTCATGGTCTATATTGTCATGGTCTATATTGTCATGGTCTATATTGTCATGGTCTATATTAATCTTCCCCTGGCCACCCCTTTCATTCCTGGCTGTCCGCCCTTTTAATTCCTTTAATACTTGCCTGGCCTTCCCATTAATTTCTCACTGACTGTCAGTGTAATTCCCATTTGCCCCCCATTTAATTGCCACCTCAACGTCCCTTTAATTGCCAACTGTCACCCGTGTGCGTCAGGCTGGCTCAGGGCTCGCGCTCTCGCCTCTGAGTCAGAAGGTTGTGGGTTCAAGCCCCCACGTTAAAGATCTGATGGCTCTATTTGAAAAGAGAAGGAAGTTTCCACCTCCCTGGTCCCTGACCAACAATCCCTCAGATAAAATAGTGCTTCGGGACGTCCTCCTGACAAGAAAGGAACTAAACTAAACGCAAAGGTTATTAGTATTATTAAAGGGATGTCTGTTTAATTCTTGCATGTCTGCCCTTTCTCATTCCTGACCTTTAATTCCCACCTGGTTGTTCCTTTAATTCCTGTCTTATCACCCTTTAATTCCCATAGTTCCTCCCCCCCACCCCCCCACCGATCATGTGTCGCTGCTTGCTCACATGTCCAGGTACAGACGTGTGAGGTGGTGCTTGTGCTGTAGCGTGTTCAGAGCGCTGGCGAGCTCCGGCAGGTCCCCCACGCCTCTGGCCATGTTGAAGGATTGCAGGGTCTCCCCAGCCTCCCGTCGATCCGCTTCCAGACTCGCCCTGTGCTGCCAGAGCTCCCCGCGGAGCCCCTAGGGAGGACACATAGCACACCAACTGTCACGCAAGACACGCACACTGTCACGCGGGACACACACGCACCATCACCCGGTTAAACATGCACCGTCACGCAGAACACAACCGTGGTCACACTTACAATATCATGTTGGACGTGAGTGAACCCACGTCTGCGGATGATGTCACCGAGTGGGTGCATATGGATAGTGAAGAGGAGAGGATTACTTAACTGGGAGAGATATGGAGAGAGAGAGATGGAGAGAGAGAGAGATGGAGACAGAGAGAATGATGGGAGAGAGAAAGAGAAAGAGACCTGGAGAGAAGGCGATCTGGAGGGAGAGAGAGATCTGGGGAGAGAGAGAGATCTGGAGGGACAGAGAGCTGACCTTCAGATTGCTGTCACGGGTCAGATGGAGTGTCTCTAACCAGCTCCGCACACAGTGGATCCTTGTCAGCAGCTCACTGCACCTCGTTCCCACCTACAGACACAGTCTCAGTCACAGCACACAGAAAGTATACACACAGTCACAGCACACGGACAGTATACACACAGCCACAGTCACAGCACACGGACAGTATACACACAGTCAGAGCACACCGACAGTATATAACAGTCACAGCACATGGACTGTATCTACACAGTCACAGCATACGGACGGTATACACACAGTCACAGCACAGACAGTATACACACAGCCCCAGCACATGGACAGTATATACACAGTCACAGCACACGGACAGTATATACACAGTCACAGCCCACGGATAGTGTAGGGTGCAGACACAATCAACAACAACAACAAGATTCCATTTATTGAGCGCCTTTCACGTCGGGAGGACGTCCCAAGGCGCTGAAATCAAAGCACACAGAACAGTCAAGCAGTATGAGATATACACTGTGAGGGTCAGTGAGATATACACTGTGCCCAGGCAGTGTGGACACTTACCTCATAGTGAGAGACGAGCACTGACGTGAGTCGGAGAATCTCTGTGGGGTCTGCGTTGATCAGAGTGTGCACATTGACCATGTCCACACGCACCTGGGAGAGAAACAAGCCATTAGCTGGTGTCACTGTGGCAGGGCTGCTCACTGGGAGACAGTGAGGACAGTGAATATTCCTGTACCGACACGCTCAGAGGCAAAATCAGCCGCATTGTTCCCGGCACACATGATGATCAGCAGATGTTGCATATGATTTCTGTACAGTATGAACGATTTCTGTATGTTATATAATAATAATAATAATCCTTGTATTTGATACAGTGCCTCATCATGTCTTTGAGACGTCTCAAAGTGCTTCACAGGATACGCTGTAAAGTGAATCGTCTGTGTATTTTGTGGGTGAAACGCGGCAGCCAATTGCACACAAGAGTGTCCCACAAACAGGCGTGGATTGAGTGACCAAATTATTATTAATTTTTTTTTTGAGGGCATTATTAATTCCGGAAAGTGATCCATCAACTAACAACTGTGTTCCTACTTGCTCCTCGGTAAGCAAAGGCGTGTTGAGCAATAAGGTTTCGCCCTGCCTGGGAATTGAACCTGGGTATATATATGATTTTTGAACACTCTGTATTTTTTTTCTGAGCATTGTGTATGTTTTTTATTTGCTGTGTATGAGGTCTGTACACAGTGTATGAGGTCTGTACACAGTGTATGAGGTCTGTACACAGTGTATGATATCTGTACACAGTGTATGAAGTCTGTACACAGTGTATGAAGTCTGTACACAGTGTATGAGGTCTGTACGCAGTGTATGAAGTCTGTACGCAGTGTATGAAGTCTGTATACAGTGTATGAGGTCTGTACACAGTGTATGATATCTGTACACAGTGTATGATGTCTGTACACAGTGTATGATATCTGTACACAGTGTATGAGGTCTGTACACAGTGTATGAGGTCTGTACAGAGTGTATGAGGTCTGTACAGAGTGTATGAAGTCTGTACGCAGTGTATGAAGTCTGTACACAGTGTATGAGGTCTGTACGCAGTGTATGAAGTCTGTACACAGTGTATGAAGTCTGTATACAGTGTATGAGGTCTGTACACAGTGTATGATATCTGTACACAGTGTATGATGTCTGTACACAGTGTATGATGTCTGTACACAGTGTATGATGTCTGTACACAGTGTATGAGGTCTGTACACAGTGTATGAGGTCTGTATACAGTGTATGATTTCTGAGCGCTGTATTGGTCAGTGTCCCTGCCGTGTGCTGTGTCTCAGGACAGCTTTACCCTGTGGCTTTCCAGATAGTGCAGGACAATCTCCAGGTTCCACTTTCGCCTCCAGTACGTCACCAGTGTGAGGACCCACCACAGGCCGGTGACTCGGGGCTGGAATAGAACACAACTTGCATTTATATAGCGCCCTTCACGCCAGACTGCGTCTCGGAGCGATGTGTCATACACAGGACGAGGGCCAGAGCAGGACAAGCAACCCACATCCGTGCCTCACAATCACCTCCTCAGTCATGACTTCTCCACCCACCCCACTGCCCACAGCCGTGCCCCCCCCCACATGCCCCCAGCGAATGCCAGGTCTGCCCCCCCAGCAAGCCCCAGCCCCCGTTCACCACAACCCCCCACTCAGTGAGCTCACCAGCTGGTCTCCCGTTATTGCTTCCAGTAGTAGGATGAGGAGTTGCCCCTCCTGGGTATCTCCAAACAGGTCCCCAACTCGATCCTTGGCTCCACTCTATCACCAAAGACAGAGAGAGCAGGTCATCACAGGACAGTCACACACACACCAGTCACATACACACAGTTACATACACACAGGCCGGCCACACGTACATACACACAAACAGGGTAGTTACACACAGTCACAGGCCCGATACACGCACGCGCACACACACACAGGCCAATTACACACACAGGCCAGACACAAACACACAGTTACACACACACACACATATACACACACGCACCAGTCACACACACACACTCTCACAGGCCAGTTACACACACCAGTCCCACACACACACCAGCCCCACATACACACAGTTACATACACAGGACAGCCACACACAGAGTAAGTTACTGTACAGGATGACTGTTACCCTGACTGGTGAGTGTGTGTATATGTGTGTGTGTTTTCACGTGATTGTGAAAAATCTCTGCAATGTGGCCCATCAATATGGCGAGGCTTCAGAGATCGCTGTCCACCCCCACATCAGCTAACACTCACCCTTCTCAGGCGAGTATTCATCCAGTTTTCAAACAACTTCTTCTGCATCTCCGTCACCTTCTCACCTGTCAAATCAGAGAGAGAATCGATCAGTCTCCACACTGTCCATCCACGCTCCCACGTTAGTGAGAGCATAGGTTAGAGACAGAGCAAAGCTCCCTCTACATTGTCCGTCCACACTTCCAGGTAAATGATGATTAGACAAGGTAGAGATCTTCAGTCTTGAGAGAAGATATCTCAGAGAGGACCCCGTATAGGTGTACTACGTTTAAATGGATTGAAAAGTAAAACCTAGATGAATACTTTAGGATGCATCAAGATAGTAGAACAAGAGGACACAGGTTTAGAGTTGCAAAGATCAATTTCAGGACAGAAACCAAGAAGTGTTTCTTTACCCAATGGGTAACTCACGAATGGAACAAATTGCCAAGAATAGTCATTGAAGCCAGGACACTGGACTCATTTAAAAACAGTTTGATGTTATGACGGTAAGGTGTTACGGAGGAATCAGGTCAGTGACAGCATGGGCTAAAAACAGAGTAAAGCTCCCTCTACACTGTTGGTCCACACTCTCGGTCCACAGTACAGATTAGGGACAGAGTAAAGTGCCTTCTACAACAACAACAAAATTACATTTGTATGGCGCCTTTCACATTGGGAGGGTGTCCCAAGCGGCTGAACAGTCAGTGTTTCGGACCCAAGCTGGGGGTCGGATTGGGGAGGGTGGAGGGCAGGGGGGAAGCAGATTGTTCGAAAGCATGGTCAAAGCGGATGGTCTTGAGATGGGTCTTAAAGGAGGCAAGGGAGGGGGTGAGGTGGTTAGACTGTGGGATGGAGTTCCAGAGGGTAGGGGCAGAGTGGCAGAAGGCCTGCCTGCCAATGGTGGGTGGGCGAGGCGGGGGACGTGAAGCAGGCCGGAGCCCGCTGAGTAGAGGGAGCAAGCAGAATGGTAGGAATTTAGGAGATCACAGAGGTAGTGGGGAGCAAGGCCATGGAGGGCTTTGAAGGTGAGGGCCAGGATCTTGAACTGTATCCGCTGAGTGATGGGAGGCCAGTAGAGTCAGATGAGGATGGGAGTGATAGGGTCACAGAGCCTGGTGCGGGAGAGAACACGGGCTGCAGAGTTCTGGATGATCTGCAACCTATGGAGGGAGGAGTTGGGGAGGCCGACAAGCAAAGAGTTTGCATAGTCAAGGCTCAATGGTATGAATGCAGGTATGAGGGTTTTGGAGGCCTGCGGTGTGAGACAGTGGCAGAGCCGAGTAATGTTACAGAGGTGGGGGAAGGCAGAGCAGGGCATGGCATGGATGTGGGGTAGAAAGGATAGTTGAGGGTCAAATAAAACATTCAGGTTCTGGACTGGTTTAGCAAGGTGCAGTGTGCAACCATGGACGGTGATACTGTCAGCACCTGAGGTGAGGAGGCGCTGACGGGAGCCAATCAGGAGAGCCTCGGTCTTGTTGACGTTCAACTGAAGAAAGTTACCTCTCATCCAGGACTTGATGTCAGACATACATTCTGTCAGCACAGCAGTGGTCCTGGAGTCAAGGGTGGAGGCAAAGAAATAGAGTTGGGTGTCATCCGCATAAATGTGGAAGTTGACCCCATGTCTGTGGATGATGTCACCAAGAGGGAGCATATAGATATTGAAGAGGAGGAGACCAAGGACAGAGCCCTGAGGAACGCCGCAAGAGCCAGTGTGGGGGCTAGAGGAGAAACCGTTTGTGGAGATGAAGTGGAGGCGGTGTGAGATGTACGATCTGAACTAGTCAAGGACAGCGCCATGAAGTTTGAGGTAAGAGGAGAAACTGTGGATGAGAATAGAGTGGTGTCGCAAGCAGCAGTGAGGTCGAGGAGGATGAGGAGGCAGAGGGAGCCCTGGTCGCAGATCGACAGAATGTCATTTGTCACTTTGACCGGGGCGGTCTCTGTGTTGTGGGCGGCACGGAAACCCGATTGGAGGGATTCGAGAAGGGAGTGGCGGGAGAGGAAGGAGCAAAGCTGGGAAGCAACAACTTGTTCCAGGACCTTGGAGAGGAAGGGGAGGTTGGTGATGGGGCAGTAGTTTGAGAGCAGGAATGGGTCCAGGAAGGGTTTTTTAAGGATAGGAGTGATGACTGCCGTTTTTAAAGGGAACGGTACCAGTGGACAGTGAAAGGTTCATGATGTCTGTGAGAAGAGGGGCAAGGAGGTTGAGCTGGGAGGTAAGGGGAGGGGTAGGGATGGGGTCGAGGGAGCGGGTGTGCTCAGTTTCATGCGGGTTTTAGTGGTGGTGAGAGAGGAGTGGGAGACAGGTTCGAAGGTGTGGAGGGAGGGGGGGGTAGGAGCCAGGGTAAGACGTGGAGATGAGGAGTGCGTAGTAGACGGAAGGGCAGAGGCAGCTGAGCGCATCCCCTCGACTCCGTCCACACTCCCAGGTCAGCTACAACACACGGGTTAGAGACAGAGTAAAACTCCATCGAGTTTGCAAACATTGAAGGCAAATATTCCCGTCACATGTTGCTGATAGCAGGCGATAAACAAATCCTGACTATCAGGCGTATCCGGCCCCACCCGATACGATAGACTCCAGCTGTTAAATATTGATTTCATCCAACAACTGAGGGACAGGAGAAAAGAGAGAGAAATGGGAAGAGTGAGGACAGATACAGAAAGAGAGACTGAGACATAGAGATATAGTTGCCATTACCATGTTCATCTTGGAGCCAGTTCAGCTCTAAGAAAACCCTGCTTTACCTCCCCCGCAAATCCCCAGGAGAACATCTGACATCTGACGAGGGCGGGTTTGAACCCTCACAAGATATTATTATTAATAATAATGCTAATGCTTGCATTTGATACAGCGCCTCATCACATTTTCGAGACATCTCAAAGCGCTTCACAGAATATATTGTACAATTAATTGACTGTATATTTTGTGGACAAAACGCAGCAGCCCATTTCGCGCTTATGGGCGAAACTTATCGCACAGACAGTCATGGATTGAGTGCTCAAATTCACATCTTTTTTAAAAAAACATTTCAAGGGATTATTACCCCCGGAAAAGCGATCTGCCAATCGACTAACCACCGGGTTCCTACTTACTGCTAAGTAAACAGAGGTGTGTGGAGTAAGGAAATTTGCCCAATTTTTCGCCCTGCCAGGGAATCGAACCCAGGTCCGCTTGCTTCCGAGGCGAGCGTTCTAACCACTACACTACAGGAGTCCACAAGTCCTGTATGGTAGGTAGGTATCAAGTGGATGGTAGGTACCAGGAACTCCCTGTTAAGCTTCCTGGTGGGCAACACAGCTCAGCTTGAGAGCATTGCCACCATCTTCCTGTCCGCAGATCAGGCACCCATATCTTCCCACTGAGCGATGGTTCCACCAGCCTGGTACGAACCCCATATTTGGCTGTGGCCCCTGGACTCGGGCCCCTAGCATTAATCTGCCACTGCCGAAAGAGAGAGAGAGGGAGGTACAGCCACACAGAGACTGAGAGAGAGAGATTATGAGAGAGTCACGGAGGCAAGAGAGAGCGAGAGAGAAAGAGATAGAGACACACACATGCACACAGCAACTCACACACACAGCTCTGCTGGTCTCACACCCACAGTTCTGTGCCTGCCACACACACATATCTACGCGTTTTGCTCACAAAATATCTCGGCAACGTGATATGGCGCTATATCAAATGCAAGGATTATCATTATTATTTCAAATACACAATCAATCCACTTTACAATGTATTCTGTGAAGGGCTTTGAGACTCAACAACATGATAAGGCTCTGTATCAAATGCAAGATTATTAATTATTATTATTACGCCTGTCACACACACTCGTCTGCCCCTGTCAAACACACACACACACACACACAGCTCTGCCAGTCACATACAGCTGGACCAACCTGTTGAGATGTGATGTACGTCAGTGTTGGACACAGACTCCATTGTCTGGGCTCTCCGCTCAGCTGACGAATGTAAACAAACCTCTCGTTGCTGTGTCAGTGAGTGAGTGTGAATGAGTGTGAGTGAGTGTGAGCTCAGCCCAGCACCAGAGACTGATTAGTGCCACGAAACGTATTAACCTGACCTTCTCATCTTACACCTGTTTACACCCTGGTCTCCTCCCTCTTCCCAAACACAGCTCGACAGCAAATTGATCCTCAGCAGCCAGGACACAGCATGTGGTCAATCACTCTCTCTGTCTCTCACACTCACTCTCCGTGTCTGTCTGACTCTCTCACAGTCACTCTCTCTGTCTGGCCCTCGCAGTCACTCTCCCTGACTGTCTGTCTGTCTCACAGTCGCGCTCTCTGCCTGCCTGCCTGCCTCTTTCTGTGTCCGTCTACCCGCCTGCCTGCCTCTGTGTTTGTCTATTTGTCTGTCTGTCTCTCTCGGTCTGTCTATCTGGTTCAGACAGTTGTTTCAACCAATGCTTCAGGCAGCGAGTTCCACATCCTCACTTGCGTTCCTCTTAAATTCTCTTCTACATTGACTAGTCGCTATCTTATACTCGTGTCCCCTGGTTACGGACTCCCCAACCAGTGGAAACAGCCTGTTTAGGTTAACCTCATCTCAAACCGTTTTATAATTTTATACACCTCTATTAGGTCCCTCCCTAAATATCTCTTCTCTAGTGAAAAAAGCCCCAAATTATCCTGATGGCAGTAACCTGCCAGCCCTGATATAATCATCGTACTGTTCCCATCGCTGTTGAAAGCTTAGTGTTTGCATTGGCTGGGAATCGAACTTGAGCTTAATTCTTCCACTGAACCACCATGTGCAAATACCTCATAATAATGACAATAATAATTGCATTTGATATAGCGCCTTATCATGTTGTTGAGACGCCTCAAGGCGCTTCATGGAATATATTCTGTAGCTTAGTGGTTACAGCATACGCTTTGCAAAGCAGGAGGTCCTGGGTTCGATTCCCGGCAGGGCGAAACATTGGGCAAAATTTCCCTGTCAAACACACACACACACACACACTAGCAGTAAGTAAGAACCCAGTTGTTAGTCAATTAGCGGATCGCTTTTTCGGAGAGAATAATCCTTCAGAAAAATCAAATGAATAATAACAATAATTTGGTCACTTAATCCATGACCGTGTGTGGGACACTGCTGTGCGCAATTAGCTGCCGCGTTTCGCCCACAAATATACAGTCGATTCACTTTACACTGTATTCTGTGAAGCGTTTTGGGTCGTCTCGAAGATGTGACAAGGCGCTATATCAAATGCAAGGATTATTATTGTTATAATATAAAGTGAATTGACTGTGTATTTTGTGGGCAAATGGCACCAGCCAATTAGGCACAGCAGTGTCGTGGATTGATTAACCAATTTATTGTCTTTCNTTTTTTTCGAGGGATTATTAGCCCCGGAAAGTGATTTGCCAACAACTGGGTTCCTAATTTACTGCTAGGTGGATAGAGGCGTGTGGAGTAAGGAAACTTGCCTCAGTTTTCGCCCTGCCGGGAATCGAACCTGGGGTCTCTCGCTTGTGAGGCGAGTGCTCTAACCACTGAGCTACAGGACTCCATATCTCCACGTTATTTGAATCATTCCAGCTCTTCCATTGAACGAGTTCATCTATTTCCACATCTTCCTCACCATCTTGCCTGTTTCCTGCATGTGAGTTCTGGACATTTGGCTGTGTTTCGCCCACACAATACACAATCAATACACTTTACAGTATATTCTGTGAAGCGCTTTGAGACGTCTCGAAGACGTGATAAGGCGCTATATCAAATGCGAGGATTATTATTATTTCTTCACGATTAATTATTTGTACTTCTATCACACAACTCAATTCTTCCTGTTTCAGCAACTTACTGCTAACCTCCTTATTTGTCTTTTACCGTTTCCTCTCTCAGTGATCCATATTTGTGCAATTTACTTAATGATTTGAGCACAGAACTTGGCGTTCACAGAGGTTAGAGTTCAAAGTCCTCGTTATACATACATTACAAATGTAAATTGTTGTTGTTGTTGATCTGAGCAGCACAAAACACTGTGTGAAAGATTCTGTGAAAGACTTCAGCTCGGGGAAGGATTTGGGATTGTTCTTGTGTAGTTGTCTTCCGTGATGGAGTGAATCAATCCACTGATGCCACTTAGTTTCATCGTCTGTCATTGAGTCGCTTCTTTGCCTTTCGGTGAAGGTCAAGTGCAGTATTTGTTCTTATCAGTTACTCCTTGGGCTGTGCACCTACAACAACAACAACAACAACAACTTGGATTTACATAGCGCCCTTCACGCCGGAGCACTTGACAGAGAAGTTCTCCTGTTGAGATTCGCTTGTGGTACACTGGACACAACTGAATCTCACCCATAACTGGGACATTTTGGAAGGATTGAGCTACTGGCAACAGTATGGCTTCAGGCCTCTGTTGGTTGGGATGGGTATTGCAGTACTTTGGTCCCATTTAGTCTTGCAGGGTATTGGTTAGAGCACTTGCCTCGAAAAAGAGAGGACCTGAGTTTGATTCCCAGGCAGGGAGAACTTTAGGCAAATTTCTTTACTCCTCACACCTCTGTTTACCAAGCAGTAAGTAGGAACCCGGATATTATTCGATTGGTGGATCGCTTTCCTGTGGCAATAACCCCTTCAAAAAAAAATTGGTCACTCAATCCACGACTGTTTGTGGGACGCTGCTGTGCACATTTGGCTGCCGTGTTTCGCTCCCAAAATATTGTCAATTCACTTTACAGTGTATTCTGTGAAGCGCTTTGAAACATCTCAATGACATGATAAGGCTTTATATCACATGCAAGGATTATTATAGAGCATTACAGCACAGAAGGAGGCCATTCGACACATTGTACCTGTGCCAGAGCTACCCAATCAGTCCCATTCCCTCGCTCTTACCCCATATCCTTGAAAACTTTTACTTTTCAAGTACCTGTCAAATTCCCTTTTGAAAGTTGTTGTTGAATTTTTCTTTATTATTAGTAGTAGTATTAGTTCTGACCTGAGGAGTGGGATCTCCCCTCACACAAAGGAAATGACTAGGCTCAGGCCAGGCTTGCCCTGACCTGCTTGGGTGGTCGTGAAGATATGGTTCAGGTCGACATTGTCCTTTGACAATTTGGGGCTTAGAAGAGTTTGGGGGTGGGAGGGGAGAGGCTGGGGCTGGTCTGCAGGGACAACCCTCATTCCCTATTGTAACGTATTACAGTGCAGTCCTTCAGTATCGTGGTTAGAACACTTGCCTCGCAAGTGAGAGGACCTGGGCTCAGTTCCGGGCAGAGCGAAACGTTGGGTAAGTTTCCTTACTCCACACGTCTGTTTACCGAGCAGTAAGTAGGAATCCCGGTTGAACACTGTTTTTCCAGGGATAGTAGTCCTTTCAAAAAAATAATGAATACAAATAAAAAGTAATAACAAATTGGTCACTCAATCACGATTGACTGTGCGCAATTGGCTGCTGCGTTTTGCCCACAAAATATACAGTCAATTCAATTTACAGTATTCTGTGAAGCGCTTTGAGACCTCTCGAAGTTGGATAAGGCCATATATCAAATGTAAGGATTATTATTATTATTATTATAATAATGGGCAGGGCCTAACCTCGCTCACTAATTTAAAAAAAGTCAGTCGTTGACTCTGTGCTGTCAGCCCTCGCACACAATCGGTCCCAGAGTTTATAGTAAATTTGTAATGTATTATATTGTATGTTAAACGTTGAGAACACAGGAGTGACAGGTGAGGCTCCAGGCACCTGTAGTGCCACTGTGTACCAGCGGAGGGCTGCGTCGTGTCAGGTTGTGGCCAGTGACCGGGAGCAAAGCTGTATCACATTTCCATACACACTTTTCCAAATTGCGTGAAACACGGCTGTCAAACACCCGAGAGTTGCACAATGATTACTTTCGTGGATCACGTGTAGGGACTGGTGTCGCACTCGGCCTGTTTGTGCAGTGGAGACCCGAGGTGTAGCGGTTAGAGCACTCGCCTCTCAAGCGAGAGGACCTGGATTTGACTCCCGGGCAGAGCGAAACCATAGGCAAGTTTCCTTACTCCACGCGCCTCTGCTTACTTAGCAGTAAGTAGGAACCCGGTTGTTAGTCGATTGGTGGATCGCTTTCTGGGGGAAATAATTCCCCCCAAAAAAATCCATGACTGTTTGTGGACACTGCTGTGCGCAATTGGCTGCTGCGTTTCGCCCACAAAACATACAGTCAATTTACTTTACTGTATGTTCTGTGAAGCTCTTTGAGACGTCTCGACGACGGGATAAGGCGCTCTATCAAGGATTATTATTAAAACAATTTCCTCCGAGCAGCTGTGAGGTGGATGAGTGAGTCTATTGAGGGGGGGGGGAATTGTCGCTCAGGACACCAGGAGGAAATCCCTTCTCTTTTCAACCAGTGTCATGGGATAAGATATCAATCTGGCTCAGTTGGTAGTAATTTCACCTCTGAGTCAGAAAGTTGTGGGTTCAAGCCCCAATTCGAGACTTTGAGCTCACAGTGTAGTGTCGGGGAAGTGCAGCATTGTCGGAGGTGCCGTCCTTCGGATGAGATGTTAAACTAAGATGTCTGCCTGTTCAGGTGAATGTTAAGATCCCATGACGCTATTTGAAAAAAGAAAGGAGTTTCTCTCTCCCGGTGTCCTGGCCAAAAATTCCCCTGATAAAATCAGTTATTCAGTTCATGTTAGTTTGTGGGGCATTGCCGTGCGCAGATCTGCTGCTGTGTTCATCCACAAAATACAGACTGTTATCGGAGACTCTTGATGAGGTGATAAGATCAAATACTATGATAAATATTGTAACAACCAATGTTAACAACAAAAATTTGTAAAGCGCCTTTCACGCCGGGAGGACGTCCCAAGGCATTGGACAGACGGAGTTACGGACCCGAGCTGAGGGTCGGGTTGGGGGAGGGTGGAGGGCAGTGGGGGGGACGCTGGGAGATCAAAAGCACGGTCGAAGAGGAGGGTCTTGAGGTGGGTCTTGAAGGTGGTGAGGGAGGGAACAGAACGGAGGGACTGTGGAATGGAGTTCCAGAGGGTGGGTGCAGAATGGCGGAAGGCCCGCCCGCCGATAATGGGCCAAGTGAGGCGGGAGACGTGAAGCAGGCCAGAGCAAGCTGAGCGGAGGGAGCGAACAGAGTGATCGGGGATCAGGAGGTCGGAGAGGTAGGGGGGAGCAAGACTGTGAAGGGCTTTGAAGGTAAGGACCAGGATCTTGAA